CGTTTAAAAACCACTCCGAATTTTTATATTGTCTCCAAAAAAACAAAAAAAAAAGCTTCAACTGTTTCTAACTGGGAAAACCTTATTGATGTAAGTTATTCAGAAAAATAAAATTTATCTAATGTTTATGAAACAAAAAAAAATTCAATGACAGGAAAAAAAATAGAACTTAACCAATTTAACTTCGAAATATACCTAAAAATCAAAAAAACCATTTTAAATCAAGAATCAAAAACAGAAATTCGATCAGAAGTAACTAGAAGGACCATTGTAAACCTAGAGAACCTCAGTGCCAACAAAAGAGCTTGAAAAAGGATTAAATGATCTGGAATCGAAGCTCGAAAAGCTTCTGAATAAGTGAAAACCGAGGAAAAAGTTGAGGTCATTTTCAACAATAAATTTCATAAGAAGTAACGAAAAGACTGTTAAAGCAGAATAAAAATCTTTTATCAATACCAAAAAAAAAACTCAAATCAAGGTGAAATGAGCTGGAATCGGGTCTCAAACATGTCAAGATGTGTGTGTATACCTGCTATGGGATGGTGGCTGTCCTGCCCCAATAGTGCGGTCAAAAGCTTCACCTCACTCACTCGCTCATTATTTGTTCATTTGTGGCCAGGTCGGCTCTTTTATGTCTCTCTGTGTGTTTTTGTGGACACCCGGACGGCGACGTCAAAAAGATTTGTTTTTTTTTTTTTTGTTAATGACTGGTTAATTGATTAATGATAGTGGTTATTGACAAGGGAAGTTTTTGTAGCCCGCGGTTCGATGAAACGGAAATTTACTTTGAGACTGATTTTGGAAAAATATTGGATTCCTCGACTTATATTTTTAACTGAGTTATGATGCTTGAAGGCTCGCAAACCACGCGAATTATTAAAAAAAAACGGTTATTCAAAAATTTTTGAAAAGTTATAACTCGATTATAAGGCAAAATCCGGAAACTCTTTCATTTTTCTGAAATCAAAGGGTCCTAAAAACATTTCAGCAAAATTCCATAAAAAGTTTTTTGTGATGCAAATTTCTAAATTCAACCGCTGCGCGATCGCAACTCGTAGAGCTGTTACACCTAAAAGGGACAAAAAAGTGCCCTTACAGGGCTGGTTCTTAGGTGGTTCTTAGGGTCTGGTTCTTTAACCCCTAAAGCTCAAGTGGTCCTTTTTGGGTTTTTCAATTTTCTCCTCATTCAAAAGTTAAGGAGAAAAACTTGATCAACTCATCCTCTGTTGATTTTTTTTTCTTATTCAAATAACGCTGACTTATTGAGTTTCTCGTATAGAAATGCCAATTCTCATGGAGTTCATAAAAATAATAGACTAGCATGTGCTCTATAGAAGCCACAAGCTTTAATTGTCGCTCCAGGGAAAGTTAAAATGGTCCCTACAGCGGAACCTTTATATTGGTCAACAGGAGCAAGTCGGAAAAACAGTTTGTCACAAACTGCCAACAAAATCAAGCGGATCAAACAATTGAACAGAGGAAAAAGCCAATTTGTTCGGTCGTCGGCAAAAAAGCGGGAGAGAAAGACAAGAAACGAGCAAATTTCGTCCTTTTTCTTTTCTTTTCGCGAAAAAAAAGGACGATGCGTCACCGTGCGATGAACATATTTCATGTACAAGATTTGCGTGCAACAATTCGATCATTGGATGAGAAAAATGAGGAAAAAAGGCGAAACGGAAGGCGTGAGAACGTCGAGATTGATGGGAGAGTTAAACAACACAGGCAAAGTTCGAACGGCCTCAAAGAAAGCCTCAAAAAGAAGAGCCTAAAGCTCCGTTTTGAGTTCCTAAAAAGGTGTCAAAAGTTTCTCGGAATCTCCCTTTTTCCGCCTTTTTCTTTTGTTTTCCTCCTTAAAAGGTCCTTTTCAAAAAAAGGCCAGAAAATAGAAGCCTTTTTTTCCAAAAGATATTTTTGAGACTTTTGCAATTTCGTGAAAGAATAAATTTACCTTTTGAATAATTTTAAGAACTTTGTTCTTTTTTAAATCTTCGTAAAACTTGAAGCAGACGTCAATTTCTCTTTAAAAAAAAAGGGAGAACTAAATTTCCTTAAGTTCTCTCAAGTCCCTCCAAATCTTATGATCTCATGCTTCTCCCTAGTATGTGTCTAATGCTACCGTCAAGTGTCAAGTTTTTTAACTTCTTAACAAATAACAAGCGAGAGATCGAAAGCCTCTGAAGAGACGCCAGAGAAGGGGGGCGCCCTCTTTCTCTGGCCGAAGATAGTTACCTATTTCTGCTTCTTCAAGCTCTAAAAACAACTTCAATACTTTAGGGGTCATTCAAAGCATTTATTCATCAAATCCCGAATAAAAATTTCACAAAAAGTTGTAGATAAAAAATCTCCGGAGCACGTGAAAAAAAAAATCAAAGAAACCATCCTCGATCAAATTTCTTCGTTTAAAAAAGTCCCGAAATACGCCGAAAATGTTCGACTACTACGGAGAACGACGTGAACATGGGCCCAAGGAAAAGGAAAGAAGGAAATATAAGACGAAATACGAAGATTGACCAGCCGCCCTCCTCCCAAGAGTATGTGTTTGTGTCCCATTGACATTCGAGACGTTTCCACATTATTTTTGATTTTACTACATTTATTCTTTCTGTGCTTCCGAAGCTCAAACGTACTATTCAATACATTTCGAGAGAGTTCAAAAACAGTTGTTTCTCACACAAAATTTCCTATTTCACATCATGTGTGTTAACCGAAAAAAAACTTTCAATTTACTACAGAGGTTGCCAAAAGAAAAGTTAGTGCTTGAACATCGACAAAATAGTGTATAAAAAGAAGAGAGATGCATTTTTCGATAGAGTAGTTCTATTCAGAGAATTTTCAAACAAGCCTAATTTTTTTTCTCACTCTAGATAGGGTGTCACTGGTCTCTAGTGACACCCCATAAAAAAAGGACTGTATGAAAGCGAAAAATCTCTTCTTTTGGAACACTATTTCGCCGATCTTTCTCTATGCTCAAATAAAAAGCGTCAAAACTTGGAGTAAAGGTCGTTGCAATATACGAAACAAGAATGAGAACAAAAAAGATTTTTTTTTTCGTCGATTCGTTGTTTAAACCAAAACCAACCAAGTGACTTAGTTTTTTGCACTTTTTCTGGTTCGAGACTTTTCGCATTTTCATAACTTTTCAATGATGAATTTGTCATTTCTTTTTTTTCTGTGGCTTTCAGAAAGGTCTTGGAAAAGTTCACTAATTATTAGAATTTTGAATCTTACGTTGGGTTCAAAAATAATATTATGGCATAGTATAAATTTGGAAAAAAAACCTTTTTTTTTCTTTTTTTTTTTTTCGAGTTTTTCGGAGAAGCCTTTCATTTTGCAAGCAAAATCTAAGATTCCGAAACTTTTCAAACATTCGATTTTCTTCAGGCAGTTCTAGAATAGTTGTCACAGACTTTTCATATAGTATCGTTAAACTTAGAAAAAAAAAAGTTTAAAAAAAAGGCTTTTTTTAATTCGTAGAAAACCTTGAAAAATATTTCAAGTGATCAATTTCTGATAGAGTTGTACAAAAAATTATTGAAGTTCCGCCTACTTGAAACCTTGAAAAAAAGGGAATTGATAGAACTGAAAACGACCCTCTTGGAAAATTTCCTAGGCCATCTATTTGAAAAAGTATCGAAATATGAACTGCTGAGATCTTAGAAGTAGACTGCAAGCTCTAAAAATCACAAAAAAAAATCTAGTCAAGTGGCCCCTTAAGAAGCTTCAAACGATATAATTATAGCAAAGCAACAAATCTGAAAAATGAACGAGTAGTCGAACACCAACCGACCGCACGTTACAATGCAAGGTTTTTCGGAGACCAGAGTGGTGGGCCATAAAAAATTGGTTGGCCAAGAGGAAGGAGGAGGAGAGAAGGAGGAGCGGTGGTGAGCTTAAGACACCTGCTCCAGGTATAGGTCAAACAGAAGCTCAAATTGATATGTGGCGGCTCGAGAAATTTTCGGCGCCAAAAAAATTAGCAGTGGTGTTACTGAGAAGCTCAGAATTCGATATTATTATGTTGGACTTTAGTTTATTGAAAAAAAGGCCATAGAACAGTAGAGATTTTTTTCAAGGAGCTTAAGAAACCTGCTTCAAGTATAGGCCAGCCAGAAGCAAGATTTTTCGGAGCAGTGTTTCATAAACTGAATTAATTAGAGAATTTATCAATAAGTATAGGCATTGTTTATATTATTTTCGAAATTATCTCCGTCAAGGTTGGACTGAATCTCTACGGTACTTTTAAGAGTACAAAATAATTTATAAAAAGTTTTTTTCGAAGAGCATTAACAAACTATTAACGAAACTCTACTTTAAATAACTTAAAAAAACAAGATTTTTTTAGTGGCCTCCAAAGTTCTGAATTCAACATTATTTCTTAAAACTTGAATTCATCGCAAAAAGTCTCCGGAATTCCAGAATCATTATTCGCCTAGCTTGAGACACCTGCTCCAGGTATACGCTCCGCAGAAGCTCGAATTTTGGCGCCAATCGTCGAACCGAATAAATTGTTAGAGGCCAATCGACTGGGTGAATGAGTAATTTTCTCACCTCGCTCCCAATTTTTTGTCAGAAATAATTGAAAATGAGTTTTGAAAGCTTCCAAAACGATAGTATATTATGAAAAGCTTCAAAATAAAGATGATCGATCAGAAACTTCTGGAAAAAGCTCATTTGAGTTGATTGACAACTTTCAGAACCCTACAAAAGTAATACTACAAAATGAAAATATTCAAAATAAAGATGATAACTGAATTTTTGCGAAAAGGCTCGATAAATCCTGCGAAAAACATTTGAACCGATAATATATTATGAAAAACTTCGAAATGATGTTAATAGGTTCGAAACTTTCTGAAAAAGATTACTCTTAAGTTGATAAATCCTCTGGAAAACCTTCAAAAGCGCAGTAACCTCAATAAGAAGAAAATAATGGAAAAAGACAACTTGAACCAAAAAATCCTTTAGCCAAAAAAACGTAATAATGTGTTGATTTTCGGAAGAAAATGGAAGGGAAAGATGAACGGACGGTGCCACAAAAGGATCGTATGTATCCAAACAACTCGAACGGATATGTTACCGGCCAAGGACGTTCCGCCGCGACGGTGATAACGTCCCCGACGACCGCAAGAAATCCACACCAACGAGAAAAATCTGCTCATATCCGTGATATGATACAAAAAATAAATCCGTGCAGAGGATTCACTCAAAGTGGTCGATCTCATTGCACCTAGGACACGGTCTTTGGACTACAGCTACGATACCCACTTTATTCTGAGCTCGTCAAGCCGCAACTGGATGGACTGAGCGCAGATAAACGATGTGAAGGACCGTAAGACCATGTTTTCCATTTTGTAAACTACAAGTTCGGACTTCTAGTTCATAGCTTCAAAAGCTCTTGTTAATCCCCTAGTCAATTACATATAGTACAACCAAATAAATGATGGATAAACTTCCAGGAAGACAAAGTTGAAGACAGACTTACAGAAACTGCAGAAAGTCCACCCCAATGCGCGAAAGCGGCTCATTTCAAGCCGTGAGATACGAAAAAAGTTCTCGACATATACAAAAAAAATGAGCCCCTTACCGGAGACCGCAAGAAAATCACACCAATGAAAACTTATCTTTTAGCACCATGGTGTCAAACAAATTCCTATACTTCCAGAAGCACGAAAAACTAAGTTTATTTTCAACGCCCGCAAGACATTTGACACATTCTGCCCCCGATTGTCATTACCGGTCAAAGTTTTGGAAGAAGCTCGGACGCTAACGGAACGCGCTCCGGAAGTTTTTGAGCATTCTAGAGATCATTTAAGAGTGTTGACGTCACTAAAGTGGTCACTAGAAACTCCCCGACACGACCGATTCGCGTTAACCAGGTTCGAGAAGTTCACTTTTGGAATGAAGTGGCTATTTTGAATTTTAAAACATTGAAGAGTAGTAAGGAGAAAAGTAGACGTGAAGTGGTCAGTCGAAAAAAGTTATTTTCGGGCAAATTTCTAGCTCAATATTTAGATTTTTCTTTCAAACGAAAATTTCTTCCACATTTCGGCTCCTAATCTCCAACCTAAATTTTCTTAAAACTTGAAGTTTATTTATTGACAACGTCCGAGCTTCTGTCGTTCTATCAAAAGCCAGCACAATAAAAAAAAAGGAACTGACATCAAACTTGTTTCTCCTGCTTCCATCGTCCGAGTCGATCGGAGAAGTTGATCGCTTGAACTGAAAATGATCAATAATCAATAAATTATCTGAAGAAAATGAAATATACGGAAGAAACGTGAAATTGCTTCTTTCTCAGCTCATTCCCAACAGTTCAAGGAACGAAAAATCATCTATCCTTCCAATGTCTTCAGAAAAAATGTTCGTCTTTGTTAGTTTTCATTCGTATTTCATTCACCCCATTCAAGAAAATGAGGGTCCAGAAAACCTCAGCCAAAAACTGCGCAAAAGCAGAGTTTGTGACGTCTTTCTCGAAAAATTGTGTTCGATTTTTTCCTTACAGCAGCCTCCTGAAAAAAATTATTTTTTTTAAAAGGTAGTCCTCCCTTTCTACAGTACTCTGAAGCCTCCTAGTGTGATAAAAACTTTCTCAATCACCATCCTAGGTCCACTTTTTTTTCTCAATAACATTGGTTCAAACATTTTAATGACTCTACTCGACTCTAGAACTTTCAGAAGTACGCAAAGAGGAGTTTTAACTCCTCTTTGCGTACTTCTGAAAGTTCTAGAGTCGCTTACACGCCGCCAATCTCGCCATTGACAAAGCCAGAGCCGGAACGCTACAGTATCGGCGTACTAACCAGCGGCGGCGATGCTCCAGGTTAACTATCGTAATCTTAGAATAACTAAGTCGACTAAACAGGTATGAACTGCGCGATTCGGTCAGTGGTCAGAGAATCGATGGCGCGTGGCTGTACTTGCTATTTCATCAAGGAAGGGTATTTCGGTGGGTCTCATTTATTTGACTCCAGGAAAAGGGTATGTTCCAGGACTGGTCACTGGATTATTCGAAGAAGCGACTTGGTCTTCGGTGTCTAATATAACTAATCAAGGCGGTAGTATGATCGGCAGCGCGAGATGCGAAGAGTTCAAGACTAAGGAGGGCCGGAAAAAAGTTTTTAAGAAAAAAACGTCTTCGGTTAAAGGAGTGGAAACCTGGCACAGCTTAAAATTACATTGAAGGCGGTTTTTCGCCTTGGCCGTAATGAAAAAATCGGTTATTTCCTTCAGAAGCAGCATGGATTTCTGAACAAGCTACAGCTCAAACCAATTTTCTCAACATTTCAGGCGACGTTGAACCTTTTCAAACACGGCGTATTTCATCTAATTGCAATTGGCGGTGACGGAACCCTGACAGGAGCCAATATCTTGAAGGAAGAATGGGGTACTATAGTTGGTGAGTGTGAAAAATCACGCATTTTAGATCTTTGACAAAACCACTTTTCTGAGAACTTTCAGCCTCAAGTAGAGTTGGAGGTGTTTGATTTTCAATGGACTGACCTTCTGATTTGAGGAATTTTAAAGATAGTTTCAAATCAAAAGACACGAATTCCAGCCGAACTACTGGCAAGCGGAGCCATCACGGCAGTTCAGGCCGACGCCGGCAAAGACCTCCGTATTGTCGGCCTCGTCGGCTCTATCGACAACGACATGATCGAAACGGACAAGTCCATCGGATCGGATTCAGCATTGACGAGGATCGTCGAAGCTGTGGACAGCATCGCCGCAACGGCTTCTAGTCATCAACGCACGTTTGTAATTGAGGTAAGGGAAAGTGGAGAGAAAAAATAATTGTTGAAGTTTGAAGAAAAAACAAGGAAAAAGTTTTTTTTTTCCTCAGGTGATGGGTCGGAACTGTGGTTATCTGGCCTTGACGTCAGCCATGGCGCTTGAGGCCGACTACGTCTTCTACCCAGAGAATCCTCCAAATCCAGACTGGCCGGATGTGCTTTGCGGCCGATTGGAAGCCATGAGAAAGGTGAAGTATGATATGTTCTCTAGAGTAAACTACAACATCCTGTTAGAAATGAGCAGAATATGACCTTAGCTAGTCTTCAAAACGACGTTTCAACCTTTCAATTCTCAGTATACTGCTCAAATCACTTAAGAAATTGCTCGGAAACACAAGAAACACAAAAACGATGAAAAGCAACTCACAATTAATATAACCCTCAGATCGGCAAACGCCTAAACCTTGTCATCATTTGCGAGAACTGTCACGACACTACAGGTAATCGAATTGAAGCAGAAGCAGTCAAAACACAGATTGAGCTGAGACTAAAGGTCTTCATTTTCAAAAGAAATACGTCTTTTTTTTTTGTCAGTATGAAGTCCGGACCGCCCACCTCGGTCATTTGCAACGCGGAGGAACACCTTCGTTCCTCGATCGCCTATTAGGCTTGCGAATGGGTTTCGAAGCCGTGAGGTCTTTGAAACTAGTCAGAATGATAAATAACTAAAGAATTGATTTCAGAGAAATCCTTCGTTCTGATATAGACAGCAAGGCCGACGCCAAAGTCTTGTGTTTGAAGGGCCACGCCATCGTCAAGTGTAACATGACTTCGGCCTTGAATAGAACCAAAAGAGTATGAGAAATATATTCGATTCGTTACTTTTATATTCTCCAGGTGGCCGAAGTCACGCGAACCGGCGACTACGACATCGCCGCCGAGCTCCGAGGCCGCGGATTCGTTTGCAAGCAAACTTTTATGAAGTTGATCTCGACGCCTCCGGTCGAAGACTTGAGCTCGACTTTGAAGCGGCTTCTCATTATTCATATTGGATCGCCTTGCGCCGGTTAGTTTTGGTACAGGTGTTAGAAGCGTCAAGATGATGCTCAGAGCGGAAATTAAGAACTCTCCATGTTTGAAAGAAAAAAAGTATTGAAATTGTTTATCCCTGGTTAGTTACAAAAAATGGCAGCGAAAAGCTAACTAGATGGGTGCGACCAACTAAAAACAACTCGCAAATTGCAATCTCAATTTCTAATGTCACACTTTTTTTTTTTAATCCAAAACTGCTTCTCAGGAATGAACTCGGCTACCATGGCTTTTGTCCGAATCGCCTACTACTCCCACGTCAGCGTCTATGGCGTTCAGGGAGGCTGGAATGGACTGAAGAAAAAGAGATTTATCGACCTCACTTGGGCTTCAGTCACCGGCTGGGCATCTCAAGGCGGTAGCGCCCTCGGTGTCAGGTCTGCTTCGAAATTCTTATCCCAGACGGGAAGATCATTTCATTTCATGGTAATTTCTTGAGTTGAGGAATATCAGATGATGACTCTGAAAGCCTCAATAACCCGTAAAATTCTCCATTTTCGAGCTACGGTGTTTCAAAGTCGAAGAAGACCATCAAAACTCGTTTAAACTGGGAAGGTTGAGACTTTCAGCATCTTCACATGGTGGTACTTTGAAGAGCATTCGACCACGTTTATATTAATATCGAACGACAGAATCAAAATCTCAGAAAACAACTGCCAACGGATCTTGATGAAATAGCGGCGGCCATTGATGAGAAGCAAGTCGATGGAATTTGCATCGTTGGCGGCTTCGAGGCCTACATGTCGGCCAAGATCCTCACTGAGAACCGCACCAGCTTCCAAGCTTTCAACATTCCGATCGTCGTGGTGCCAGCTTCCATTTCAAACAACGTTCCAGGAGTGAGGGGGTAGGGAAATGGCTTTTCATCAAGGCTGAGTTCAGACTTGCGTCGCTTTGGGCTCCGACACGGCTCTGAACGAGATTTGTCGGCAAGTTGACAATATTCGTCAAGCGGCCGTTGGAAGTCACAACAAGTTGAATTTTGTCAGAAATCAAAGTAACGCCTCCAATTTCAGAACAATGATAATCGAAACGATGGGAGGAAGGTGCGGCTACCTGACTACCTTGTCCGCTTTGGCTACCGGCGCCGACGGAGCCCTAATCTACCAAAAACCGCACGACGAGAGTGAAATACGTAGATTGGCCCAGGTTGACTTTTTCTTCTTCTTCTTCTTCTTCTTCTTCTTCAACTTTCAACCCTCTTTCCGATTCAAGATCGCCAAGCAGAAAACGTCGACGAAAAGCGGCGAAAAGTATATTATGATGAGAAGCGAGGGCGCCAGCGACATTTACACTTCCGCCGATGTGAAGCGACTTTTCGATGAGGAACTCAAAGCAACGGTAGTTTACACCGTAAAATACCGTTTTGGTCATTCCCAGCCAGTCTGAGATTACCTTTGTCATCCCTCTTTAACTTTTCGTCTCAAGGCGCTTTTCATGAGAGTTTATTGATTCTCGTTTTGAATATTCGCGATCTGGATAAGTTCCTGATTTTCGGCTTTATTGGCTTGTAGTTCCAAGTTTCCACATGAGCTTCTCCTCCTTCCACACCGGCTCAAAGCTATTTTGTACTCTTCCTCAAAGTACTTTTTATTTCCTTCCTTCTGAATTTTTTAAATCCTCTCAGGTAGCCTGCCGCCTGAATATTCTCGGCTACTCTCAGCAAGGCGGCTCGCCGTCCTGTTTTGACCGTCAGATGGGAGCTCGGCTCGGTATCCGTGCTTTCGAGGGCCTCTTTTGGCCTCAGAAGATGGGCAAACGCGACTGTTGTGTCGTTGGTTTGTTCTTTTCTTTTCCAACCAATGAGATATTCGAAAAAAAAAAAGTCTAGGACTCCGTGGTCGGACGATCAAGTTTGTGCCGGTATCTGGCCTCACTGAGAAAGTCTGCACCCGTCACCGAGTTCCACTGATGCTCTGGTGGCTGGATCTTCATCCTCTCGTCGAGCACCTCACATGTTGGTTGATTTATTCATTTCTTTCACTGGTTCATTTAGAGCGAGTTTTCCCACACTTTGACAGACTCACATTTTTGAAGGCCATCAACCCAAACATCAAAATATCGGAAAATGTACTAATTTTTCAGACCAAAACAATGAGAAAGCCTAATCGAATGCAGCAGCAATAACCGATTGCGAATCAAGCGCGACCATCACATAAAAAAATCTTAACTCGTAAATAAACGTTTTATTTTTCCTGCTTTCCAAAAAAATTTTTATATAATTGTGGCTTTGTCAGAATGTTACATTTTTGGAAAAACTGAGTCAACTACCGAAAAATATATCAATAGCGCGAAGAAAAAACACGTTTGCCCTGGAAATTTTCAATTTTTCATGAGAAGTTTTTCGAATTTAACAGCACTTTAAATGGCTAACTTGGGTAACTACTCTAAGTATTCTATTTTGAGAAATTTTTTTTTCACCACTTTTTCGAATTTCTAAAAACGACAAGTTGCACGATTTCGTTCCTCTCAAAATCTCCCGATTTGTCCGCACTTTTGAGCAATTCATTTCCAGTCAAATTGTCAGGGGGCTTATGAGACCAGGTCTGCTTATTTCTGGGAAACTTCTTCCTTCCAAGGGACACGCCGCCCGTTACGGCTTAATGAAGCGTGAGTTTTCTTGTGCTTCTAGGCCACCAATATTCGCAGCTTTTTCCTTCTTTCAACCTCTTCGTATTGCAAAAAAGTAATTTTTTCTCCTTGAATAATCGCTACACGTTCCAAAAACAATACAAGCCTCAGGCATTATTGGTTACAGAGCCGAGAAATGATTTATCGCTTGTTTTTCCAAGTCTTTCCTATATTTTTTTTTCTGAATTCGCTATCGTCCATCAAACATCGTCCAACAGACATTGAAAGAAATTGGAAAGTCCCGTTTTTGACTTCAAAATAATTGACTTGTTAAATTAGTGTCCTGAAAATCCCCAATGATTAGAAAAATAATTTTTCCAAAGTTAGTGTATTGGATATATTTTTTCAAACTCTTCTTACCAACCATTATTTCCCTTCTATTTTTATTTCGAGGAAAATTTTTCGCGGTCACGTCGCGACTTTGATGATCCCAGCAACAAATTGAAATTTCAAATCCCTCTAATTTATTGAAAAGGGCGATTTACCGGAAACTTCTGCTACAAAAACCTTCTAGAACTCTGCTGAATCCTTTGTAAATTTACTAGAAGCTGACAATTTCAAAAGTCCAAGCTTCCTAGCTTTTAAGGGTACACCTCTGTTGAACTTCATCATCAGGCTCAATTTCCCGAAAAAAAAAACGCCCTTCTGAGGCTTTTTTTTCAGGGAAGATAGCCGTTTTTGCAGGACCTTCTTGCAGCACACAAATAAGGAAAACCTGGCCAAGTTCCACGAATTTCCAGACTCCTCCGTAAAATGACCTTCTTTTAGAGTATTCCAACCAATCTTCTCAGTCTCAACTGCAAATCTCTTCCTAATTTCATATCAGCAATACAAACGCCCCCAAAACAACCATAAAATACGCCCGAAATTGCAACTAGCAATTTTCCGACTGCCATATAAGCTCATGTCCCCCCACCCATCTTCTCGGCACAATGTTTATTGCGATGCTGGACCAACCAAGCTTTCTTTGTCATTTTTTTTTCTCAATTTTTTTTTTCGCTTTTTCTGTGGACTTTGCTCTTCGGAAATGGCCAATAAACACCCAGAGAATGAATACTGGCTACTTAGATTTTAGCTTCTCCATTTACAGCTTTTAGTCCGAATTGGACGCGGTCAAGTTTCACAAGTGTATGTAGTGTATCCATTTGTGATTGCTGGACGTAATTAGATCCCAAAGCTCAGGCTGATTTTTGGGATTTTTATTGTTGGCAAGGATTTGAAAAGCTCAAAGATCTCTCAACTTCTTAGTTATTATACATTGAAACACACGAGTGTAAATATTCAAAATAATTAAACTCATTTTTTTAAAATTATATTTTTCAAAGCTTCATTAAGCAAGTTATTCATTGAAGATTGAATACTTTGAGCTCAGAATTTTAAAAAAAAGGGGGGGATTTTCCGAGATCTCCGCGTGATAAAGCTATTCCTGACTCGCCAACTTTTCACACTAGATGCGAAAAATTTTCCTTTTTATTTTTTTCTTCTCGACGTCTAAACATTTCCAATATATCTTTTGTTTTTTTTCAAATTATGTTCCGGAAAATGCAGTTCTCACAGCAGTTTCAAAATAAATTAGAGCAATAACTGCCAGATTCTACCGTTTTCCAACTGAAACACTAAATTTGAAGAAACAAACTGCTTTTCTTCGATACTAAACGTAATTTCAAAGATCTTAAAGCTTTTAGGAAAAATACTTTAGCTCCTAAGCCTCGGAAAGAGGTATTCCTAAGTTGGAAATAATTTTTAAGATCATCTATTGAATCTCAAGTCGCTCAATCAACTTCTACCCTAACTTTCCAACTTTTCAACGATCAAACCAGAAGGGTAAACAGCCATAAGCTATGTGATCGATTCTATGCATTAGGATATAATACATATTTCACTTTAGCAACTAATTTGTCTAGCAAAATTTAACATTTTGCCCTAGCTTCCAACTTTTCAAAAATAAAAAAAACTATTCCACGGATCAGAATTTGTTCGCCCTATTGAACGTATCAATAATTCAAACTCGGCGGAACGAGAAACGAGTAGAGGACGTGAGGAAAGCCCTCCGAGTGTGTCACAAGTTATAAATTGGAAACACTGACTTTTTTTTTGAGCGAGGATGCAAAAATTCCGCCCTTCTCGTGTATTCCTTTCTTTTTTGGCATTGCGCAATTTTATTATGCGACCCGAGATCTCAACGTCATCTCTTTTAAGTGATCCCTAGACATGCTTAGAAACGTCCGCGGCTCGTCCGGTTTTCATTACCAAGGTCCGAGTCAAATCTTCCATGAATTTATTTAATATTTCCCCACTCATTCCTAAAGCTAGCGTCCCTATCTCGAGTGATCGACATTTTCAATTATTATTTAATTATTATTTAGGTTCTCGAAAAGTTTATCGAAAATATTCTAAATAAGTTGCCGTATATTTAAAAAAATATGTGATATTGAAAACCGAGCTTTTTCGAATTCCCACAGCCAAAGTCTTGATTTTTCGGAATTTTTTTATTTTTGTCTAGAAAAATTTCAATCTTTTTTTAAACTCCATCAATTTTGTCTTTTCATTTTTTCTACTTATTTTTTTCAATCGAGAGCTCTCCCACTAAAATTTTAATTAGTTTGATTAAGGAGCCTTTTCAAAAAAATTGAAAACCATCAAGAACATCAGATCTTCTCAAATAGTTGTTAACTTCCACTCGCCTTCCTTTTAAAATTTTATCGAGAACTTCCAAGTGATCAATCTCTCGAATCCCATAGCCTCCTACTTTTTTTCCGATTCTCATAAAGCCAGGAAGATCTTCGACGTTATCTGCCGCACGAAATGAACTAAAAAAAAGTTTCAAGCCAAGAGCGACCATCTGTTTTCTCCAGTCGGTGGATCTCTTACTTTTTTTGAATTTTTCAAGGCCGTAAAATAGGTTCGATTCCTTGAGGCTATCCATTTCTCACAGAGGCACCGGAAAACAGCTGCAGTTTTTTTTTTCGATATCAGATTCATCCAGATTACACCATGTTTCCCGACTAATTCGTAAGACTTTTCGTAGTTGCGTTATTTCAGAGACTAATTAGATGGAAGTGCACCTTTTTTTTTATAATTTTAGTTTAAAAGTCTATGCTGAAAGTTCAGAAAAATAACTTCTAGATTGAAAGTTTTTCACACTCCGCTTTAAGTTCGAAAAAATTAAATCTTCGTATGAAAACAGCTTTTTTTTCTGTGTATCTCTGCGTCTCTTCAATCACAGCGTTCTTTACCATCAGCTTAGTTTGTTTTATACGTTCCGAATCTTGACACAATCCAAAAAGTTTCGAAAAAGTTTAAAATAGTCGTATTTTATTTCTGTTTTTCTATTCAAATCTCTCAATTTCCAGAATTTTTTTCTGCTTATTTCATAAAGAAAAAATTTTTTCATTACACACAGTTACCATTAAATATCCGACTCTATCGAAACTCCCTCGCATTAGAGCCAGATCTTATCTATCTTTTTGGCTCGTGGAGCCCTTTAAACGGTCTCATTTGTCTAGAGAAAAGCCCTAAAATGCGACCCACACTCTCAAACATTCGTTCAATGAATATCCAATGAATTTCGGCCCTTTTTTTCGAATTGAATATTTTCCATTTTTCTCCTCGTTTGTTTCGTTCTAGAAAAATGTGCTTTTGAGTGTATTGAATAAGATTTTTGGACTTTTAAGGAACTTCGAGAATTTATCATATAATCAGAACAAAACCTACATACAGATAGAGTTTTTTTGAAAAAAATTAACAAAAAAAGGATTCGCCTTTAGGTTTTGAAATTTTTTTAACATGAGCAATACATCAATTTTTCAAAGTTATTCTGAAACTGCGTCTGAAAAGTTTGAAGCGTCCGAAAGATTTTTGCTTCGATTGTATTTTTCAGAAAGTGAAACTTGCATTTTTTTCTGTTAGGAACAAGGAAACTTTTTTTGCTGAAGCTCGAGTTTCGATTAATTCAAAATACAGTTAAGTTAAAAAGGGAAAAAAAGTTTACACAGAATCTTTCATCTATTTTTTTCCTATTCTATTTATATTTAGAATATTTGTAACCTTTAAATCGATCCTCTAACCGCAAGAAATCAGAAAAAAAAAACGTGGACCTCAAAAAAGAGCCCATTTATCTTCTCCCCTGCCAATCGCTTAACAAATGACCCGCTGAAAAGCTTCAAAGCTCAGGCTCAACGAGACGGGGAATTTGCAAAAAGTTGAGTACATATACACATGTGTCTGTATTGTTTTTTCTTCTTCTTTTTTTTCCAGTCTCCTGAAGCATCGTCGCCGACAAATGTCTCGTGTTTCGTTTCATTTTTGCGGTCCCTCACACTTTTTGCCCCAACGGCTGTCATGTCAAACCGCCTTCCGGATTTTATGGCACTTGATCCTCGGCCTTACCACAACACTAGAATACATTGTTCGTAATGTTTCATTAGTTCCTTATTTTTCGTTAAAATCTCAATTCATTTCCCGTTTGAAGAGTTTTAACTTTGAAAAGTGAGACAATATAGTCTTCTTCAAGCTTTCCGAATTCATAACCTTTTTTGTCCTCCACGGCTTTTCAAGCTTCTTGAATTATTTTCAAAACTTTACCCGTTTTTTGAAAATGTTTCTTCAACTTCTCCATTCATCTCTTCGTTGGTCAGACAGAGGTCGGACTCGGAACTCGAAAAATGAGACCATCACCCAAATCTTGTTCAATGACATCTCCCGAAGTGTTCATTTCCAGTTTCCCTAGGCGCTATTTCGCAACTCCCCAAATTTTGAGAACCTGAGCCCTTTTTTATATAACTGATGAAATTTTTGGAGCTTTTCCTACTCGTCGTTACCGAGTCGACTCTCGGCTTCACTAAACTCTTTGTTTTGATGATCTAAGTTATTTTATACGATTTATTGAGTATAAATTTTACAAAGCCGATAACTTTTACGTTCAAAATGGTAAACGACAAAAAACAGCCTGTTATCGTCTTTCCGCCTAAACCTGCACGAGCTTTGAAACTGAAACCATTTTTTTTTCGTTGTTAAAACCCATGTGTTTTTCACGAACTTTTTTCAGTTGCCTCTTACTCGAATTTCTCATTTTATTTCTAGCATTGCTCAAAAATCTCTGAAAGCTTTGTTAAAACTCTTTTTTTTTTTCGGAAACTCATCCAATTTTTATTGATAACTAATCATCTTGCAGTCCACACGTAAAACTATGAGTTGCATATTTTATTCTAAACCCGTCATTCTTCGGGAGAAACTTAAGCTGCTTTGACACTTGCTCACCGTCTACTTTCGACCCCTATTTTCATGCTTCAGTTGCTCCATCGGCCAATTGTCTGTCTGGCTAAAATGCGTCGCTTTTGAACTTTATTGAAGTTTTTCATTATCAATTAGTTTTTGAAATATTTATCAAATGTTTTTTTGTAATTCTCAGCTCAGGTATTTCGATATATTTTTTTTTTGTTTTTAAAGTTTGTGAAAAAAGAGCTGCAAGTATCACGCTCGTAAAATCGCTCCGAAAATTCGAAAAAAGAAACCCAATATTTACCTTTTCTGATTCCATCAGAGCTCCAAAAACTTCTTTTGACTCCTCAAATTGGCTAAATTTTCAAGCTCTCGAACTCATTATATTTCATCTCTACTTCTTCATGAACTTTGAAAGAAGAGCTTCATTCAACTTCCACTCCTAATTTTTAGTTTCCAGACGAACGAAATCAAGGAGGAATGAGAAATTGGCGGTAGAGAAGGCATGATTCCTTGGGCCATCATACTTCTGATCGCCATCGTCAGAGCAGAGGTTAGTTCATTCGCAAGCGTTTCTAATCAATTTCATCAAGTTTTTTTTGATTTTATGATCCTTTTGAATATTACAGCCTCCTAATTTATGCGATAGCTTGATTTGCAAAAAGGCACAGTTAAATTTTTAAAAAAATTAAGAATTGTATCGTAAAAAAATCACTTCTCTACTGATATCTTTGGAAAACAAGACCACGGTGAAAATGTATTATCTTTCTTCGAGAAATGAATTTTTTCTAGTTTCGAATAGTTAAAATCCTTAGAAAAAAAATGAAAAAATTTTGAATCTTCTTTTTGTATATTATTGGAAAGGGAAAGCCAATAACAACCTTGCTGATTGTCTTAATCTAAACTCTCTCATTTTCCCTCGCTATCTCACTATGATTACAGGAGTTCTTGAGTTTATACTGAAAAATCAAAAGCAGTCACATCCATACATAACTGTCCGAACTCTCTTCTTCCTGCCCACTCTTTTTCTAATGATACCAGGACATAACCATTTTCAATAACTTCAATAAAAGCCGTTCTTCGTAACCAACTCAACTTGAAAGTCGCATTTTTTTTTTAGATAACATTCAGATATTCGTTTTAAATCACCCCGAGTTTAATAACCAGTCCTTTCATCACATTACAACAAATCCATGTGATCAACCTCAGCCTCAAGCTCGATAAATAACGCAAAAAGAAGACGCCAGGTGTATGTATACTTCATAAATATAGAAATATCTCACCTTTTTCCCCCGTCGGATCAGTTTTCTCTCCTTTAAACTATGCCGTTTTTCTTCGCACCTTCCGTTGGAACACTTTGTAATCCACAGGGAAGAGGGTAAACAGCAGAAAACATTGTGACTTCTCTGCAAAAAATTTTTGTTCAGTTCAAAGAGAAGTGTTGAACTTGGGGGCTCGTGGGAAGGTTTTCGAATCGCTAAAGTCAGTTGGAAAGATATTTTTAGGGTATTTGGAGACTAATGAGCCTTGGATTATTCTTCAACTTTCTGTTGATGAAAAAAACGAACCTTTTTTTCAAACTTTAGTTGACGTTCACAGCCGCAACTTCTTGATTCCTTCAAGTTATCTCTAGATTTTCACCAACTTTAATTCAAAAAAAAAGGAAAGAAAAAAATGAAAATCTTTATTAAAAACTAGTTAAAGGGAGCCTTGAAAATACATTTTTGGAAGCCTTCTGCGCCTTTAAATACCAACGCTAAAACTTTGAACTTTGAACACTTTGAACAGCTTTTTTACTGACTTGAAACAGTATGACTTCTCTGCGTCTCTTCTCGACTTCTCTCTATCTTCACCAGCGAGACAATGAGAGACAATGAGAGAAAAGAGAGCGCAGAGAGCGCAGAGAGGTCAGACAGTTCCAAACGTTAGTAAATGATACAGATGTTGACAATTTAAGATTTTTGTTCTGAATCTTTAGACCTCCAAACGATAGAAGTTACTGGTAGACGATAGAAAGAGAAGGAGAAACCCTCTCAGTTTCAAACCCTATCTACGTCCAAATCTTCGAACCTCCAAGCTAAAAAGCACTGGGGAATAAAGAATTTGGAAAAAAAAAATCGAATTTTCCTTCTCATTCTGAACAGTTCAGCTTTCGAAAATTCAGAAGCGAAAGCAGATTTCAACTTTCAACGCAAAATGACACAGAATTTCTATAAAAAGACTTCATTTTGGCGGAGAAAGCAGGGTCGGCGGACACGGAAGCCGGGTGCTGAGAGGAGCGCTGATGGCCGTGTAGGTAGAGGTACCCGTCTCGAAGTACATTTCGCGTTCCAACTCTTCCGGAGTGGGTTTGGCCTTCGGCGTTGGCGGCTTGACCACCTTCTCTGTCCTCGTCTTAACTATTGTCGGGTTCTCCGGAATCGAGTCAACGTCACTGAAATCAACGTCGTCAGATCCATCAGAGAAAACGTTTTATTTCAGATTTAAAAAAACTCTTGAACAGTGAGTACAGATTTCAATTCGATTTGGAGGAGGTTTCGGCTTACAAAATTTACAAAAAATACGAGTAGAAATAATTCGGAAAAATGGGCTTTTTTGAGTAAAAAAACCCGTGATCAGCCAAAACATGATAAAATCTTTATAAGCCCATGAAACAACTCCAACATCTCTCTCTCTCTCTTTATTTTGCATATTTGTGTTTCTGAGTTACGTTTCCTTAGGAACAGCTTCAAAGCGTTCCTTCCTAGCTCAGTCGGTTAGAAAGTTGATCTAAACGAGAAAAGTCGCCGGTTCAACTCTCAACGGCGCCAAAACCGACAAAAAAAACCAACTTCAACGTGCCGTCGTTAGGATCGCGGGGAGGATCTGCCAAGGGAACGTTCTTCGGCGGTTTTCTGGACAAAAGATGAATTCTCTAGGCAAAAAAGACTTAGAAACTAACATATTTCGGAGCGGAATCAGTGGGGCCGGCGCGGGGATGTTCTTTAATTTTTTCTCATCGATAAGTACTATCTGAAATTGGGAGTTTGCTTTTTTCAACTGAGAAAATAAAATGATAAGGAAACAATGGACGTTTTGCAAGTTTTCCTGCAGAGCACCGGTGTGGATAGAGGAAGTTTTGCGCGAAGACGGGTTCGATGTTGAATTGTTCTGAGGCGGGATCTTCGCGAGTGTAACTTTCTCTGAAAAAAACTGGACTAGAATAATTATAACCTATTTTAGTTATCAGATAATAATTTTTCAAAAAAAAATGTTTGATAGTTTTTTTCTAATTGTTTTTTTCAGTTCGGAAAAGATCGGAAAAGGATGATATTTGAAACAATCATCGGAAAACAATTCTCACAGATTTCCGCTTTTTTTGGACTGATGCAAAGAAAAGTTTTTGAGAAAATGTTTAATTGTAAGCAAAGAAATATCCGCAAACAGCTCAAAGAAAATATTTTTTCAAACTTTCTTACGCTAAAACTTTATAAAAAAATTATTTTTCCTCTATTAATCAAATTAATCAACTTTTTTTCGTGTACCTGGGTGTTTTTAACTTTGCCGAGCTCGTAGTTCCTTTCTTCATTTGCTTCTTACGGCAAGTAAAAAGTGATATTATAGATGTCTGCAATATTTTTGGAAATCAAATTCCGTTCTTTTCTTTTTTTAACACCAAATTATCAAGAAAAACAGGAAATATTTTTTAATTCTAGTTTTAAATGTTTCCACTATCTCAAAAAGCCTCTGGCTCATTTTCACAATACATAAACTTCGAATTCCTATACTTTCTAGCCTTTTTTCAATTTCTAACTGAAAAAATTGATAAAACATCACATTCTTATCATTACTAATAAATTTTCCTCTCCAAAATCCATTTTTCTAATAAAAACTCCTCGAAATCCAGTCTTACCAAGATCAGTAGCACAAAGAAAGGAACCATGGCAGCTAGCAGTAGAAATGAGTTGAACTTTGGGATGACGTCCCGAATCCAACAATTTACTCTTTTTGACGCAAAAAGATATTTGAGAAAGTTTCGAAAAGTTTATTTAATTTGCAAACAAACTTTCATCAATTTTACTCAAGCTCCTGAAGAGGGACTTCATTCGAAAACAAATTGAGAAGCTAAAAAGTCTATAAATTTTCAGGAATGCAACGAGCGATGTGAAAGGCTTAAAAAAAGGACGCTTGACAGGATAGGATTCGATGAAAACCGGTAATTATTTCTTTTCCGGAATTATTTTCAAATTATTTCAAAAAGTCTCAAAATTTCATCTTTTTCGGCTGATTTAGGATCGATTCCCTACTACTGAAGTTTTATATTGATAAGCTTTTATTATCAATGTAAAAAAATTTTTACTTTTTCTTTTTGATTCTCTTCGATTCGACGTAAAATATTTCTAGATTAAAGTGGAACTTCATCGAACTGGAGGCAAATATAACTTTCATGGTTCTTCCTCCACGCCACAGATCTGTCTGTGAGCAAAATAAACATTTCATTCCTTCATTCATTTTACTTCTATTGAAAGCAAATTGAAGCGAGCAAACCGATAATTTAGGAAAATAGTTGAAAGTATCAAATTTGAATTTCTTGAAAACGTATTCATCTTGTTTTTTCTTCCAATTTTCCCTACAAATAGAGCTTCACAGTTATTCAATTCTACGTGAACAGTTAGGAGCATCAAATATTAATTTTCTGTCCTGTTTAATTTCCTAATCTTTGAAAATATCAAAAAATTTTCCCTTCAGAAATTTGAATATTTTTACATTCATTTCTAAAAATTTTCAGAAGCTACTTCTGAATATCAAGGGCACAAAGAAAACCGCAGAATCATAATTTTCGTCGTTAAACTCTTTTAGGTTCCTCTCACGCCGCTTGCAGCATGGTTTCATGTTTAAAATCGGCCAGATTCATTTTAAAACCCAATTTCAACTCTCAAGTCATTCTATCCGAGCCAAAACATATGAAACACTTGACGTTGATTCATTTGCAGATTGAATGCGTTGCTCGAACGGCAACGTCCCCTGAGTACAATGAAAGACGTTTGCTGGTGGGTCAAAGAAACGAAGAGAAAAAAGAAACATATTGACATTCTTCAAAAAGGGGTTGACATGTTTCAGATACAAAACTTTATCCCAGAAACACTTCAAAAATGTTCAATAAGCAAACATTTAGCGCCGAAAACCCTCAATTCGTCCATTAATGAGCAAAAAAGGTTTATCAGGATTATACCTATAGAAAAGGTAAAAGGCTTGAACATTTCTCAATTTTGATTTAAATTTCATAAATTAAGTGGCTTATCTCCACGGAAGAAATTCATTCTAAAGCCTCAGGAACTCAAAATTATTAGAAATCCGGAACGAAGTTTTCCTTTTCAATTTCCTGATTTTGAGTCAAAATCTTTCAGGCGCCTCTACGACAATCTCGACTGCATGAAACGCTGTCCGACCACAAAAAATCATACGAAATTCGCCAAAACCATCAAAAACAAGTGCAGTTTTGCGCTTCGAGGTAAAAATCGTTGTTTTTGAGTTTGAGGCACTAAATGCCAAAAAAAATTATTGGACCACGCTCCGTCAATAGTTTCAGTGAGGCTTCTAGTAGGAACTTTGCCATCTCCAACCAATTTGTACCGCTTTAACTCAATTTTGAAACATTTCCAGACATGGAAGCGAATCTTCAATGCGTCAGTCGACACCACTCATTCCTCAATGTTCGTTGCCGTTCTTTCGGCAACGAGGCGACGACTTTGAGAAAGAAAAGTGACCTGGGCACGACTCCGGACCGTGAGACTTGCCGGTTCGTTTCGAGGAGTATCTTTCTCGTTGTAATTTTATGAAAAAGAAGGGACTGATTAAGAAAAAAAGAGGATTAATACTAGACAGTTTTTCTAGTATTCTAGACGCTTGTGAAGCTAAGAAGCCACTTTGAGTACAAAATGAACAAGAAGATCTTCGAGTTCAGATTCCTCCATCTCAACACTTTCTGCTTGGAAAACGCCGTCAGTAGCTACTGTCCGAAGGCGAAGAAGCTCTTCCGAAGACTTCATTTTAGAGACTACTTCTTAAACTTCTTATTACCCGAAGAAGATCTACTCTTTGATGATGATGACCTGGACAGCTGTCAATTGTACAATTTCGTGAAAGGTCAAGAAGACGAGGAAGAAAACGAGACGACCACAAGGATCAATTTGGACGACGACTATGATGAGGTTCAATGGGGACTTTTTCCAGGTTTTATTTTAAAACTTTGAAAATTTCAAATTTAGGAAGACGAGCTAACAACGATCGTCAACCACATGGAATCAACAACGACCAAATCGAACACTCCGATTTCTACCTCCACATCTTCACCAACAAGTTCAGCAGCTTCAAAAGAGAAACAAGTACAGAATTTTTTGAAAAAAAGCCAATTAATTTAGAAATTCAGGAGTTCACAACCCTCCTGAACGAACTCCTGCAGCCAAGTTCCAATGAAATCAATACAAAATCTTCGGAAGACACATATACAACTTCTGAAAACCCTACGACTTCTTCCGAGGTTATTTTTACAGCTTTGTGGTAATTTTACGAAAAATCTAGGTAACGACAACGACTACGGACCTTCCAACGTCTTCCGAGGTCAGTTTCACTGTTTTTGCCATACTTACAACATGGAAATCATCTTCAGGAAATAACGATACCTACCGATCTTTCGACAAATTCTGAAGTGAGATCTGAAACTTCAGAGTCAAAATTATCGATAATTATCCCTTCCAGAAGCCTCACTCAAACTTGTCTCCTTCTTTTTCCACCGAACTCGTCACACCGTCGTCTTCTGAAGTTCTGAAGACTTCCAGAATTCTGAAATAACATGGAATTCAGGAGAATGAACCGGAGACGGCTTTGAACTCTCCACATCCTTCAGAAGGCACTGATTACGAATACAGTGAAGGGTACGATGACGTGGAAGATGACGACGAAAGCACGAGTTCAGTCAACGTCGTCCCCATTGAAGAGCGGGTCACCAAAGGTATAATCAGAACTCTTGACCTGACGTCAATAACTTCAGAATCGACTACAACTTTATCAACGACGACGTCAAAAAAGCGGGTCTTCTCAGATGACAGCATGGAAAACACCCCTCCCAACTTTTTCTACTCATCTTTGAGAAACACGCTGTAAGAACTACTAGTAGACGTCCAAAATCCTGATTTTCAGCTACTCAACAAGTACCCATCCAAACCACAGATTCGTATCGGACAACACTAATCCTGAGGTTTCATCATAATCAAACAACATCTAATCTGCTCTGACTTAAGGATAGCGACGAGGTCCCGACGTTGGAAATCGATACCACAACGTTATTCGGAATCGAAAACGACACGACGACAATTCCTACAACTGAATCTTCCGAGGGAGCTGTCCAAATCGTTTTGAAAACGAAAAAAGGGCCGCAGAGCCAAACTAGAGTCACTTCGACCACAACCGTCGGTCTTGGAGTGACAACGCCACTTTTGCGCGGTGAAATTGTGGTGAAGCCTATTCGGAAAAAGAGCGAGCCTGACGCCGAAGAAGGTAAGCTAATCAGAAAAAATAAGAAATTTTTCGGAGAAAACTCAAAAATAATGTATTTATACCTTAGAACTGTGCATTTTCTTTGAGTAAAAAGAAGATTTGCGGCTCCAGCATTTACAGTAACAAAAAAACTTCCTACCATAGTTAAAAATATTTATTTTTTCAGAATGCGAGCCTAAACTCCTTTCTCTCAAAATTTCTTCATGTTCTCGAAAAGAATCCCACGTTTTCCGACTTTCAGCCGAAGCTGAGCAACGCCGTCAGCGCCTCCGACTCAACCGAGGTCAAACCTCCTCGAAAATGACGTCGGCCGAGTCAGAAGACGTCGTCGAGCCGCAGAACACCCTTTCCAGCGGGGACAGGAGGACTCTGATCGCAATTCTCTCAATCCTGTGTACCGTTGCTATTCTGACCGTCCTCTGTGCCATTTGTTGTTTCTGTCGGAAGTCAAAGTCTCATCAACTCAACTAGCCACTCTCCGTGTAAATATGACATAATCGACCAGCAAAAAACCCAAAAAAAAAAAAAACTTATTTTCATTCAATACGAGTCCACCGATTTACCCTTTTTCACGATATGAATAAAAGCCAATCAAACGAGTTTATTCAAAGGGAGGAAAACTGCGCGACGGCACACGCCAACTGGTAGAAAAAAGATGGAAGGAAAGGTGAAAGAAGAAGAAAGACGGGAAAAGGGGGCGGCGAATCTTCTCACTGGTCAACGCGAGTGCGACGTTTGAGTGCTGCATTCGTCGTCGCTTTTCAAAAGGTTCTGCAAAAAGATTGGGAAATGGCTCAGCTTGCGCTGCGGTCCGCGAGACGGCTGCCGTCAGGAATAAAAAAAAACGCAAATTTTTGCCGACTCAGCAACAACTTCGGAGCAAGAACCAATAGACATTTCAATCATGCATGTCTGCGCCCTCCAACTTCCACTTGTTAATCTATTTCGTTTAGCAGAGTAGTGAGAGAAAATAGAGGAAAGAAAGGAAAGAAAGGCTAGAGAAAGTCCTTCAATCAGAAAATAAGACTGACTTGGACGGAAAGGAGTAAAACGAAAAAAATTGTAAATTCTCACAATTCTGAAAGCTCAGTCGATGCGCAGCCAAATCGCTTTAAACCTACAAGACTTTCTCCATCAACTGAGTCCCAGCGAAATTTATAAGCCCCGACTTGAAACGGTCTAGCTCGCTTGCTTATTCTCTTTCCTCTCGGTGACGTCATGGAAACTTGATGACATCACGTAAAAAAGGGAGAGCGCAGAGAAATCAGACCGTCTCCAATTTTTCAGTTTTGTTTTCAAGTTCTTCCCTATACAGTCATTCCAATGCGCGCGTCCTGTTTTTTTCATGTGCCTTTAATGTAATGGAAAACTCAGGCTGAATTGAAGGGGCACACCCAGATACATCGTAGAAAAGGGTTCTATCTACTCGTAGGAAAAAACAATTTTGTTTCTTCAAACTTGTCTCACCGAAATCGGGACGCCACACAGATTGGCGTTGAGCTTCAGAGAGTTGTACAAGCGGTTCTGCGAAACTCCCGTTAATGATTCTGAACCCAATAAATCAAATCAAGGCTCAAAATATTCGCCACCGATGCTTCGGGCCGTCCTGAGGATCGGCGACGACTCGGAAGACGCCGTCGACGTCGGATTGGACGTCGGTCCGAGCGAAGCTTCGCTGCCGCTGCGTGGCGGCTTCGGCGACACCGCGCTGCCGATAGAATGGGCGGTTCTGGCTCTAGTTTCCGACAGCGAGGCATTCGGCCATGAATCTGCAGAATTTCCCTTTGAATTTTACTTCAACTGCTTCAAAAAATATACGAAAAGTCCTCAAAATCTTCCTGTATGCAGCTTACTCTAACTGAAAAGTCTGAAGATTGTGAACCTATTTCTGGATGTCGAAATGTGTTTCTTATTCAATTAGTTTCCTTTATAAACATAACTATGACATTCGCGAATCCTCAGTCTTTTCAAAGTTATGTTTCAGCCGATGATCCATCAAAAAGGTAGGGGAATTCGACTATATAATGCTAAAATCCCTCTATTTCAACCCTTATAAATTCAAAAAACACACGAAAAATGAAAATAAAACCTCTAGAAGAGTAGGAAATAGATGACGAAGATGAGGACGAAGAAGTCTTGGGGAAGTTGGAGCGGCAAGTCTCTAAAAAGAGTTTCAGTAGCTGATAAAAATGATGAAGATAAATTACTCGAGCTAAGTGACGTATCGGCAAAGTTGGAAAGGCAAGTCTCTGTAAGACAATTTTTGAACTGAATCTTAAAAATCAATAAAATACTCGAACTGAGTGACGTATCGGCAAAGTTAGAGAGGCACGTCATCAGCGAAGCAGGCTTCTTTATAGCTGGAAAACGAAGATTTTCAGAATTTCGCTGAATATGTTTTTTTTTCTCCCAGTTTCAAGTTTAGAAAAAGATTTCCGAACCTCAACAACAAGAAGTGGAAATCATGTCCTTACCACGTTATTTTTTTAGAAACTAGATTATAATATTAATGAAACGAAAGAAACCATAAAAAACTGGCGTTGAAAAAAAAAAAAGCAAATTTGTCAATGATGACTCTTCCGATTTTTTTCATATCTCTACGGAATTTTTCGAACTTATTTTTCGATAGATTCTTAGATTTCAATGTATCCATATAAATAAGATTGATGGATGACGAAAACAACAAAAACTGATGTAAAAAAAAGTCATGAAAACGTATTTTCAGTCGGGGAGGGATTCGTCGGAAATTTATCTAGAGATTTAAAAAAAAAACGAAAAATTCGCTCAACGAATTTTTCGATTTTTTTTTCTTCAATTTGTATCATCTAAGTTCTTCGAATAAGGCAAGAAATGGAAAAAGCGATTCTCATGGTGAAAATTATACTAGCGGTCAAAAATAATGCCTATTTCGATTACCCTAGAACGAACCCCAGTCGAGAGAGTTGCCCGAAATGGCCGTCAAAGCAGTGGTCGGCTTTGAAAAGTCGGAACGGCCTGTCGAAACCGAAGAAGTGCGGGTTCGACTTCGAGAACGGGTCTTGGAACGGCTTCGCTTGGCTAAAAAATGAAAAATCCGAGGCCGTATGCATTCATGTGGAAAAAAAAATTTTTTTTTCAAATTCAATAAAGACTCTTATTCATCATTTTCTAATGGAAATTGGTCTGTCTTAAATGAACTGTTTCAGGGAATCATACTAAATTAGAAGAAAAAAATAAGGAAGATAATAGCCAGTTTCAGGTCTATTTAAATTTCAAAAAAATGGCGGGAGAACGTTTTTGATAGACTTTTTTTTAAAATTGAAACCGTTTGAAAAAAACAGATTCATTGAAAAAAATTTACCGGCCAGGCTTCTCGAGCGTCGTTTCGTCACCGAGTCATCTTTTTTTCTACAAAAACAAAATGTTCATTATTAAGCAGAAAAAAACTTACGTTTAATTGCGTCGTAAACTGGCTTCCAGTATTTCAGCAATTCGTTAACATCTGAAAATAATAATGCTCTTTGAAATTTTATTCTGAATCCAACCATAAGGTCCACGAGCATTATCGGACCGTTGAGAAAAACCTGAACTTTGTTAGTTTTTTCGGTTTTTCAAACTAGTCAAAGTGAAAAACCTTTGACACTGGCCCTAGTCGTGTTTGACAGCTCCAGTGCTTTTTCATAATCTGAAATGAAATGTGAAAATTAATAATTATTTATTAACTTACCAGAAATATCTTTTGCAGTGTAGACGTCGCGTTCGGGTTCTGGAAAAAGACAATTTTTAACTGAAACGTTTCAATTTCCAAAATAAAACGAAATGTGAAATTATTACACTGAACGCTGAACGAGCCCGTTTTTCAAAACTAGTTCTATGAGAAAATTAAATATGTCGTGTTCATAAAAAAATTTCCATGAAATAAAAAAAGTTCGAAGTCGCAAAAACTTAAAATTTTTCAAAAATCAAAAAAATTTTCAGCAGAAACATGCTTGCGCTCTGGCGCAAAGTCGATTTTTTTGTTCATTGTTTTGTTCAATTTACAAATTAAATCGCCTTTTCCTCATTCAGAAAAATTATTTAGTTGTTTTTAAAGAGAAAATACACGAAAGCTGGCCATTAGACTCGATATCCGTAGGTCGAGCACCCAAAGTCTTTGGCGGGTTCTCAGAAACGTCCTTCAAAAAGCTATTTATCAGAATTTGTTTGGCGTCATTTTGCTGGTGAGCTGAATTGAAATATTGATTAAAAGTCCAATTCACACGTTAGAACTCACGCAACGGGTCAGGCGGAAGACTGAGAGTGCTTGAGCTTAGCTGCGTCGGCTGAGGAGTAAAGTGCTTTTCAATGAAGACTGCAATAAGAAAATCACACGAAAAAACTTTTTTTTTATAAAACCAGAAGGATCTCTGGAAGAAGCCGAAATGAGATGGGAGGCCGATTTTTCCGTAGGAGCCGCATATTCTGAGAGGGATCGGTCTGACTCGCTCATCACTTTTGTACGGTTCGTCGAGGAAGTCATCGTCCAGTTTTCGCTTGCCGATTTCCAGGAACTGCCAAAGTTAAATGTCTAATTTATTTTGAAGATAAATAGAGTTCCAAAGTTTTTGAAAAGTTTGGCGGAAAATCGGACTCAATTTCTGGTCACTTTGGTACGATTTGACCAAGCCTATTCGCTTGAACAAGAAGGATTTTAGTAACAGTTTGGTAGCCAGTTTGAAGAATTAAAGTTTCGGGGAAGGCTCAAGTTTAAAACAGTCGAGGCAATCACCTAGCCGCCGAGAAAAGCTTATCATCAGGCCGAGCCGTCTTCAACGACGCCAACGAGGCATAGGACGCCGCCGGCAACGTCGTCACAAACGACTCGGAATTCTCGAATGCCGACGTCAACGACCGTGTCGATCCCGAAGCCGGCGCCGACGTTTCAGCAATACTTTGGTTCAATTCGCCGAGGTAGGCCTTTAGAGATCCCCGTTCCTGGGTCAGTTCATTTGGAGTACGAAACAGGGCTTACGTGCAAATTGATAAGAAAACTCTCGACTTCGTAACTCCGCTGAACGACGTCTTCAATAATTTGACGGTCTCCCTCGTAAGTGACATGATTCCGGATTGGAATCACCGAGTCTCGAAGCCGATGGAGCATCGAGGCCATTTTGGTCGTTTGAGCCGCAGTCCAGGCCAATCCGCGACTTTTGAACTCCTCATAAAGGGCGCCGCGTTGTACAACGTCCGCGTTTTTGAAACTCAACGTCTGAAAAAGGAATCCTGAAGCTTTACAAAGAAGAATCGGTAAAGATAGTTTTATTTGCTTTATTTCAGGGTTGCATAGTTCTAATGACTGAATCTTTTTTTTTCCGTGAAATGAGGGCCATTTTTTGAAAGGTCAAGTTAAAATCTGAGGTAACTGTAGTAGCTTCTACACCCTTCAGTGATCATAAGAACTCTTCTATAAGTTCTTAAAAAAATAATTACTGAAAATTCGGAAAAAAGCCACTAAAGGTAAACCCCTGAAATAATTCGAAAAACAACACTTACTAGTTAGAAGCAGTTTGTTCCAAAAGTTAAAAAACACTAAAATTTGATTTTAAAAAAATGCGTCCTTTTAAGTTTTCTTGGAGCTACTTTTTCATATCAGCCATATCATTTTTTCATAAGTTTCACTTCAAAAAAAAACAAAATTCTAAACCAAGTCAATGAGTCGTTTGCTCTTCACGTTATTGTCCTCCATCATCAATTTGAGCAGCCCATTTTCGGCAATCATTTCTCGTTCTTCTTCCCACATTTCATTCACATCGTCTCGCAGTTTAAAAACATCGATAGTCTGAGAAAAAATCTCAATTTTTGAAAAAATTTCAAAAGCCTACATTTTCAATAACTTTTCCCAAATGTTCTCGTTGAGCTTCCGATTCACGTTTTTCCATCAAAAAATGCGCATCGCGGCGGCCGACAATGTCCTCAAGCTAAGAAAAAAGATAGTTTTCAGTTTTTTTTAAATTGTAGATGACCAACATCTTCAAAATGTTTGGTGGTTGCGCGAGCTTGGGTCTCCAAAACAGTTCGAGTCGAATTTTGCAGGCTCGTGGTGCAAGTCGCCAACGTCTGAACGTCTCTTTAGGAAAACATAATGAGCCTTCTTGTTGCTTAATCGGTTCTTCAAAGAAAAAAATTTTTTTTGTAACATATATGTTCAGCAAGATTTTTGTGAATGGACTCTTATGGTTTTCTATAAAAAAAGTTTATAGCTCTCTCGTTCAAAGTTTCTTTGTTATTTTTTAAAGACCATAGAAAAGTTGCATGTAGTTCTGATGGCAAAAAGTCGCTTTCTGTATTATTTTTTCTGTTTCGTAGAAAGTATTTTTGCGAGTAGTTCAAGCCGCGACGCGAACCGCATCGTTCCGACCTATTTTCTAACCTGGCGCAGTTTGCCCATTTGCTTGTGCTGCATTCCGAGGGTGTGCTCAAAGTCGGCTCGAAGGTCGTGGGGCTTTGTCGATGAAGTCATAGTCGTAGATGATGACGTCGATTCTGACGTCTTCACAGTTTTGATAGGCTCTTCGCCGTTGATGGTAAGACTGCTTCCAGAAGCCGTTGCACTTGCCGAAGACGTCGCCGTGTCAACCTTCTTCCAATGCTTTCCCAGCGAGGTAACCGAGTTGGAAGATTCGATGGAGCGGATATCCTTCAGAGATTTACGATTTTGAGGATTTTAGTTGCACTGGGAATGGCCCAACGTGTAGCGGTTACTATGAAGATATTCCAGAAACAAAATCGAGATTCTCTCTAACTAAAACCGCAGTGCGCCGGCGACGCATTAAGCCATTCCGAATGCGACCACAGAGTTTTATTCCTCTCTACCTCTGATTTATTGACTCGGACCTTGGTTACTCGAACCAGCCGCGAGTTGGACGTGTCGGGGCAATTATAGGGATCACTTAAGCTGACGCTACTAAAGTGGTCACTATAGCTCCGACTGTTCCGGTTTTCGTTACCCAGGCTTGTGCGAAGGCCGGCCCGTCACCCTCTTGGCCCCCCGACCATTTCGTAAGCCCGGCCCGGCCCGGCCTTAGAGGGGCCTCAAGAAAAAATGGCCCGCCCGGCCCGAAGCGCGCAATTTTTTTCTAGTCGAATATCAAGTTTTTTTTACGACAAAAATTATGTTTTTGCTCATTTTTTCACTTAAAGTTTAACAAAAACTATGATTTCAGAAGTAAAAGTCACATTTCGGTGAAAATTTTCCAAATGAAATTTTAAATTTTTTTTTTGAAGCCCGGGCCGGGCCGCCCGGCCTGACGCACAAGCCTGTCGTTACCGAGGTCCAAGAAAGTGGAAGCCATTCAGAGACCTTTTTCGATAAACCAAAATTAACCCTTATTTTGAAAACATTATTGAAAATTACCCTGGGCGTGGCCGGATACTCATGAGGCGGAATTTCGATTTTGGTACAACTGAAAAAAGTTTCTTTTTGTTGATTTACAGTTTTGAAAAGATTATTATCTTGCCGAGGATATGTGGACTCAAGCCCTTCAGAACCATTTGCTCAGGTTCTTTTGACTTTTTGAACTTTTCTGATGAAACTTAAAAAGGATATGATATAAATATCAAATCAACGTGAAATAATAAACTTTGAAGTTGAGAAAAAAACGCCTTTTTGAATATATAACTCTCTTATGAAGTTCTAAATTCTTTAGGCTTTCTAGAAAGGGAAAGAAAAAAAGGTAATGTTCCGTTGAGAGAATGCGATCCCTGGTCTTCGATTTGGGGGGGCTAAACAACTACTCTTACAGAAAAACTACCGTCGCCTGGCTTGTTTTCGTGTATTTTTCCCAGATTTTTCCATTCCCTTTTTGAAAAAAAAAAGGATTTTATACTTTTTCGTAGTTGAGCTGAAGTCATCGAAACGAATTTTTGGGCCGAACTTCAATCCGAGAAGAGAAGACATTTTCCGACAACGGAACGACGATGAAATAAATGGCCAATGCGGCAAGTCACGTTTTTTTTTTCGAACTTGATCAACTTTTTTCCATTATTGAATCCATTTTATAATATTCTTCATTCTTTTTATTTACGTTGTTTATAGTTCTTTTTGAAAACTCCTGGTGACTGTTAAATGGTATTATTTTCAAGGAGCGTCCGACATGAAACGACTTGCGCTTCTGTCCATCGAGACAGTTGCTGTCTTCCAAAAGCCATTTCACATGCGACCATGGACCAATTTCCAAACCGAACTTTTTGATGCAGGTGAACGGTTTTCGCAACAGACCATATTTATCACATTTTTCACAATAGATCGCAATATTTACATCTCCACATCAATCTCGAACTCTTCCTCGCTAATTCCATCACAGATGTTCTCGAAGATGTGCGACTCGGAAAGAGGAAAACGCAAGAATTGTCTCAGTTCCAGTAGAATCACCGGGAATTTTCTGAACTCCCGGAAGGGGTCCTGATCGTACGTGCTCTTGCACTGCTCCACGTAGAGCTGAAAAATGGAATTGATTCCTTTTTTTTTGGATTTGAAGGCTGAAAGGTGCCTAAAGGTAGGGACCGCAGAGCCACGCCCACTTCGCTGTTCAAAAAACTTCGTCATTTTCGTTGCATTTTGGTTCTTTTTTATATTTTAAAACAGTTTTCCTGTACCGATTGGGGATTGCCATCAACTTTCTTTTCATATAGGTTTCCACTTTATATCACTGACTTTGGAAATTGGCCTGCGGTCCCTACCTAAAGGATTATTTTTTGTTCAAAAAATTCTCAATAGCAGAACATCTTGGTCGCATTGAGAATGGTTAGAAGAGACTTTTGAGTCTTTCTCATACTCACCTCAAGCGCATGCTCTCTCAACCTGGGCATCTCGTATTTCAGCGCCATAATGGCGACCTCGGCGGACCTCTCGTGGCTCAAATAGCTGAGCAAGTTCTGCTCGATGGTCATCTTGACCACTTCGATTCGGGCTTCTCCGGCCGCCTTCAGAAGCGTGATGTACTGGTCGACGGTCAGGTCGATCCTGTCGCTGACCAGCCCAGCCAGCTTCACCTCCATGTAGACCTTCTTCGAGACGTCAGTGAGCGTCTGCAAAACTGTCTTTCCAGGGTTTCAGGGAATTTTCAAAGATGCCGAAAGAACACAAAAAACGACTCTTCACTACAAGATATTTTGTGAAATTAACATTTGCTTCTTTAAAAATTGAATTTTTGCAAGAAATCTACTCACAAGCATCGCCTGCATCCATAAAAAGAGATCGGAACAGGTCTCAGCGAACTCGAACATGTCTTCGGTGTCCTCCCGGCTGAGTCCTTGGCTGACGAGGTCCTCGCAAAGCCTTTGCAAGCCTTCCAGTCTGAAGTCGGTCGCGACGTTGAGGAGTTTCTCGTAGTCGGCCGGAGGAATCGAGCCAACGTCCAAATTGTCGTTGGCAAAGTTGAGGAGCCACCGGATGACATCTGACCCGAAGTCGTTGATTATGACGTCGTTCTAAAAATATTAAAGTCGGGAAAAACGCTGAAGTTAAAGAAAAAAACTTTTCTTTGAGGTTTTTCTTTAACTATTCTGACTGGCTCTCCTTGCTTTGCAGTTTCTAAGAAAGACTGAATTCAGGCAATCTAGTTCGTTATTAGGAAATTCATCCCAAATATGTAAAAGAATAAAGTTCTTTATAGCAGCAAACCACCAAAACTAATCATAAAAAAATTTGGACTAGACTTAAAGATATAATGTGATTTTCCCCTTTTAGAGTTCCTTTTCGTATTTCTTATCCAAAAAACTATAGGTTACCGATAAACTCTAGTCAAAAAACGTATATTCGCCTTCTCCAACTTTTTTAGGTCTAATCAACAGGGGTTCTCATTCACTGGCCACGCCCCTTTTTGAAAGTTCGAAGAAAAAACTCTTCTTTTTCTCTTATAAATTCAAAATTGTGAGTTGAAACTAACCTCTCCCGCCTGATCCACCATGTCCTTGTAGACTGGTGACCTGATTAAGACTCATATTAAAATTCAAGAAAAAATGTTCGAAAACCTATCAGCGAGCTTCCGGCTGCAGTTCTTGCAGACCCTGACGAACAAGGTCTCTCTAGGGAAGCTGATCGAGACGTCGATGGCCGGCATTTTCGTTATTTTTTTTGATTTCTGTAAACTTGCTATCAGTAATGATGGATTTATTCACTGAGTAGGGTATAAAAATAAGTAGTTCGAAATAATAAAACACGTTAGAATAACTTGTAACAGGAATAAATTCCACTATTTGGGATAAATTGAGAAAAGGATGGTATAATTTGAGACCCTGATAGGAAAGAAAACAAAGAGAAACAGAAATGTTAGCCAACATCTCGAAAGCAACGTGAAACAGGAAAATGGGACGCGAAAGGGAGGCGAGTCTGACCTTTCATATGAGTCTGACCTATCTCAGACCCGACCTCGCGATGTGCACCTGATAATTGGGGGCGTCGGGAACGCAAAATTAGCATAAAATCGATAATGTACCGTAAGGACTTAGGTAGGGATTTTACCTCCTTATGAAGAGAGGTGTGACTAAATTCGAAAGAAAAGGAAAAAAAGTGCAACGGAATGATTATTCCACTGCTTTTCCAGATATTTTTGAATAGATCAAAAAACAAAGGTTTTTTGAAAATCTTTCCAGCTTCCTACGAAAATGCTACTCACTAAACACCTATAAACGGACAAAACGAAAAAGTTCCTCCAAAAATTTTTTTGAATAAAATCCCATCTAAAGGTCCCCAACTTTTTCATTTCACTTTTGCATTTTTTTTTCACATTCCAAAAAAAAGATGCTGAGAAGCAACTAAAATATTTTAGGGGATTCAAAAAGGATTATGGTATGAAAAAAAAGCCAACGAAATTTCAAAAGGCAACTTTTCCGATTTTTTCGTATCGCTAGGGAACTTTCCGACGGCCACCTTTCCGCCGAATCCCTTTCCGACTTTTTTCCCTGATATATTTTGCGGTACATCAACCATTTATTAACTTTTTTTTTTATTTCTTTGTGTTTTAATCATGAACCAACTACCTACTTTATATAGGAATATTTAAAACGAAGATTTTATCGAGAAAAAAAGTCGGAAAGAGATTCGTCGGAAAGGTGGCCGTCGGAAAGTCCCCTAGCGATATGAAAAAATCGGAAAAGTCGCCATTTGAACTTTCGCTCGTCTTTTTTTCATACCACCAAAAGGATACACTGGGGCTATGAAAAAAAAAAGCACAATAGCTTTATCAAATCCATCTGACAGCCTTTAAGGAAGTCTTTATCTATTTATTCACGTAAATCATAGTGATCACTATGCTAATCGATTTAGAATTCAAAGTGAAAGAAAACACAAAAGTAACGGTGTTTCCAGTGCCGTTTATATATTATTATACTGGTTGTTCGATATTACCGAAAATTCAACATTTTTTTAAAAGATTTTCGCACTTCCTAGAAAATAATCTAGTATGAAATTTTCAACTTACCGAATACTTCCATGATAAAACCACTCTCCGCAAAGTACCCAAACTCGCGTTGCTCTTATTATTTATTTTTGTCTATTTTGCAATTTACCGTCACTTTTTCCGGTTATTGATCAGTGAGCATTTCGTGCACAAACAGGTGCCAAACTGCCAGAAAAACACGGCGTTTTGTCTTTTTCCCACTCAATCGAGCCGAAAATCCACGCGCAAGTCTTCCTTCGCGGACCAGCTGTTGCACCTCACGACTTTTTTCTGCCAGTATGAATTCTCCTTATTTTTCAAAATTTTCATTTGTACTCCAATTTCGATTTGTTCAATGATAATATCGTTCGTTTGTGCGAAACCTTCCTGTCCAGCTGTTTCTAACTTTTTCCTATGACTTTTTCTTTTCCAATCTTCAACTTAAGTTGCCGAATGTAATGCTGAATCGGAATTTATTAAAGGAATGTCGTAGAGGGGTGCGTAGCGCTAGATGGAACGCCGACGCTCATTTAAGGTTTTTTTTTAGAAGATGACTTCGATTCAAATCTTGAAGTAACTTTTTCAGAGCTCACGAAAGACGGGCAGGAGTTTCTGAAGAAGCCATTCTACGGGTTGATACTTGCCAGTTGGCCGCAAATAGTCCTATTGAGGACTTTTACTCGGCTGCAAAGTGTGAGAATAAAAACTTAGATTTTGAAAACTTGGTAAATAATGGATTTTTCAGGCCTTTCCAGCAGTGCCTTCCTTTTCGGCGTGTTCGACGGCCATGCTGGTCCGGAATGTGGCCGCTATGTTTCTACTAATCTCTTTCCTTATATCTGTTCCTCGATTCTGAAGAAACATGAGGTATCATTCCCAGATCACAGAAAATGAATATTTTTTTTAAAAGGTCACCGAATTGCCGCCAAACCGCCGTCTTCAATGGCTCTTCAGTAGCGCCGATACACATTTGCCCAACGCATTTATGTAAATATTTTATTCACAGCTATTTTGAAGATGAAAAAAAAATGAATTTCGATTGATGCTGAGGTTTTTTGTAGTTTTTATCAAATTATTGTGTTTTTCTTAAGAAAGTCTTTTCTTATGCGTTTGAAAGTGCAGAGTGTTTTGAGTTATCTTCTGTGAACTTTTATGAATTTCAAAAGTCCTCAGAGAAATAGAAAGTCAGAAAAATATTGGTAATTTATGAAATACGCTGTGATTTTTCGAAATATTTCGATCGATTTCCAGAGAATCGCAAGATGAGAAAATCCTCAAGTACCACGACAAATTCCGACGAAATCTCGATTTATACAAGGGGACTGTTCGAGAAGCTTTAAAATTCGCCTTTGAAAGTTGCGACGAGGATTTGGCACGTAGTGCTTTACCAACTAACACCGGATACATTGATCAGTTAGTTTTTTCTTTGTTTTTATCTTTAAATGACTTTTCTTTAAATAAATATATTTTTGGACAGTTTATTATAACTGCCCAGCCAAAGTTGAATTATTAACCGATTTTTTTTTCTTTTTTATTTTGAAGTTTACTTATTGGTTTTTGTTTTTTCGCTGGAATTTTTTCGCTGGAATTCGACAACTTTTACCTTTTTTCTAGGTTCCATTTTATCAAGACTTTTTCCAGTCCTTCATGCGATTCACAACATGAACGGTTTGTATCAATCTGTTTTGATGACATTTTCAATGGTATCATTTTTTGAGAAGCGGTAATGAATTGCTGAAAAGGATTCGAGCTCAATGAGCGCAATTAAACGAATTTTTTTCTGACGGAAAAAATGGAATAGATTCAAGAAAATCAAGAAATAATTTGGAATTTTCTTTGACTACCGTTGAAAATGCCTTGTAACCATCACATTATCTGGTGTTTGTGCTCTTTTTTACCTTTTCATCAAAATTCTCAATTTGATGAGCTTCTACAAAGAAATTTTCTTTTCCTTCTACTTCTATGTGTTTTTTCATTAGCATTTCCCGTATCCTTTCTGTAATTGTTCTCTTTCTTCTGCACATTTTTACACATAACGATGAATAGTGAATGAAAGAGAACCGCCCATTCCGCGCCAGCTCGTCATGATTTTTATTTTTTTCCGACCTACAGAACCCCTTTTGGGAAACTTCCGTTTGATTCCCGCGGTCTACCTGCTCCTTTTTTAAGCCTGAAATTACCGGTATATTTAAAGCGCATGCACTGAGTCAGACCGCGTACATCGAAGGGAAGCTTTAAGGATAGCTCGAAGGAAAATAAGAACCTAACCAGCGCGGAATGGGCTCTACAGTGCAAAAGTCTCAGTGTCATTGAAAAATAGTGGAATTTTCAAGATATGCGGCAAAAATCGCGGCAAGTGGTTCTTGTGCGACGATCGCCCATGTACGGAATCGACATCTTCATGTGGCAAATATTGGCGACGCGGCCGCTGTTCTCGGTGAGAAAATGCTCTTTATCTTGGCAATATTCTATGAACTAATCATTTAAGTACACAAAAATAATTTACTCCTGTCTGACAGTGAATAATTTGCATTTTTTTGTGATGAATCCGATTAAAATGTTTTTATTTCAAGTCTCATGCCCTGTTTTGATTTGAGAATCCAAGGTTCTGAGTTCGATTTTATATTAAATAAAGTGTGAGAGAAGCTTGATTTCGTTTAAAAGTGGGATAATGACCCACATTCTTGAAAGTTCTAACTATTTTAATTGATTTTCAGTACGGAAGCTGCAAATATCAAATAATGGTTTTTAAATAATTGTTAACACATTACTTTTTTAAATTTCCTCTATTCGACCTAAAACATATTCTTCAAAATTAAAGAGGAACTTGATCAAAGGGGCCACATATATAACTTTCCTGGTTCATTACCAATACGCCTCCCAAATCTGTCTGCCAGCGAACAAAAACCATTTCAGTTGAATAAGCTCATTCAATTCACACATTTGGGAAGCTTGTTATCCTTTTTTTTTCAAGGAATCGTCAATCCAAATGGGAGCGTAGTTGCTCGGCAATTGTCACGTGCTCATACGACGGAAAATGCGGATGAGGTAATGAAAAAAAAATTTTTTAAGCGATTTTTTTTTATTTATTTAACGTTGAGTTTTCTTGAGGGTCCAAATTTCGGAGAAAACTCGAGTAGAAATTTATTTTCTGAGCGAAAGCTTTATCAAAAATTTCACCTTTTTTTGGAGTTTTTCTGTGTTTTAAAGTTCACGTGACAGTTTTTTTTTCTCATTTTTTTCCCTTCAAGGTCCACAGGATACGAAATCAACACCCGGTGAGCGAATCGCAGACGATTTTAAAGAACGAACGGTTGCTAGGCGAGCTTTCGCCGTTGAGAGCGTTCGGAGACGTCCGCTTCAAGTGGCCCTTGGACTTGCAGCAGGTAAAAAAATAGTGGCCTTTTTAAAAAGGCAAGTGGCATTACTAGACCACTACGAATTACTATAGGGGCCACTAAGACGCAAAATAGTTGTTTCTGTAGAGCTGGTTTTAGTGACCACTTTAGCGTCCTCTCCAAGTAGTCCTTGAGGAACCTCTCGAGTGGAACTAGAGTTTCTTCCAAGCCTTTCTTGTGTCATGTGATTTCTCGTTTTCGGAACTTTTTTCGTTAAACTTTGGATCTAGGACTCCACGATTAAGAGATCTATCAGAATTTTTCAGGTTTTATGAAAAAAAAATCATATCGCTTCAGGTCGTTCTCAAAGCGCGACCTCCGCCGAATCTGTGGACCCCGCCCTACCTGACCGCTTCCCCAGAAGTTTTTTACCACAAACTGACGGAAAATGACCGATTTCTCGTGTTGGCCACCGACGGCCTCTGGGAATGGCTCGATCCGGATACTGTAGTGCGGCTCGTCCATGACCACACTTTGGGGACTATGACTTTGCAGCCGTATTCTCCACCTAATGGTGCTACTCTTCACGAGGTGAGAAGCAAAATAAGATGGGAGTAGAAAAAACTGAATGTTTAATGTAGGAATTTACATGAAATCAATTTTCTTTTGTCAAAAAATATATGTTAAATGAGAATTTTCGGCCTTTTGTAATCAGATTTCTTTTTTCTGAAGTTCTTCCGTTTGACAAGATTCAAAAAACTTTGCCAAATTTTCAACTTTCTCTGATTTTCCAAATTCAGTTGTCTTTTTCCCTTCCTGACGGCTATTTTAACTTTCGCGGATTTTTTTTTTCCATTTTGAACACGGCTCATTTCTCAGGCACTTTCCTACTTTCGCTAAACCATTTTTATCCTCACGCCTCTAATTATTTGAGAAAATTTTATTATTGAGCTCTATGATGTTCCACGTAAAGAAAAATGAAGTTTCAGGCATTAAAAAAAGGAAAGTCGTGAATATTCCAAATTTCTAGGTTCAAGCGGCTCTCAGAGAACGAGCCCAAGGCGAATCTCAAGCCAAAAAGCCGATCGACGAAAACTGCGCGACGCACGTCATTCGCCACGCTTTGGGCGGAATTTCCGGAGGCGCGACGAAGCAATATCAGCGGCTCATCGATATTCTTCAGGTTCGGCAAAAAAGGATTTCTTTTCAAGTAAAATGGCCTATAAACTCCATACGCAAAGAGGCGTGGCTTTCTGCGCTCTCTCCCAACCAAGCACTATCTCTTTTTTTAATCGTGTCAGGACTCTTTTTTCTCTCAAACCAGCTGTGGATCAACTATCGAGAAATTCGAAGAAACGTTCAGATTAGATCAAGTTGTCACTTAAGGTTATTTGTCAGTCGAAACCGTTCAGCTTCGAATAAAACATAAATCTGTTGAAAAATGTTAAAATTCAGTATTCGAAGATTCTTGTCCCACGTTTCTCCTATTTCTAAAATAAATAGGGTTTCCACATTGAACATACTGTAGTTAGGCTTTTGATTGAAACGAAAACGAGCAGCGGCAGAGTAAAAGTCCACAAAACGATTAGACAAGAAATAATCAGGTACAGATGCGTATATATAAATGGTGGGACCGCGCAACCGCCACTCCAGGTGCCCTTTCTTCCGATCTTCTCACCTCAAAAACTCGATAAGAATGGTAGTCATATAATCAGTTCGAGCGAAGAAATAAGAATTAAAAATATGAATAGTGATAACATCTTTCTCTAACGCCCAAGTTTTAAAAATTGAAAAGCAGAAGCGCGATAATTTAGTTTAAAAAATAGAATATATTGAGAAAAATATGAAAAAGAAAGTATGTAGCTATGAATTTTAGTTGCCACCGGAACTTTTTCAAATACGGATTTTTTTCCAGGTCCCTCCAGGCCGAGCCCGATGCTACAGAGATGACATCTCCGTCATGGTTATCCATTTCAACGACCGATTTTTGAACGAATTTGACGACGATGTAGACGCATAATTCAACGAATTATTGTACTCATGCTTTAGGGTTGAACTGAGTTAATTTGGGAAGAAAGTTTGAGGAAAAATGGCTAAAATTAGATTATTTTAAATACTCCGTTGGGAAGTTCGATTTTATTGATATTTGGTTTTCATTTGTTATTTATGGATTTTGAAGAATTTTGAAACTTGAAGGAAATCCATTTTGACATTTTTCACGCTAAAAGTTGAGGAAAATCGCTTTAAAAACGGCGAAAGTGCGAAAGTTTGACCACAGCGCAAAAATGACCTTTCAAAGCCATTTACACTCGACTTTATTTTACTTAATTTACTCAAAATTGTATAGCAATCATTTTTAAGGCTCAGTAACGCAACGATTCCACTGCCCCAACCGTTGCCAGAAGAGATTGTATTTTTTTTCGAAAAGGTCGCAATCAAATAACCCCAACAAATGTTGCGACGTTAATCTAGTTTTTTTTTTTAATCTTTTATATGTACGTATATTTTGTATTGTATGTTTCTATCATAGATGGGTATCACTAAACTGCAATAAAAAAATAAAAAAAATTCAAATTTATTTTTTTCTCAAGTACAAGTATTTACAGAAAAGTAATGAGGTTATAGTTGTGAGGGTTATAGGCAAGATATTATTTTCAATATAATGTTGGGATAAGTAAAATTTTTTGGTTCAATCATCACTGCATAAATTGCTGTTGATCCTGAGGCGGATATCCCAATTGCTGTCGAGGTTGCCGTTGAGCGTCGTATCCCTGGGGTGGACCGGAGAAGGTGCGAGGTCCTCCTGAAAATCCCAAATTCGAACTAAAAAAATCGATGATGAAAGTAGTTCGGGAAATTTACAACGAATGAGAGAAAAAAATTATTGATAGTTGGTTATATTAGACGATAAGCCTTTAGAAAAAGAATAATCAAATTTGATGTTTTTTGCAAAAACTTTTGAAGAGCTCAAAAATCAATAGTATTCTCAATCTGATGGTATATTCAACCTTTTCGATCCCAAGCAGGATTTTTTAGTAGAAAAAACTTCAATTTTTTGGCCATACCAAGTCTTTAGAAAATTTCTAGGCTAAGTAATTTGCGTAATTACACCGAGCGAAACTCAAAAAAATATGAGAGTTTCAAAGCGTAAATCGTTCTAACGAAAAAATGTAGTTTTTCGAGCAAGACACACTTTTAAAAACCAAATCTGTAGTCGTAACTATTGGAGGTCTCGAAGAACCTCTCAGGTCACTCGAGCTTTACTTTTGCTATTATAATAAAACTGAAGTTAACATATCGTTTCGAGCTCAAGATATATATATACTTTTTTTCTCAGATATTTCAACTATTAGTCGTTTTGGGACTTTTTAAAGCAAATATTTTTGAAACCCCATAGAACGTTATATCTAGAAATTAAGAGGGCTGAAATAAAACCTTTTTCAAGTTTTCACTTTTCTTATATACCTTTGAAAAATGTTTTCCCCGATTTTGATGCCTATTTTACCTTGTCCATACTGTGGGTACTGTGACATGGGCTGCTGCTGAGAGGGCCGTTGCTGTCCCATTTGCTGAGCGTATTGTTGTTGGTAGGCGTCCGGATGACCGGGATACTGAGAATTTTGCGTCGGTGGCGGTTGGAAAGTCGCCGGATTCGACGGCGAGCCATTACTACCATTCAGAGGATCGTTCGGCTTTTCTTCCTTTAAAAAATCGTTTTTTTTTTCAGAAAGAAAAGTTCACGAGTTGAAAGAAAAATTCTCAAAAACCTTTCAGAGAAATCCAATTTAGATTCTGTAACATCTCATAAATTCACGTTTTAAAGCACAGTAGAGAAAAAAACTTTTTTTTTGCAAGATTGCTCTAAAAATCACAAGAAACTGCAAAAAACAAAGGTCTCGAAGCGAAGTTTGGTGTACGGTACTTTTGCTTTAAAAAAAAAGGAAAATCTATAGCGGAACGGGCTGTAACCCATTTTTTTTTCACTAACTCGAAGCTGAGGAAGCAGCGATTGATCTGCCAAATTCGCTAAGTGAACCAGATTCCGATGGAGCAACATTTGATGCTTCCCGGCATCTTCCGCGCGGCCCTAAAATTATTTCAACTCAAATAAAAAAATGAATAAAAAAAAAAAAAAACCTGATTCTGATACTCTGTGATAACATCGATGAGCCTCGAATTCTCATCGAGCAATTTTTGAACCGTCGCCTGATGATCGGGGGGATTTCCGCGCATGTGACTCGGCACAAACGCCAGGGACATTTTTCTGTTGAAAAGAGGGAATAAATGAGAGATATTTTCCAAATACAAGTATTCCACATTGAAATTGACATTAAAATAATCAAAAAAGAAGAAAAATGAGAAAAAATTTATTCCTGCTAAAGTTGCATAAACCATTTCATTGACTCTTTTCTACAATGTTCCGAATCTATTTGGTTCCAATACGCGACCGTTTGTTCCACGAATAGTTTTGTCCGTAGTTCTTGGGCTTTATTTGTCGCGCATTAGGTTCCTGAAAAAATATTTCATTAGGAATCTATTTTTTTCGAATGAAAAAGACCTCAATATCGTAATCCCATCGGTTTTTCTCGCAAAAAGCGACGGCGTCTTCTTTCGAGGCGAATTTCATGTTCATCGAGATGTTGGAGAGCGGATCGCCTCTGGATAAAATTCTTTTTTAAATTGATCAAGATGGAAACATTGAATATAAGAAGGAAATTAAATAAAAAAACGTTTCTGTCAAAGTCAAACGCTCACACACGGGCAAAATTCAAAAGAACCTAAAAATAACCTTTGGAGAGAAGGTCTTAAAATGTCTGGAAGGCTCCTTCTTCTCTTGGAGAAAAAAAAATGACCGGAAAAGTTTCAAAAACGGAGATCCCGAGAAACTTTTGACGCCTTTTCAGGAACCTAGAAAGGAGCTCTAGACTCTTCTTTTTGAAGCTTTGCCCGTGCATTACAAGAAAAATTTTTTTCTATTTATATAAGTATGAAAGCTTGAAAAGGCCGAAACATCAAGAAAATTTTTTTTTGTATCAAGATAAAACCGTTTGAATTTTTTTAAAAAAATACAAAAGTCAAGCTGTCTACCTCAGAGAAAATATTTTTTTAAACCGACTTAATCAATATTTCGTAAAATCATCTTATTTTTAAAAAAATACCCTTTGACTCAATTTTCTGCATAAAATTTAACATTTTGGTCTTGTTTCATCTCAAAACTCTTCAAGAAAGAAATTTAAAAAAAAGGCACGGTAGAATAACTTCTGAAAAAAATTCTAGAGAACTCACGTGCTCGACCAGCCCATCAATGGGTTCTCCCATCGTTGGCGATTGTCTAACTCGATTCTCCAGGCCTTAAAAATTATAATCAACCAATTACATCTGTTCTGAGCTATATACCAAAGTATTGCCCCAGGGAGTTTGCGTGGCTTCTTTGGCAGGCTTGAAAATTCGGGCGGTACGAGTTTCAATATGTTCCAATGGAACGCCACTGATGTCCATCGTTTCGTCGGCCGAAACCTTCACTGGAGTCTGAAAGCTTTCAATTTGAATTCTTTAAAAAACTCCATCGTGTCGTTTTCTACTTTTTCTGGCGTCTTTTCGAGGATTTCATCGACTTCAACACGTTTGGCTTCGTGATACCGCGTGGCTGGAAGGTCTTTTCCGCCCGAAGACGCCATTCTAACGCATTTGCCGGCTTGAATTGCCCGCAAGATGCTGGTGCGGAGCATCTGAAACCTCCGAAAACTATAGCAAATTGTATCGTTTGACCGACGGAATGAACATTCGCCAGCTATATGAATATGCATAGATTTATTTTAACTGAGTTTGGAACACTAATGCATAATAGCCGTCAGAGAAAGAGTATAGATAAAATTCGAAGTGTCACAGATAATTTCGCATTTCCCGAAAATTACTTTGAACGCGGTATAAAAAAAATTGAATTTTTTCAAATAAATCAAGTTTGAGGACTAATGTACTGCAAAAAAACTGAAACTGTTTTTTTGATTTATTTCTTTATTGTCAGAACCACGCAAATAATTAGGGTACAGATAGGAAGGAAATGATATAAATTTGGACATACAGCAGAGCTAAAAAGGTCATATGGTGCCCTAACGAGCACCATGGCGACCGTTCGCAATCTATACGAATGAAGTTTCATATTAAAAAGAGAATGACAAGAAAATCGTAAAATTTTGCAAAAAAATTAAGGCATTCAATATTTCTAACAAATACTCGACTTGCGAAATCACAGATCCGTTGCAAAATCCTAATATTATATTTTTCGCGTTTATTAAATATTCTGAAAAAAACTTCTAGTTGAAATGAAAAGAAAAAAATGACCGAAAAATAATAATAAAAAAATACACGGCGGTCGCGAATTGAAAGTTTTTGCGCCTGATTCTGGGAATCGGCAAAGCCCGCATAGAGTTTCTATTCTGAAGAGGCTCCGCGAGATTTGCGGGCTTTTTTCCAAATTTGAAGTTGAATCGAACATAATTACAACTGTTGCCACTTCTTTGTTTCTATTGAGTGTCCACTGAAGCCTTCTGGAAGCAATAAATTTTAGAAAAGCTGTATGCAAACTGGAAACATTGAAAAACCTTGTTTACAAAATGTGATCCTGCGAGTAGAAATTTGTTTTTTTTTAAGATTTTCAATATTTCACTTTTCATTTTTGTTCCAATCGTTAGCTTTTAAAGGTTTCTTTTCTTTCTAATCTGTAGATTTCAAGCTTTTTTTCAGGGTGATGGAGTTGAACGAGGACGTCGAAGTGATCACTTTAAATAGCGAAGGAACTGATGATATAACGACGATTGATTTGGAGGAAGAAGCCGAGGAGGATGATGACGACGACGTTTTCGAAGTTTATACTATTCAGAACTATTTTAAGAACCATGAAACATTAAAAATCACTTCTAAAAAATCTAAAAGAAAAAAAAACAATTTTTAGTATGTTTTTTGGAGTCCTAACATGTTTGTAAGTTATTGAATAAACCCCAGCTATCATATTAAGGGAACGTTATGAAAACATATAAAGTGAAGAAAGTAGAGGCGAAATAAACCAGAATTTTGACGATAGGGCAGATCTGCGCGCTTCCGATGCCGTAAATTAATATATCGGGGATAAGCTTGATGGTTTCTCACTTTTTGTTGATTGTTAGCTGTTTTGATTTGTTTTCGATATTATTTTTCACAATTTCACTTCAGATGGAAGCAGTTTTGGACGTAAGATGGTGCCACAAAAAAAAGTGCCTCCTCTACTTGATCAAATGGTTCCAGGATGATAATACGACCTGGGAGAATGAGTCCGCCTGTATAAGTTTGTTTTTTGCTCTTATTTATTTAAAAGAAACAGCTTTTTAGGTTCGGAAAGCGTCGGAATGCTCGAGGAATTCAGGAGGACGCACACAGAGAAAATTGCGGCTATTCTTGAGCGTACAAAAAGTTGATTGGAAAAGTTTATAGTTTGATATTTTCAAGAGCAAGAGAAGAAGAAGGGTGAAAGGAAAGCTCGGAATCAGAAGAAACTCTGGGAGTACGTCGAAGCTCCGGTTGGTTGATTTGAAAAAGGGAAATTTTCATCCGAATGAAACAAATTATTTTTTTTTTTGAATACAGAAACTTTTTCTTTCGCATGAAAGACAGAATATATTTGTTTATAGTATTGCTTTCAAACTTCACTGTTACAAATAACGCTGCTCGGTTACAATCTTGTTTTTATTTGTCAGACTTCTCCAAAAAAAAAAAAACAGAAGCCGTATGTAATAAATTGGAAAATGATTGTCCGCCATTTTACTGAAACTCAAAAATGCTTACGAGAGTTTCAGGCCTTTTCAGTTTTCAGGAAAATGGCAGAAAATCATTTCCACTTTATTGAAACTTTTCAAAAGTTCGACACGTTAAAAAAGAAAACGATGTTATGAAAGTATAAAAAAAGACGTTTCTCGCGTTTTTTCTTTAACTTTTTGTCTTCAGAATCCTGAAGATAATCCCTTGGCGCCACGAGAACTAACAGTGAATGACGAGTATTACGGCCTTCCAGTTAAACAACTTCAAGGCGAATCGCGACGTCTTTTTGATCCGACCCATCGACAGACCGAAACGGATTTGGTAACTGAAAATCTCGTTTCGCAACATTTTAATAACAAAGATTTTATTTTAGTTGCTGGCGACGATGGCGGCTGAAGGAGCCCGCGCGTCGCGAAGCAAAACCGCCAAACTTCTGCAGTCGACGACGGGCAGCGACGGCAGTGGCTGTCCCAGTCGCAGCGAGACGCCGACGTCGCGAGAACCCCTCAAGCTCACGATCAAGTTGCCCCTTAAGGCGCCCGGACCCGGGAGAGGCAGGAAAAAGGTTTGGGGGAAGTAATCAATAAAAAAAAAATTATCAATATAGCTTGATACAAGCCATGTAAAGTTTAATTTTATCTTGAAAGTATTCAAAAGTTCAATATTATATAATTTTTTTAAAATTCCAGAAAACTGACGAAGGAGTTCCTTCCCAAGTATCTGCAGTTAAAGTGAAAAAAGAGTCGGCCAAACCGAGAAAAGTTCCTTTTTTTTCAACGTCAAATTTGAAATACTTTTTTCTAAGAAACCAGGCTCCAAAAAAGCCTCATCGGTGGAACCCACAGAAGCGGTTGAAAGTACAGAAGAATCGTCATTTCCCCAGAAAATTTCGCCTGAAAAAGTTGAAGACCCAGATATTCAGGTTTGATTTCGAGTATTTTTCGAAATAAAATATTTTCAGATGGCCGAAATCCCTCCAGAACCTGCCACGCCTGCCAAAGGAGTTAGAGGCAGAAAGGTTGAAACATACAAAAAAAAAAAATTCAATTAGTAGCGAAAAAATTCAGAAAGTTACCGCTGTAAAAGTTTCCGAAGCTCCAGTTGACGCTGAAAAGCAGAAAAAGGGGCGTGGCGGAAGGAAGAAAAAGGATGTTTTGGTGGCTCCACCAATTGAGGACGTTCAAGTTGAAAAGGAGGAAGAGAAAATGGAGGTCGATGATCCGGTGAGTTCTGATCAATGAGAATTTAGTTTTATGAAGTAATTGAAGTCGCAGGGGGCGGAGCCTTGAATGAAGCTTGTTAGTGGTTTTTCACGCTATAAAAGTTGAACTGAGAATATTTTTTTCAAGCTATCCACCTGTTTTCTCGAACAAAATTATAGAAAAAGTCAATATACTGAAAAAAAACTTTAATAGAAAAATTGAAAAGTTATGAGTGATGCTTGAAGGTGGTTTGAAGGTTCAAAGGAATTGAAATCATAGCAAAACCTTAAAATAAGAATTTTTAAGTTTTTTTCTTTTCTATATTTTTTTCGACGAGATTTATTCAGAATTTTTTTCTTTCAATTCAAAAATTTTTTTGTTATCATTCAACTGTGTAGAGTTGAAAATTTCAGGTTAAATTGTTCAATTATCCTGTGTGAAATTCAAATTTTCAGGTTCCTTCCTCTTCGAGTTCAGAACAACCTCAGCAGAAAAAGCTTCGCGACAGCGGGGAGCAAAAAGTGAGTATTTTTTTTCATTAATCAAAAAATCAGTTCATATTCTCTGGCTTTTTACAATGAAACAGTAGATTCATGTTGATTTGAATATTCGCTATTTTAAGGCCTTGACACCGCCTCCAGCCGAGCCAGATCCGCCTTCGAATCGAAATGGCCGAGATGACGTTCTGGTTAGTTTTCAGAAACAAGAAACGAAAAGAACGGACTTTTTGAAGGTCGGATGGGGCAAAAAGTTGTCCTTGAGCAAGGCCGATCCGAACAAAGCTGCTGGAGACGCGATTCGGAGTGCAGTCCGGGTGGAATCTTTGAGAGAGCCTAGTCAGGAGGTTCGGATGAAGAAACAATTTGAATACTTTGCAAAAATTTAATTTTTAAATAAGGTTGGACATTTCTTGGTTTCGGATATCAAAATATGAAAACTTTAAACTCTTTTCACAGTTTTCGAAACTTCAGCAAAGCTTTCCAAATTTCTATCTTTGAATTAGAAAAATTGATCTCTTTTTTCAAGACTTTTTTTGTTTTTCTAAAAATGTTTATCTGCTTATTCAAAAAAAGAATTTTTTTAGAAACTTTCATTTTGAAAAAAATTAGGTTGAAAAATCAATAGATACGATACGTTTCAATGACAATACAAATAATTCTCTGAGTATTTTTCGGAAATCGGGAAGTTTTTTCTGATTTGGCTATTTATTGTAAAAAAAAGAAGAACGAGGAAGGAAATTTTATACTTTCATGTATAATATTGATTTTAACTCAAAAAAGTCAGCTTTAGACGCTCGAAATGGCTATTCTCAGCGGCGACATCAAGTTGGCGCAAAGATTGGCTTCAGCGATCAAATTTGATCCGAATCGATTGATCGACTGGCGAGATCACAACACGAAAAAGCCGCTTCTCCACCTGGTTAGTCAGGTTGAAATCAAACTTGCTTGAATAGTGTCCTGAAACTTGAAATAAATCAATAAATCTTTCAATCCTCACTTTTTATTCTTACCTCATCATCTTTCATTACTGGCTCAGAGGCTCGGGAGGGCCTCAAGTGCCTTTTATTTATTTGTTTCAGGCTCAAATGCCAATTTTCCCTTCTTTTTTCTTGTACATATTATTTTGTTCTGCCTTTAAATAGATAATATTATTATTTCCCTTTTTAGGTTATTAATAAACTGCAATCCGTCAACTCTGGGCAGTACGAGTGGATCGCCAGATTACTCATCAAGTTTCCAAAAATACAATTTTCTCACTGATTTTTTATTTCAGAATATGTCCCCAGAAAATTTTTGCCGTTCGTGACCTCGATGGAAATATACCGCTCCATGAGGCGGTTTATGCGCAGAAGGTTCAAAAATCTTCATCGAAAAAATAAGATGCATTTTAGACGGAGCTGGTGAGGTTCATGGTCCGCGCCGGCTCTCCGGTCGACTACCAGAACCGCAAAAAATTGACGCCCTTGGCCGTGGCTGTCCGTTTAAGAAACATCAACATTGTTCGGATTCTTATTGAACATGGCGCTTCTTATCATCACATTGTGTTAGTTTGTTGGTAGCCTTCAAAAATTGCTTTAAAACTGGCAAACTTGACCAATTATATGCGGAAAAAATTTCAATTAAGTTGCCCTTTAGAGCTCTTTTCAGCCCATTTAATGGTCTGTATTGACCATTTTTTGACCATTTATTGAGTCTTTATAAACCTGGAAAATTTGAATAGCCCCTCTTACGGAAGCCAGGGCGGATCTTAAAGAAGTTAGGAAAAAAACAGCCCTGATAGGGGACAAAATAGTGTTATAAGGAGGCTGAAATTTTGGTGGTCCGCTTACTGCCCAACTCCAAAGCACCCTAAGGCTTTAGGGACCCCTGTAGTGGTCTTTTTATTTCTTGTTATGATTAAAAAGTTGTAGAGACGTTCAGGGATCAGGAGTGTGCCCCTTTAGAGTGGTCACACTTACAAGCTTTAGCGCCGCTATAAGATGGTCTCTAGAGAAGAATCTTCCTCTAAGGTTGCTCTCTAGGGACGGCTCTGGTGTCCTCATGACGTTCGGGACTTCTGATTTTTCCAGTGAATGGGTTTTTTGCGCTCTAAAGAGAGGGTTCTTCAAATTTCTCTACTTGTCATCATTATTATTTTTTGAAGGAAAAAATTAGCCGCGATAAATGGTTTTAGATAGGTCTTGTGTGCTCCATGGCGAAACATAGCCGGTTAAGTAAAAACGCTCTTGGTTTTGAGATGGAAATTGAAGATTTTTTTAAAGATATTACCATCATTTTTCTTGCTCAATCGTCTATTTTTGAAAAATTCAAAAAAATTCCATTATTTTTAGAGCGACGGACCAACGAACGACTGACGTCATTAATGGAATTGACTCGGCGATTTCTAACGAATTCAGAAAAGCGCGGCTTTCTATTTACGGGTACTTATCTTGTTCATTTCTTATTGCGCACTTTTTCTTACCTCTCTTTTTGATTTTTCAGAGCTATCAAAGAAATCAAGCCAGTGACACCGGTTTTCATGTTCGCCCGACATGATAGCAACTCGTTGAAAGATTCAGTTTAACTTCATTTCTTTCAAAAATAGTTTCACAGCGTTGTTTTCAGTTCAAGTTCGATTATGACGAATATCCTCAAGGGACTTTCTTGATGTTCATAATGCCCATCACCTATCATCGGATACAGGTGGGAGAATCGGTAAAACGTATTCAAAAAAAAAAAACGCAGTTTGACCATGAGTTTAATGGCCTAGGTTCAAAATTTCAAATGATAGATGGGACCTCAAAATTAATAGAATGGCTGTTATTTTTCTCTCTAAATGATCTCTCTAGATTTGAAGATTCGAAAAATACTCATTTATTGATGTCTCAAAATCGAAATAAAACGAAAAATACTACAGAAAACATGGATCGTGAGGAAGAGCGCTGAGAAGCTGACCCGAGCCCCGTTGTTCAACGGCCTGCCGATGCACCACGCCCATTCGGTGACGATGCCCTTGGTCTTTTTCGCCTGTCCCAACCACGGCGAGAACATCTTCGAAATTACGCTGAATAATATCAGCTGGTGAGTTTGTTCAATGAAATTGAGAAGGGTCAGAAACTCAGGACGAACATTGATCTTACAGTAAATTCAAGACTGGTTTGAGCAAAATGGAAAGGTCCTGCTCTTCAGATAGCCGTGACTGTACAAAGTGCTCAGATTTTGAATGTCAAGTACAATGACGTCATTCGAAATTCCTCTCTCGAATGCTCGCTCTCTGATTGACCTGTCGCGACATTAAGATCGGAGCTTGAGGGATTACTTGACATCAAAAATCTGAACAGATAAAGCGCTCCTGTAGGTAAAAAGAGGCTTGATAGCAGCTTTTTCTACCTAAGTTATCACTTGAAGAATGTAGATTTCGGTTATATAACTTTTTGAAGGCGCAAAATCGTTTATCTTCAATTTCAAAAGTTACGGCTGGCTTGAACCAACAGGAAAAGGGCTCTGAAAAGACAAGCTCTGCTTCTTTGCGCCCCAAGCTAGCCGTGAATCGGTTATATTGTTGATAGTTTATATTTAAAGGCGCATATGGGGAGTGCCCTTTAAACACCTCTTGAAATACTGAAAATAAGCACAAAAAACTTCTCAATTACCTTTCAGGAACCAAGGAATCTCGATTGCCGTTCAGTTTGTACAATACGAGTTGACGGCCCATTGATCTTCATTTCAAGCTTTTTTTCGTACATTATAACCAAAATAATTTATTTGCTAATATTCACTTTCTACTGTATTTCCTGTTACCTTTCTTTTTTTGTTTTCAATTTCTTCGGTTTTCTTTGTAGACGTAATACGTGGTTGTGTAGTGTTTTTTTAAAAAAATTTTTCTCCTCGATGAAATATATAAATTTTTTTATACTTTAAAAAAAGTTTGGAAATTATTGTGAGATCATTATTTGACTGTTGAATTATCATTTAAAAGCAAGTTTTTTTGGCCTTACTAAATTTTTGTACAGAAGGAGGTTCTCATGAATGAACAAAATTATAAGATTTTTAAAACCCTGATTGCAAGGAAAGTGTTATCAAACGTTTTAAAAATAACAAAAAAGAATGCAATATAAATGAAGAGATAGAGTTTGAGCAATAAATAAATTCGATGAGATTAATAGAAGAAGCAAAAAAAGTTACAAAGTACAAAAGTTCAAAAATTAATCAGCCTTCTCATGATCATCGTCGTCCATTTCGGATTCGGCTCTCTCCTAAAATTGCCTTTTTTTTCTATGAACTTTGACTGTTTTTATTGTTATTCTGATTTTTTGTTCCATTTCGATAATACCTGTTCATCCAAAAGTTCTTCTTCCTCTTCGTCTTCGGGGAAGAATTCATCCCTATCAACGGTAAAATCGGCAGAACAAATGCTGAACAATAAAATCAACAGATGAAGGAAGGAACTCTAAAACCTGTAGCAAATGATGCTGAGGAAGGCGATCGGGACTCCGAAAAGACAAGAAGACAAAAGAGGCTGAGTGGCGAACATTTGGGCAATGTTCCAGTACAACTCAAAGGCCATTCTTCGGATCCTCGTCGGCCAGGCTCTTCCTGAAAAGTGTACACTTCTTTTTTTCCAATCTTTATTCATATCTAGTTCGAAAGTACCTTCCAGAGCCTTACAACCAGAAGTTTTATTTCGACAGCCGATTCATGTACCAGAAGAAGTTCCTGAAAGTCAACCCGCACAATTTTCCATTTTTTGAGAAATGGGCTCAACCTAACCTATTTTGACAAACTTCGAGAGTTTTCTTCGACTATGCCGGTGTTCTTCCTCGAAAACTTGGAAGTTGTGCAAGTTGAAACATTCAAAGTCTTCTTTTGGCACATCGAGGAGTGTCCAGGCCAAATTTAAGGGGAATCCCAATTGAAAAGCAAAGTAAAATGACCTCCCTTGTGAGATCCTCATTTAGAAACTTTGGGAACAATTTTCGACAGTTTTTTTTTGTTCATAATTCCATTAATTACCTCCGTAAGGCACAGCGGTTCCCTTGTCGATCGCCCCGGCCAATTCATCAAGGAAAGTCGCCACCGAACGACTCGTCATTTTCGACGTTTCGTCGTTGCTCAGGTAGTACTCATAGGTCGTGTAGTTAAACACGAAAAAGGCTGGAAAATGATAATTCCAACTCCGGAAAAAGTAGTAATTTGAGAAATTCATGGAACTTCGTATACAGATACTTTAGGACTCCATTCGCTCAACAGCTTTAAAAAAATATTTTTTGCGTTTAGTCGACATATCGTACATTTTCCTATCCGTGTGAGAGTTGTTAAGTTAAAAACTGATTTGAAAAAAATTTTTATCAGACCTCGTAAAAACTTACCAAAAAAATTAGACTTTAAATTAAAAGTTAGGTTGATGATCGCCAATAAACAATTTCTTGAGCAGTTTCGATTGAAAACTACAATTAAGAAGGCCAAATTTGAATGTGAGAATGATTTAATGCATTTTGAACAGTTCTGATCTTAGGAGACAACAAAACTTTTGGAAATTGCGAAAAATTGAACTCTTTTCATTCAAATTACTTCAAATTTTCTCTTTGAACTAATTTCATTTTCTCCCCCTGAAGTATCCTCCCCGAAAGCAAGAAAAAATGAAACCAACAAGGTTCATCAACGGATGACATTTGGATAGTGCTGGCGAGGTCAGGCCCATCAAGCCAAGCAAATTGATAACTGAAAGAAATACTTTTGAGATTCAGCTTATTTATTAGAAAGATTTATTTTTTAATAATCAAAAAAGTATACTGTATTCCGCGCAAGACGGTCACGCTTTGAAAGAACAGGAAAAAAAAAACTACCGTACACAAAGCTGTTTTTGCACGTTTTTCTCAAAAAAAAAACTACAAAAAAGAGAGCAAAAACCAAGGTCTTGAAACGAAGTGAAATCAAATTTGGTATAAGCGGTCTTTTTGGCAGAAAAAAAGCGTGGCGCGAAATGGGTCGCAAGCTCAAAAAACCCACCGATCCCAAATATTCTTCTGTTTTCGGACCAATTCAATGGCCTCTGTGATCATTGAGTGGAATTGGCCGATTGGATTCGTTTGGTTGAATCGTTCGATCTTGAAATAAAAACCTTGGAAAAAGAAGGTGAACTTCTCGATGAAACTATTTGAAAAAAAATCGATTTTCTTAATATCGGAACAGAAAGTTTCAATTATCCTGGTGTTTTTGAATATTCGAACCTTGCTAGAAACGACCAAAACGACTAATTTTCCCGAAGTCCCAAGCTCGACGAGATTTCCGGGCGAGGCGGCGACAAAGGACGGATATCTCTCTTTTTTGATCCACTCTTCCAGGTGTTCTGAAATTTCAACAGCTCGATTGAATATTAGAGAAGAAATCAATACTAAATTGAGCGACTTATTTGAAAAATAAATTATTACCGCGGTCCCCGTGATAGAAATCTTCAAGATTATCTTTCAAGACCGAGATCCGACCGCCCCGTGACTGATTCTCCTCTTTCAGTTCTTTCTCAGCGACTGAATAGAATCTTGTCTGAAAATACAGCATTTTTAACTCCAAGAGGTTTTTTGGATCTTCGAACTACACCGGTAAAAATTGAGTTTACGACTCTTTTCCCTAGATAACACCCCAGAAAGATGCTCTAAAGCTAAATAATATAAAACTCATGTAAAATGCAAATGTTACTTCTCACAATTTTTTCTAGAACAGAACCCCATAAGAATGCTCTGAAACAAAAAAAAGAAGCTCCTGCAAAAAATCATGTTCTCAGAACTTTCAGCGAGGTTAAGCAAACATTAAAACTTGTACAAGTATCAAATTTAAATTCTAAAAAAATCAGAAATTATACTCACGAGCGAGAAGAATTCATCGGCTATAGAAGAATATAATTTATATAATTGGTCTTCTTCACCATTCCCGTAGAACACAAAGGATGGATCGGAACGGGAGTCGAGGCGGATCTTAATGAAAGTGATGAAGAAAAATTACGAAAAATGAGCGGAAAAAGATACAATTTTGAAATTCTTAATTTTGAAAGCACTTACTTTCAAAACTCCTCTCACTAAGGAACGTTTTCTACCCCCCGGTTAAACTTTTGCTGAAACTTTGCTGAAGTTTACTTTAGGACCTCCTGATTCCATAACATAAACAGAAAGAAAATTTCTCGAAATAGATCTCGTTTTCGAGTTAGGACACTTCAAAAGCCCGAAATAGCGCTTTTTTGTCATATTTTGCGTAATTTGCGGTCCTTGAAGCTCCATAACTCGGAAACAAGACCTATTGCGAGAAACTTTTTTCTTGTTCTGGCACCAGGGAGTTCTAAAGGAAAACGTTCCCTGGTCAGGGCTGTTAGGAAGTTTTGCCTGACAGGAAATAATCATATAACTCTCTTCTCATTGACAGCTTTATAAAATTATCCTCGAAACAGCTCAATTTTCTGAACAAGATTTACACAGAAAAACAATTGAAACAACTCGAAGATAACTACCTTCTCAATTCGCTTCAAATCGACCGATTCTACGATCGGAGCGGCGCATTTCAGCGCAAAGTTGTACAAAGCTTCTTTTTCCCTAGCTCCGTGATAAGCAATCCTCCTCCCGTTTCGAAAGCTGAACTTTTTAAATCATCAAAGCTCAAAAAATATTTTCAAACTAACAAAGCAATCGTTGGGAATCCATTTATCGACAAGGCGTTGGCGACCGCCGGAAAACGGGTACAGTCCAACTTTGCTACTCTGTGAAATAGAAGGTTTTTCTCAGAATGATCTTTTATAATTTACCTTATCGGCAAGTTTTTATCGTTGATAGCGTGGCCTAATTGATCCCAAGTGGGATGCAGCCTTTTGCAATGAGCACACCAAGGTGCGTAGAACTAAAATGTTTTCGAATACCTTGAAAGAATGGGCTTTTTCTTACCTCAACAAACCAAAACCCGTTGTTTTTGACTTCCAAAAATTTATCGTTTAGTTCTAAGACGGAAGTTGGCGGATTGGTCGAAACCGAACATGCAACAAGGCTCAGTAGCGCTGTGAACAATGTTGGCCGCATTACCTGTAAAATAGGAATTTAAAAAATGAAGTAAAATTTGGAACGAGTGAAGATTCACAGTTTGTTCGAAAAATGTTACTAGAGCGTTCACGGACGCTTCGCCGAACTAAGATAGAACAAGAAAAAAAAATACCCGACTCAGCAAATTTTCGTGAGTCGTTTTAAATATTTTAAAGTCCACTGTAAGACTTTTTAAGAAGGAAAATGTTGAAAAAGTTGAAAATGGAAAAAAATATTGGCTGTCGTAAAGTTAAATGTGTACGCAAAGTGAATGCAGAAAATACGACTGTAACCAATAATATTTGTTTCAATCGTACCTTTTGGAATTAAAACTAGTTTTTCAAACTTCTATGTTTACCATAGAAACAAAGATTCAAATGAAAGAAACAAAAAGGCTTGTTGATGCGAATTGAGAAGGTTAAAGTCCATCTTTGTGATTATCAATAAATTAGAAAAAAATTTTTCTAACGTGTTTCTTCGCCTCATTTTTTGTTTTCAGGCCTTTTTCACAATTTCGAGCTTGCAACGAGATTTGCAACAAACAAAAGCTGCAGAAGAATGCAACGCAAACAAGAAACGACCTTGAAGACGTCGCTCTTTTCTCTCTTCTCGTAGCCTCGTTCCCATCAACGTTATCATCGTCGCGTCAAATGTTATCGATGGACTTCAAAAATCGATTTTTCTTCTTGAGGGTTTCAATTTCCCCGATTTAGTTGGGATAGTTGAACGCCCGGTAAAAAATCGTCTTGTTTGACACTGGAAAAGTGTAATCCTTCCAATGTCAGAAGTTCCTGTTTTCAAGCTGTTTGAATAGTGAACTCACTTTTTTTTTTGAATAAAAATCAATTATTGATTCTTTGTACTGTGAAAAAAACGTGTTCTCCTACAGCATTGTAAAAAATTGGAAAGATCATTTGTGTGATGATGGGAAAAATATGGGTGTGGCCCAACGGCGATCCGGCCGCCACGCCTTCTTCGCTCTTCTCGGCTAATTTTTTTCTCGCGTTTTTCTGGTTCTTATTAAAGTTTCTTTAAATTAATCTTGTAAATATGCGTTACGTGGTGATTACAGAAAAAAATACTCCTAAAGAGTACAAAAATAAGCCCTCCTTCACGAATCCCTGAAAAAAACTGCAGAAATCTTTTTTTCAATTTCTTTCTCATCTTTCATAATATATTTTTCATTCGATTGAATTTCCTGTTTGTTTCTGTTATAATCAACCTCGCAAAGTTCCCTCAAAGAACTTATTTGCTAAAAATGCATTCCATCAAACTTCGAATTTCCCCTGAAAACCCGAATTATCGTAAAATTGACCTAAAGTAAACATTTTCTCGAAGTTTATTTCTAACCTGTTTTTGATGCCTTCGTCTTCTTATTTCCATATTTTTGAAGATTATAAAATGTTCAGAACTTTCTGAAAAACTGATTTTTAAGTGAAACCTTTTTTTGAAATGGAGAAAAAAATTTCTAGTTTCGAAGAAAATTTTTAAAGTGAGCGACTATGAGAGTTTAAAGCTCAAAAATTCATATATATGGGTTTTGAAAATTTGTTAGTTTCAAGTCCGATAGCGTCTTTTGAATGGGTCAACAAGAAATTTCTAAAAAATGTTCTTGAAATTAGGCGAATACATCAATTTAACCAAAAGTCAAGCGCTTTCGTGTACAATTTTTGTTGATTTCACATTTTCCCTACCTATGATTCCCTAGAAATTCGTCACGGTCGCCCATCCGGAAACAGAAAAGGCAAAGAAAAAAGTAATAATTCTTTGCCTTGGCTATTCCTGTTTGGCGCGTTTATTTGCCTTAGGAATCCAGAAGACCGGAAGAAAAAGAAGAATCACATACGTTTTTATCATCGTTGCTTTTCCTGCATTTTCCAACAAATTCTCCCCCTTTTAGTTCTTCAGGAGGAAATGGAACGACGCGAAACGTACACGACTCAGATGCCTGATGGTGCCTACGTTACCACTACGACTAGGTTGATTTATTGAGTTTTATTCCATCCAAATCATTTTAGAGAGTAAAACGGTAAAATTTGAGAAGGAACCTGCCTCAAAACCTTAAAAAGGTACCTGCAGTCAATCAAAATACAAATTAATCGATAACGATTAATTTCATTCCGGTTTAGTTCTATTCGATCAAGTTGAAAGCTTTTTCAAAATTTTTTCAGAAAATGTTTAAGGTTTTCGCAGGTCAATTTTGGTGTCTATCGAAAGATCTTGACGAAGTCCGTCTATTAGGAGGACTGTAAACCTGATCAACTCAAGAGTTCAGGGAGCAAACTCGATACAAAGAGGAGAGTATCTGGTCGTGTGGCCGCGGCCCGACGGACAAGTACTACTGCATGGGACCACATGGCATTCTGCGCATAATTGAAATCGTAACTTGTTTTATTTCTACGTTTTTGCTTGAAATTTTAATTTCAGTTCTTCTGTCTAGTTATCATCTCGCTAATCACTTCGGTTTTCGGTCCAGGACCCTTTAAAGGTAAATTTTTGGTCTTTTAAAACTTGAACGATGATCATCTCCGAACTCGGTGTCATAATAAATGAAGGCTTGGAAAAAACTCCGTAATCGGTTTATAATGAAGTAACTAGATTAGAAGGAAATCAGAAACCTAGAGATACAGTAGTCAGTAGTGAATACCGTAGCCTGATCTCAAAAGTACAGTAACCAGTTTCTGAAAGGTACCGGGGAATTGGATCACGCTCTCCTGTATCAATTCTTACAGAAGCTTTTTCAAAAAAGGAGGTATAAACTAATTCTACCGTAACCCAGCCATTTTCAGGGGTTCTATTCGGTCAGACTCTTCTTCTGATCGCCACCGGCGTCGCCATGGTTCTCACTTTCATTTTCTTAATCGCCTACTTTTTCACCTTGAATCTGACTCACTTGAACTTTTTCTGCTGGCGAGAAGCTGTGAGTTTCGAACTTGAAGCAGCTGGAACGGCTCAAAATTTTCCAGGACCTGGTCTTCTCCCTGGCCAGTTCATTCATTTTCTTCGTCCTATCTTTCGTCGAAGCCTACTACAGTACCGGAAGCTGGTCCAACAACTGCAATGACATCGGATCTGATGGTTTTGATCTCCTTTTCTTTACGTCTTCAATAACTTTAATGAATCAATTAAGCAAATTTGTTTAAAAAAAATTTTCGCTCCGAAACCTTTATGAATTTTGACTTCTAGGACTTTTCAAAGGACGGAAAATCATTATGAAATAAAAAATCAAGAAAGAATTACCGCTTTGAGAAACTCGATTAAATTCACCCTCACACCTTTGAATATCTTTTCAGCTCATATAAACACGCTAGTCGATCAAAACTGCTTTACCGCTTAAAAAGTGTTTCGCTTCAAAGCCTACATTGATCTAGTCTCCTATGCGCCTTTAAAAGAATGAGATGTATCTTTTTCAAGGCTTTATTCACAACGGTTGTCGGATTATTTACGAATGGGCCTTTGCTGCGTTCCTCACCTTCGTCTTGGCCGTATTATATGCTCTGTCGGCCTTTTTCGCCTACCGTAACCGCCATTCGCTTCGAGACCTCAGAACTGCCGAAGCCTATGGAACCACCACCACTTATTGAACCTCATTTTTTTTTTCATTGATGAACAAATTGAAAAGCATAATTAATAAAGATTTACCTCAAAAAGTTGAAAAAAAAATACAGTGAGACTCGTAAGTTGGTTATGCATAAAGTGAGATTAGAGACAGAAAAATCTTGAAGAGACGCCAGAGAAAGAGAGTGTCTGTCGTCTCTTCAAGCCATCAGTGTGTCTAAAAAGCAGTTTCTCTCAAATGTCATCGGTATCGAGGAGTTCTGTCAATGCTGCAACCACCTTCTTCAGCAAGGCGTCGTGTGGACCGTTCACCTGAATCTCGATCCATTCCAAATGCGGCCATCAAGTTCAAATTTGTGGTGAATAGCCCATCAATGAAAACCAACCAGGAAAAGTGCGTCCAAAAAGGCGGGAGTTTCAAAATGGTCGAAAATGTGGTCGAGCCGTTGTGCCGACTTGTCCGACAGGTTGAGCATCACCTGTAAATTGACTTATGAAAAGTTCAAATGGTCCTTTAAGTTGAAATTCGCATTAAAATGAGTTTTAAATTGAGTTCCTAGACTTGTCGAATTGCAAATAGCGGTTCTGCATCAAATTTCACAAGCTTCAAGTGGTCAAGCTAGTGTCTCGCAAACTCACAACAGGCTGAAGTGATTCCTTAAGTGATGTCATCCGCTCAATGAGAAAAGTTCTGTCGTAGGAGTAGGCGACCTGAAAAATTCCGACCTATTCTCTATAGCTGATTCGCGGCTGGCTTGAGCCATCTTTAAAAGGGTCCTGACACGATAAGAATAGAGACAGTGCCTAATCCGTGGAGAGCGCAGACAGGTCACGCCTCTTTGCGTCCCAAGTTAGCCGTGAATCGGCTATAGCCCGTTCTTTTCCTCCCATTATCTTATATATCTCAGAAAAGTCGTGACTTTACATATTTGATAGAAATATAAGAAAAAATAAAAACCTGCTGCAAAGAAAGGACGGTCAAAACCAAAGAGCGCAATTTTTTCTGGACTACTTCGAGCTGAGTTTCTTCGTCCTTCGTCAGCATATTATTCGCCGACAAAATCCCAATCTTCACTCCAAGCTTGATCATGTTCTTGCAGACCTGAAAAACACGTCAAAATTGTTTAGAACGACATAAAACCGCGGAATTAGAATGGCTCAACGCATCGCGGTTGCATTTCGGTACTTGCTCCATATTTAGTTGCGCCCGACTTCGAATGACTTCACTTAATTTATGCTTGAAAAATGCTGCCAAATAGAGATTTATTGCCCTATTACACACTATAGGACAATAACTCTATTTCACTCCCCATTTCAAACTATCCGCGACGCATTTTTAGCCATTCTACATACGACTTGAATTCCTCACCTTATCTGCATCTTTCTTCGAGAAATGAGTCTGTAATAGGCTGTTGACTAGTTCAAAAAGACGCTCCGTCGCCGGAGAAAGAAAGATTTTCGTTAGACTTCTGCAAAAATCAAATCGTATATATTAGTTCAAAATTCTACAAGACCCATTTGAAATTTTGCTTGCGATTTTTTTCTGTGCGCGGACGGATAGAGCGCCAGCAGAAAAGTTGGTACTGCCTGAAAAAATAAGAATTTTTTTGAAAATAAAGCCTATCCTTTTACAAATTTTTTGTTCACTCGTAAGAAAAACTTGAAAAAAAAAATCAAACCGATTCTCAAAAGGCCGCGCTCATTCAACTTTTCGACAAAGAATCGCGAAGCTTGACGTTGCATTTTTGGAGAAAGAAGGAAGAAGATAAGAAGAAAAAATGGCTGACAAAGAGACAGCAAAAGGGCAAGTCCGACAGAGAAGAGAATTCAAAGTTGGCGCGCGATCCGATTCGAATCGGGTTGGTCATGTGGGCGCGAAATTCCGATGACCGTTGAAAGTCTTAATTTTTCGAAACTGCGTTTGAATGAAGAAAGAAGATGATGGAGACTTCAAAATTTTTTGGATATGGATTTAAAATTAAAAAGTAGAAAACTCACTTCGTCTGCGAAAAAACAGCCTAGTGTCGAATGCGCAACCCATTTTTCAACTGAAAATTGCACAATTTCAACACAAAATGTTTTTCCAAATTGATCTAATCTCAATGAAAACACACGGAAAAGCAGAAGAAGAAAATTCGATTGATACATTTCCCCAAATGGATTCGTATTCTCTTATCACACTTTGCCAATCCGGTTGGTTGCTATTTCCAACCGTTCTCTGGCCTTTCTGCAAAATTTCAAACTATTTTTGGACAGTCTTATCGAATTTCACTAATTATGTACATGCGTGTTTTTATGAGATAAGGCTGATTTTTTTGAAGTTTCTCTTTTTAAAATTATGACAGTGAAGCATAAGGTTTAATGGAATCAAAAACCTTAACTTTTTTCTTTTCAAACGAAAAAAAAAACGCAAGTTTTAAACACTAGTGCGTAGAAAATGTTTTTTTTTTTTGAAAAAAAAAGGTACCTCAATCCTTCCACAAATGTGAAAAACATGACCGCTGAGTCTTCAAACTGAACTGAACCACATTGAGCAGGAAAACTAACAAACGAAAAAAAAACTTAAATTTTGATCGATCGCAAAATGAGGACCAATGCGTCGCTGTGTGTGTAAATTTTCAAAATACAGTGCTCCTCCATGCGAAAAACTCAATAAATTAGCATTATATGAAAAATTTTTTTCAACAGAGTATTAATCCTTCATGATTTCCTTTGCGGTTTCAAATCTGTAAAAAAAAAATTGGAAAACTTTATAGGGACCATTTGAGATTTAGGGGCTTAGGGGTCCGATCCCAAACCCTGATATATGAAATAGAAGATTTTCTTCAAAAGTGTTTATCTCTGCTTTTTTTCAAGTAGATTTTTCTATTCGCTATGAAAAGCTCGACAAGGTACTGATTTCATCTCAGAACCCGTTTTTTACTGCTCATATCTTTCCGCATTTTGCCAGAAAGTCAAAATCGAGGGGTCCTACCTTATCACAGCGAAAGTCCAAGCGACCTTAAAAAGAAGAAGCTAAAGCTCTTTTTTAAGTTCCTAAAAAGGTGTCAAAAGTGTCTCGGAATCTTCTTTTTTTAGCCTTGTTTTTCTAGTCCTCCTTAAAAGTCCTTTTCAGAAAAAGGTCTAGAAAAAAGGCGCATTTGAGACCTTTTGAAGGCCTTTTTTCCAAAAGTCCTTTTTGAGACTTTTTGGACTTTGCCCGTGATTGAACACAGTGTATGTCTTTGAACAATACTTCATTTCTTTCACTTCAATCCCTAAAGGGACAACTTGAGCACGAATTAAGGATGTTTTGGCCTTTGAACTTTGTAGATGGCTTGAAGTCTTCCACCGAGCCGGATTATTTACCCTCAAGTGATCACTCGAACAAGGCGTTCCTTCCCATCACATTCCACTGTGGCCATGTGCTCTGGAGGGTTTTTCGTACGCCGGTCGGAGTGTAATGGGAAGCTGGCCCCACTTGCATCGATCCAGGAACGAGGGGAGGTCGAGACTCCAAGCGATTCTCATTTCCTGGCCTTTCCAGATATTGGCCTCTTTTTTCTTGCTTCAGTGCCTTTCCGTTTATGGTCATTGGTTCGGAATATTCAGCCGGCTTCTAGAAAAGCTTTGTTTTGGGCAACAATCTTACAGTTTCTTTTTTCACAAATTTGGAGGCATTTTTTTCATTCGCAAATTCAAGCTTTCACTCCAGTTTTCTGAAAATATATACGATTTTACGCTGAAAAGCAAATTATTCCGAGAACTTCCAGACGTGGCAAGAATATTGAAAAACTCTTCCAGTTAGAAAATAACTTTAAATTCAATAACCGATGTGTCAGAACAATCCTTTTCTCATTTAGAAATAAATTTTATTCGATTTTAATTTCATTCCATGATGTTTTTTTTTTGTTTGCAGATTTGCAGTTCACCTTTTTCAGCGGGGTCTTTTGATTTTTTGAACGTAATCTTACGTTTTTTTTCGTTTTTTCTACAATTTTCATTTTTCCACTTCAAAAATCTGAAACGATTTTTTTTTCATTGCCCTATTGCTAAATTCGGTCTATTTTTTTCGAAAAAAATTATAAAACTTGATAAATTTAAACATGATCTATTCAAGGGATGGGAAACAATGCAAGCTCCTTATCAGAACTGAATCTCTTTTCAAAAGGCGGAATTTTCACAAGAGAGCAATTGGATGAGTATCAGGTAATTTCTCTGAAATATGAAAAGAAGTCCGGAAGAATGAAAAGAAGTTTTTGATGTGACTTTTAAGCTCCAAGAAAAATCAAGAACACTCCCAAGCTTGAAATTTTGATTCTCGGACTTCAAATTATTGTTTTTTTTTTGTGAAGTTTTCATTCTTCTTCCTTTTTCGCAAGTTTCAAATCATCAAAAGCTTTTGAACTTCCAGGATTGCACATTTTTTATGAGGAAAGATGTGATTAGACTGTACAAGCGATTCTACGCACTGAACCCTCAAAAGGTGCCGACAAATATGCAGGGAAACCGACCCGCGATCGTCACCTTGACTTTTGAAGAAGTCGAGAAGATGCCGGAGCTCAAGGTTTGTCTTTTAGAAAAAAAAAAGTTAAGCAGGCCTACAATCAGTCTTCAGAACCACAAGTCAGCATGCTTTTTTTCAGGAGAACCCCTTCCGGCGGCGGATCTGCGAAGTTTTTTCCGACGACGGCCGAGGAAACCTCTCATTCGACGATTTTTTGGACATGTTCTCCGTTTTCTCAGAAATGGCTCCGTTACAGCTCAAACTGAAATACGCTTTCAAAGTTTATGGTTAATGGCTTTTTACTTTTGTAAAACGCGCTCCATCGCTAATTTTTTTTTTCAATTTTTTTAGCAGTTTATACAAAAATTGATCTTTTAAACTTTTAAAAATCTAAAAAATCGTATAACTGATGGCACCGGAAATGAATAGGCTCTTTTTCTTTGTGAACTGCCTCGGCTACTTCTACAGAATCCCAAGCCATACATACATAACATACATCATAGAACTTTTCCCATTCTTCAAACATTCCCTAGCGATAATCTTTACTACTCATCAAACTAATCAACAACGCTCCAGATTACGACGGTGATGAATACTTGGGACATGATGATTTGAGTAAAATGATTCGCAGTTTAACGAGAGACGAGCTCACTGATGAGGAGGTCGAATTTATTATTGAACGAGTAAGTTTTTTTTTCAGTTGAGTATATTCAACAGAACTGGAAAAATTGAACCTTAGTTTCAAGAGATCCTGAGTCTTTAAACCGTTGACAAATTTTCATTGTTTCTCTATCCCGCATTCAACTGATTTCTGATTAAACTAGTTTGTTTTTTCCTAGGTAATCGAGGAGGCCGACCTCGACGGTGACGACCGAATCAACTACGCCGAGTTTGAACACGTCGTTTCTCGGTCTCCCGATTTCATTCGCACTTTCCACATCCGAATTTAAAATTCGTGAAAAAAATTCCCTCCTTTCTTTCCCTTGCTACGTGTCATAAAAATTACTTTCCTTCTTCCTGCAAGTTTGCAAATTTTTTTGAAAAATGGAAAACTATCTTAAAAGAGTTTGAAACCTTCCTCCACAATTAATCAATTCAGTGGTTCTTTATTGCTTGAATCTCGAAACTCTTAAGCGGCCCCTTTTACTGTTTCTCCATAACGATTAACATTATTTTCGAGACTTTTTGCGAAAAAAAACAATAATTTATGACTTTATTCTAACTTCACAGGATTATCGATCGACGCATAGCCAAAATACCGGTATAGGAAATTCAGAAGCATGAGATACCGAGAGAAACGAAAATAGGCTAGGAAGAAAAAGATGAATTATATAATTTAGTTGAAAGTGAAGATGAATTTTGAATTATTTAGTCAGCGGACCTTTGGTTGTGACACTGTTATAGACGGCAAGTGCCTGAGCGACCATACTGCCCGGATCGCTTAGATTTGCGGGCAAAACTACCGTATTCGTGTCCTTGGCCAGCTTGCCAAACGCCGCGACGTACTGTTCAGCGACGGTGAGGCTAGCCGCGTTCGAGGCTCCCTGGCAATGAAGAAAGTTGAAATCATCCAAATTTTCGATAATAGTATATAATACAACGGCGTTCTGAAGAGAGGACAAAGAAGCTAGAGCATTATCGTTTCTATGGAGTTTCTCGCTGGCTCTTATGTCTCATTTTACTTCAATACATGTTTTAAAGACGAGAGAAAGCATGAAAAACGCTTAAGAAATGGAAAATCTCTGGTTTTTGTGCTGTCTCTTTAGAATTTTATTTTATTTTTTCAAATTGTTCTGCACGCTTTTCAAAGTAAAAGAAAAATCTCTGGTAAAAATAATAGTGGCCACTCCAGGGCTCGTTCCGAGAACGCGCCAAGAAAAATGCCTCTTAAGGGGAAAACGGCTTCAAGATTTGGCTTCAAAAGTAAGATTTCTGCATGGTTATGATAATTTATTCTCATTCAAGTGGTCACCTGAGATTTTCGCAGTATAAACAATTTTGTGTTCTTTTTTTCCCAAAACAAATTTTCTACAAACTTCGGAAAAAATCATATCTCAGTCACCAGCTGTAAAAGAACCGGTTCAAAAACGCGTTTTTTCTTCATTTCGAAACCAAATAACATTCGAGAAACTTTTCTCGAAAATTCAACAAAAATTCGTGAAACCTGTTGCTGAAGAGCGGCCGCAACCCGTTCAATCGCTTGAGCACGAGCCTCGGCCTTCAAAATCGTCGCCTCGGACTCTCCCTTCGCTTCATTAATCTCAAAATCATTAATGTTAAGTAAAAAGAGATTCTGATGTTCAAAACCATACCCGTTGAGCTTGTACAGCTTCCGATGCCAAAATTGCCGACTTTTTTTCTCCTTCGGCTCTGAAATTTGAATTATTTTTGAGAAGATTGGAAAGTGTACTTCAGAGCTTCAACTTTTTTCCGATTATCACAGAAAATGAACAACCTTCAAAACAGCTAAAAAAAAATGTTTAAAGGAGCAGTATTTTTTCGCGCAAAGACTATTTCCAACGGCTTTGAAGGTGTCCTTGATGAACAGAAGAGCACTCAGGACTGAAAAGACGAATCACTTGTTGATGGCCGCTTCGCGAACTCCTTCAGATTCTAAAATTGCGGCTCGTTTCCTTCTTTCGGCCTCAACTTGCATTTGCATAGCTTCTTGGATTTTTACCGGCATCGTCATGTCTCCTGGAAACTTTCATTCTCATTTTGCTTTCTTTAAATAAAAATTAAGTACCTAAAAGATAAAACTTGAAATCACGTTCAAATATTGGTTTTAAATTCCATTTAATACAAAGACAAATAAGTTAGATCTAAAGAACTTTCGAAAGCTTCGAGAAGTCTTTTTATGACCTTAAATAACACAAAAATACAGCTATTTATCTACCTTTGTGAAATAATCGCATAAACTCATGAATTTCTATAAAAATACAAAAAACCAACGAATTTCATATCGCATGCAGCTGATTCCCCACGGAGCCGAGGCTTTGTTGATCGCCGCCACGATACTAACGTTCAATTGTTCTCGTTCCTTGAAAACCGTGTCCAGGCTGATTTTTCCGACCTTAACGTTTGAAATAAACATATTTTTCCTCGATATCACTTCTAAAAAACCTCTGAACGCATTGTAGTTTGAGCGAGTTGGGTTACAGCAAACTCTGGGTCATCAACTCCGTAGGATGCCTGAAAAAAGTTTAAAACTAAATTATATACATTTTTTTTACCTTGTACGGATCGAAAACTTTCAGGTACAAAACTCCGTCTAAACGAAGCTGTACATTGTCTAACGTGATCGCGCCTTGTTCAGGAATCTCGATGGCAATTTCTCGCAAATTTTGAACAAATCGGATCCTATCAATGATTGGCAGGAGGAAGTTTAGACCCTGAACTTAAAACTCATTAGTTTTCGATGTTTTCCATCATACCGGTTCCAAAATTCTATAGAACCGTCCCATCCGTTCCACAACCCATGCCTCTTGTTGTGGAACAAAATTAATAACCGTGTTCCGAGCATGAGCCTCGCGAGCGTTTAAATAAACCGGCAAGTTTCTGAGTTGCAAACAAGTTCAACTGAGTCGAATAAGAAACAAAGCTACCTTGAGTACTGAAAAACTGTTCTTCGAGCCAAAGCCATGTTCAGTTGGAAGGTATTGGTGAAAACCCGAGCAATTTCGAAAGAAAAAATTATTCAAATAAAAAAGTGCACTTTAGCGTGCTGATGCAAGATGTCCGCAAACACTTGACGCTTAAAAAAAAATAGCGAACGTTCGCTACTCTAACAAAAGTTGCGGTGCACCCCGCGTCGAACCGGCTATCGGGGTGCACCCCTCGTTGAACTCAGCGCGATTGGGTGCACCCCGCGTTGATGTTTTCGGTGCACCGAAAATTTGAAAACTCGGTGCACCCCTCGGTCATCTGGAACGATGTTCCGAAAAAAACGTGTTTTTTTCAAATTTCAAGTTACGAAATTTGAAGTTTTCATTTGTTTTTTTATTTGTTTTTAATTTATTATCACTCGCTTTTTTTCGTGTTTTTTTCTATTATTCGATGTTTTAACATTACTAGTGAGTTTATGGAAGTAGTTTCATATGAGTTTCTTCTTATTATTATTATTCTTATTGGCAAATGTTTTGAGACATTTTTTTGAAATACAAAATTCGTTGTTTAATTATATTTTTTTCGATCGCAAACTTCTGGAAATGATGGATAAAAAAAGTAATCTTGCTTCCAAAAAGCTCATGTAACTTTTTGAATTGAACATTTCGAATCGGTTTTTTTATTCCAACCTTTTTTTGAAGGTTTTTTTGTTCAATTTAGTCTAAAAAAAGCTGTATTGAACATTTCATTTTTTTAAGTTGTCAGGTAATCAAGGCTTGCGCATTGATTTTTGCTAAATAGTTCGCTGGAAAATGCTTTTTTTGAGTCTTTCAAATGTGCAGAAATCTTGCAAAGCCAAAATTATTTTTTTGCCTCGACATATTTTTTTCAATTTTTTTCGAGTCCAGCAAGCAATTTTTTTGAGAAACTATCAAAATTAAAAAAACTATTGTAGATTTTTAGTTGAAAAAACGGTTTGTTCTTAAAAAGTAAATATTTTTTTAAACTTATTTGTTTCGCTAACTTTTTCGCGATTATTTGTGAAAAATGCGTTTCAGGTTCATTTGAAGAGAATAAATTTATGACCATCGAGGAAGAGAGAGAAAACGCATATAATATGAAGGTAATTTTTTTAAAGCTTTGCATTTTTAGTTTTTGTATTAATTTCAGATAGCCGTACGACTTGATCCTGATTCATGACAAACAGAAGGAGTGCAGTCGAATAAGGGGAGCAGAGTAACTTAGCCGTTACTTTTTTTATTCTTTTTGTTTTGTTCTTTAATAGCTGATGAAAAGTTTGAATAGTTGACATTGGAAGAGTTTGTCCTTTTTTTAGCAGACGAAAAAAATTAAATTTTTTTAAGAGCGCGTAGTTTGAAAAAAATAATTGATTCATTTTTGAACTGACTATGCTAGTAATCTTCGCGAATTTCGTCGAAATATACCAGGGAATGGTCTCTAGTCGCAGTGGGGCATCGGAATGAGACCAAGTTTTTCTAGACATAGTTTTTTTCACGCTTATCAAAAAAATCTGGTTTCGAAAACGGTCGCGGAAATTTGGGAAATAAGTTATGTACCCTCAAAAAGTCGAAAAACTTCATTTTTCCCCGATTGCGCTCATTTTTTTGGAGGTTATAGATCTTGTCCCTTTGACAACATAAAAACCAATTACTGTTTTTTTCAAAAAGTTTTTGAAGCCCAGATATGAGAAAAACCGCGCGCGCGCATTCTCTTATCATGTGCGGAGCTTTAGAATACGCCCAAAAGTTTTTCGAAAATAAAAAGCTTTTTTTGAGACCAGAGGGTCAAGATCTATATGTCCTCCAAGAATAAGCTCAAGCGGAGACAGTGAAATTATCCGCTTTGAGGGTCCGTAACTTTTTCCCAGACATCCGCGATAGTTTTTTTGAGAACACATTTGGAATCAACATTGACGAACTCGCAAACACTAGGTTCTACTCTTCGCCGGTTTCGCATGTTTTCTGGGCGCGAGCTCGCATTTCTCTCGCAATTTGAAAATGTTCGAAATGCAAGGTCGCGCCGAGAAAAAAATGCGACATTTTTTTGCGAGTTTGTCGATAACCGCCAGTGTATCGCGTTTATCTTGGCAGTTATTCTTAGTGAATATGTTTAGAGAAGGCTTAACGTGAAGTTGGCACAAGTCAAAAAGATCAAATTGGACAACTTATCCTTTTTTCAGCTTTTTCCGACGTTTTTTTATTCACATCTAGCTCGCTATGAAAATAATTTCCATCTTTAAGTATCGTTCGAAAAAAAGAGAAAAACATACTGACAATGTTTTTAAAAATTTGAACACACGTTCTCCGAAATTTTCGAATATACGTTGGTGATAATTTTGATGAATAATTTTTAAAGATTTTTTTAGCTGAAGTTCATATCAAAGATACTATGCAAATTTTTTTAAACTCATGTAAACAAGTACCGAAAAGCTCCGTATAAAAAAATTTAGTGTATAAAAAAATCAAGGCCATCTGAGGTCCCGGTTTTTTTATAGAGCTATAACAACTGCGGAAGTCGTCATTTTGCCAACACAATTGATGTTTCCAAAGGACATTTTTAGAAGCGAAACGCTTTACGAGGAAAAAAAGTTAGCTTCTTACAGTAATTTTTGTCTTAGTAGCTCTAAAAAGTGTGCGGAGCGTTTCGGTGCCTGAAATAAAAAAAGGTTTAATAGTATGTGATATGAATTTATGCTCAAAAAAATCATAATTTTCAAAATTATTGTACCAATTAATTTCCCAGTTCATAAAATTTCTCGGAAATCATGTGTTAAATATTACCAGTCAACTTTGTAAGTGTTATGAAGCCTGTTCTGTTTTTTTGCCTAATTTTTCTTCAGTACTATCCACTCTTTCTGTTGTATTCTCTTATTATTCAATTTCTTTCTCCTGATTTAATTTTCAGTTTCTATCAATTTTTTCGATTTATGTCTACTTTTTTAACATGCTCTCACGATTTTGGTCTAAAGTTGGCTAGATGCTTAGAAAAAAGGGGAGAAGGCGCAGAAAACAGCTCTAGAGACCTTTTTTCTTTCTCAAATTTTGTAAACGTTGTTATTTTTCTTTATAAATCTTGTAAATGAAATTGTCTATCCTCGAATATTTTTCAAATTCCCTATTTATTCGCTGTAATTTTTTTTGTTTTATTTTGTTTCATTGTCTTATTATGTGATTTATCATTTAATAAAACATATAAATTGAAACGTGGTCTCAATTGATGATATATATGGGATATAGAAGTATAAAGGTATTTTAAAAGTGCAAGAAGCAAAAATTGAAAAAATGAGGATTCGGTGCACCCCGCGTTGGACTTTTCGGTGCACCCCTGGTTACACTGCGGGGTGTACAGGAGAGTTCAACGCGGGGTGCACCGCAACTTTTGTTAGAGTATTTTTTGGAAGTATTTCCACGCGGTGGCCGGTCGTATTACGGTAGTTTGGATAGGTTTTTCAATAATAAAATGAAAATTTGTGTACTTTTTGTGACGTAACTCACCTTGTAATCTCGAGACATAGGTCCTTAAAAAATTGCAAAAAAGAAAGAAAATTAAAAAATGTCCTGGCTCTGAAACTGACTGCGCAATATTGACCGGTCACCGGCCGCCGTAGTACTTTCTCAAACATGCGTGTTTCCAATGACATGAACATATGGGAATACTTTTTTATTCTCCAATTCAAAAATACAACACCATAAATAAAAAAACGGATTAAAATCGTGGGTGAATTGCTATTTCAATTGATCATTGTGTTGGGGTAACGAAGGTGTTCATGATGGTGCGTAGTTTTTTTCGAATTTCCGCATCCTTCGTGTTTTGCTGAAGGTGAAATTTTTATAGAAATGAAGTTGAACAAAATGTTACCAGAATGAATGTCGAGACACATGTATAGATGTAGCAGTACTGGAGAAGATTGTCAACGGCGCCCGGCCTCTGTTTGCGTATACTCAGCACGATTTCTTTGATCTGACAAAAAATAATAATAATTGAAACTCTAAACTCATTAACAACGTACATTGACATCAACGCCTTGCACAAAATAGTACATTGCTACGGAGATCGCCAAAAACGTGCCCGTCCTGCCGGCGCCTTTCAAGCTGCACATGGTCGCCGTGTCTTTCTGTAAAAAAAAAACCTGTAAAATTCGAACAGCAACAAAGCGTCTGACGTCAAGAATGTCGGTGAAGACGTCGCTGGCAGCCGAGATGATATGCTTGAAGCTTGTCGGGACTCGTTTGTCAGGCCAACTAATGTTCACCATTACCTGGAAAAGTTAATTTGGAAAGATTGATAAGAATAATATAAATAAATGAATGGCTCTTCCCCAATTTACAGATAAAAAAAACACAACGACGAGCAGATCTGCTAAGCATTTAGAAGAATCTTTTTTGTCTTTTACCGTGGTGAAAACCGCCTCGGCGCAGCCAACCGGAAGAACTTCCAGCCGGAACAGATGGGCCGGCTTTCCGGACGGAGTTCCCAATTGCGTTTGCTTGTTGTTGATCCACATGCTGCCGTGCTGTTGGAATTGGTCTTTCTCAATCGGAAAGTACTGTGAGAAATGTTTTTCGTCCTGGTCATTGGAGGCGAAAATCTCCAGAAGAGAGACCTTTTCCTAAAAATTAAAATTCGGGTCAAACCACGAAACGGAAAGAAGAGACTTGGAAAATGAGACGCCAAAAATCTTCAAGGTTTATTGGGTTCGTCATAATCGGCAGCTGTGTCAGAATAATTTTTCGTGGGAACTGAAAGATTGAATTTTTTTTCTGGACGACAAAGTGACAGAATTGTTAAATATGATAAAAAGAAACCCTACATTTTCCAGAACGATGTGGCTGGCGTGAATGTAATCACTTTGAGTCGGCGTCGATTTTTCTAGGACCACTCGATTTGCGTCCAAACATTCAACTTCCTGAAGGCGTCCTTTCGAAAAGAAACTTTTTTCGAGTACACCTCATCTTGATTCTTATCCATGTTTTCTAGAAACTGTGTACAACTAGAGTCCGGGACACTCGAGTCGTCGATTTCGTCGTACTCTTTTTCGGCGCGAGCGTGATCTGTGTTAGTAAGGGTGAGAAGACACTTAAGGGGGGGTTTTTTTTTGAAATTTCGCAAAATAAGACATAAAACTGGAGAGCTAATTTACTATCGAAAAATCGATTTTCCATTGAAAATGATAAGCCGTTCTTTCTAGAAGTCGTTCATGCTCAAGCGCCTACAACTTCTTCTCAAACTTTTTCGAATTTTTTTTTCACAACTTCAAATTTTCAACCAAAAAACTGCATAATATGAGTCGAGAAAATCATTTCAACTTCGATTCTACCGGAAACAAACCCAAATTCTCGATGAATTTGCGCGCAACCTTGTCGCCCACCCATTCGGAGCTCTGAAAATCCGCGACGCATGAATGGGACGACGCGTCACGGCTTCAAACCTTTTTCGTTGCTTGCTTATTTTCCTCAGCTGACTTTGAAGGAGGCTTGTTCTTCTTCTTGTTCTTATTCTTGTCCTCCGATTTCGTCGCCCGTTTTTCGTGATAACTCTTTGCCGTCACTTCCAAGGCGAGGTTCTGAAAAAAGAAAGACTAGACTTTCGTTTTGAAAGTACGCTCAAGTCAGATGATTTACAGAATTTCCAGATTGACACAAAAATTTTGTTTTTTTTTTCAGTATCAATGGACGAGATCCTATGGAAAAACCATTGAAGTTAAAATTTAGCAGAGCACACTTTGAGCTCAAAAAAAAAGCCTTACAGGCTCTTGGACCGGCGGCGGCTTCTTGAAGTCCTTGGCGGTCACTTCCATGTTCGTGTTCTGTAATTTCAGTTTTATTCGTTTTCCTCTGAGAACTTTCCACTGACCGCGACGATGGTCATGGTAGAAGGCGCAGGCGTGGGACTAACAGCCTTTATTTTCTTCTTCTTGTCCCCACTTTTCTCCTCGACCGCCGTTCGTTCCATCGTCCGCTCCATACCATCTTTATTATCCCTTCTTCTGGGCGGCAAACTCGTCGGCGTTGACGACTTCGGAATCTCTTTCAAAAATGATCTGAACATTGCCACCGACTCAAATTTCTTCAATTTGGTCTTTTTGGCGTTCGTTTTTGTCTGAAATTTCATGATAGCTATGTTCTTGAATGTCATACCCACAGCAGGATTTTTGGATGATGCTATCTCCATCAGATGCTGCTTTTCACGTTGATTCCTATTCGGTCCCTAAAAAGTGTGAAAAAAGTGAAAAAAGATCAATCCAAATTTTCTTAAGGCTGTTGCTCTAACCAGTTAAACTCATAAAGACTTTTTTTTGAGTCCTAATACAATTTTTCGACCAAGTCCTGGAAGGAAATTTAAAAAAATTTATACTCCAATTTAAACTTTTTTTCATTCATCATTAGACTCTAGAGTTTGTCCCTGTTTGGCTCTCAAAACTGACCTGTTTGCTCTTCTTCTTCCGTTGTTTACGGGAAGAGGAACAAGTGTCGGATCCCGTATTAGGCATATTTTTTTCAAGAGTTCCTTGCCGACCAACTTGCTAGCAATGGCTCTCTCTGCTACGCGCCACGTCGGCCTTTTTTTTTTTAATTCCAACGCTTGAACATTTCAAAAATTTTAAGGCGGTCATTTTAAGTTTAACCATGAGCTTTCCTTCTCTTTCTAGAAAAAAAATTCTTCTTGTCTCTCAATTATATGAAACTTCTATTCCCGTGATAACAAATTAACTATTTTCTTCACAATTAACAAAATTCCCTTCAGTGAAACCCAAACAGAGAAAAAACAAGCGAAAACGGAAAACTGTTTCAGAAGAAGTTTGATCTCCATTTTTCTCGCCGTCGGATGAGGTTCTCGATTCTGTGTTGAACTTTTCGAGTAGTATATGATTCACGGCCAACTTGGGACGGTCAGGGGGCGTGTCCTGTCTGCGCTCTCCACGAGCAAGGCGCTATCTCGTGCATTATCGTGTCAGGACCCATATTTCGATGGCTCAAGCCAGTCGTGAATCAGCTATAAAATGTTGTTGCTGGGACAGATCTTGAGATGATAGTAAAAAGATAGAATTGTACTTCTGAAGTCATTGTTTTCCAATATTTTCAGAACGAGAAGACAATAATAACCACGATGATGATTTCCGAATTCTTGAATTTGAAATGTTGATATATTTCTATTTATATCAACATTTATAATTCTTTCTATTTTTCCCACCTTTTAAATACTCTTGAAGTTTTATAGGTGGATCTAATCCAAAGGTTCATCTTTTAAATAATTCATCTTTTACATTGGGATGACAGACCCAATGAGTAACTTTACCTCCAGAAGATTTTTCTTGATTTTTAACTCTTCGAAGAACTCTTTGAGGTCAAGATTGGTTAACTACTTGTTCGGCGTTGGGAACGGTGCTGAACGTTGTTTTTTTTTTTGCCTTTTCCTGTAGGTCAGAGTTGACGGCTTCTGAATTTTGAGAGAAGCGGAATCAAATCTGAAGTTAGTGGATAGTTTCTCATTCGATGAAACATTATTTACGAGGCCTCGTTTGAGATTAGTGTAGTAACTGTTTTTTTTTTCAAATTAAGCAAAAAGAAACATCATAACTTTTTTTTCTCAATTTCTGAACAGCCTTTTCTTATCATCCGATTGTTTCCAATCTAGACAATAAAAAAGAAGATAAGACATGAACCAAACTATATTAGCTTCACCACACTCCAGACTGTTAAGAGTTGATCATTCTATCAAAAATTCGTTTTCGTTAACTTTCGTTAACAAAATCAACTTATTGAATTTTCTAGTTCGTCGCGTTTACTAAGCTATCTTGCAAAAAAAAATCATTGATATTTTTCCGAATGAATTTTTAAGCTAACTGCCATTTTTTGACCATTTGTCTGTTCAAAAGTATATTTGCTTATAAACTGCTTGGACGCTTGAAAGAGCAGAGATTTTATTCAAAATCTCTCCGAGGCGAATTGATTCATCTTTTTTTTTTGGCGTTCAAAAATTTTGTTCATTGACAAATTCATTTAAAAAAACGGAAAAAGCTTATGGCTCAAACTAATGAGTGTGTTTCAGTGGTTTTTTTTTCGGAATAAAAATAACGCTCGTTTCATGTTTTTATTATTATTTTCACACATCTTCGTGCCGAAATGTTCCTATCTCACAATATTATTCACAAATATTATTGTCCAAGAAGGCGTTATTAACGTGGGAAAGTTACGGTTGTTTTCGATACGCAGGCACTCCCACGAAATGACGATTTCACACGTTGAGGAAAATTTAATTTTATCTTGACTTTCTCTTTTTCTTCTTTAATTTCGTTTTTTTCGGTCGTAATTCTCGATGAATGGAGCTGAGAACGTTAAACTAAATCATTTATTTTTCAGGCCACACAGTAAGGTCAAACTTGCAAATGGCGGAAAATTCGTCGAAAGACATTTATGAGAGCTTCAATTTGTAAGATTAACTTCCAAAAATTAAGAAGATGTTTTTGCTGCAGATACATTCATCCGGACAAATTTTTCCTTGAGCCGCGAGATTTGAATGGCGGCAGTTTGTCGAATAACTACCTGGAAATCGATCGCCACACAAATGCCATGAAAATTGGAGGTCTCGGGATCACCGTGAATTTATTTTTCAAGATAATATCGGTTTCAGACATTCGTGAGACTCGAATTCCTATCATAGACTCCGAAATCAAATTTATTTACGGCATCGTGGGCACAATTCCAGTCGTTTCAGGTTTTAAATATTTTTAAAAAAATAAACTTGATTTTTTTGGGCATGGCGATGCTGGTTATAACTAAGGCGAATAACGTAGGAAAGGTAAAACATGTTGAAAATTGTAAAAATAAAGTTAGTTTGACAGATTAATAAGCATAACGTCTGGGAGATCCTCCAAACGGAATTGATCGCTTTTAAGAAAACCACGCTTCATTTGACGGAGAAACAGGTTTTTCATTTTATATTTCAAGCTTTTTGAGACTTTTGAGCCTTGCAAAACAAATAATTTTTCAATGCGGAAAAAAGGATATTTAGATCCGTTACAACCGTCTTTTTTCGGACATGGTGACCTATGTGATGGCGATCGGTGGATTTTACTATTCCACAAGTTTGGACATCACCAGGACCCTTCAATGGCTCCACGAAAATGATGGACCGACCTTCCGGGCCAGTAGTATGGCCGATAATGTTCGTTTTCTGAAGAATTGTGCATTTCCAAGGATAAAATGTTATACCCAGGCCTTTTTTAGCGATTTCGAAAAAAGAGAAAAAGTTGGTTTAAAACTCTAAAAATTGATCACTGAAAAAAGAAGAAGTAAAATTCAAATATTCACTTTTTATGATCGAGAAACTTGAAGATTTCTCAAAAATTGATGCGGTAAAAATGGAATACCATTTCTTGAATTTCTTCATTTTTCCGCCCCTTTTTGAGCATATTCTTTATTTCGAACTTGTTCAGGTGTCTTTTAACTTTGAAAGTGGCTTCAAACGATTTTGAGCTTAAATATAGCTGGTTCGAGCGAAAAAAAGGATCCTGACACGAAGAAAGAAGAGAGAGTGCTTGGTTGGAGGAGAGCGCAGACATTCCACGTCTTCTCGCGCCCCAAGCTACCCGCGAATCGGACATGATGCAATGTATCGAGAAAATAAAACAAAAATTTTCATTTTTTCTTTTTCTCGAGTCAAACTCTATTTTCCTCATTTCCTCTTGTTTTCTAGTGATTCCATTGGAATACTGGAAACAGAAGAATGAAATAATTTTTCTTTCAGGCCAGTGAACGATTTGTTTGGAATGGACACCTTCTCAAGCAGATTCGCGCCACCGCTGGGGTTCTAAAGACCTAAAAAAGGAACTTTCTGAAATGAATTGATTTCAGACGGAACGTTTCTGCCTCCCCGTCATGCATGGGTTCTTCGGCCAAACTCGTTCCACAATTAATAACAGAACTTTCAAATTGACGCTGATCTCGAGGAGGAGTATTTACCGGTGCGTGAGAAAAGTAGCCTCTGAGACAAGGTGCTCCATTGATGAATTAGAGAAAACTCGAGAACAGACAAAAAAACATTGATCTTCCAATTTATAGGTTGAAAGGCAATCACAGGAGTAAAGAAAAACTCTTTCAATAATAAGTTTGCTTTCGGTTGAGCTTTTTTTGCGATCTGTTGTGAAAAAAAGATCAAAATCGTTTATAGAAGAAATAGCCTCGCAAAAAGGTACTCTGTTGAGAAGAAAAAAATAGAAAAAAAGATATATTTGAAGAGTCTTTTTTTTGCTCATAAAGAGAAGAAAGAATATCGCTTTTTGATAAATTTTCATTTTAAGAGGACAGAAAGGCTTGGAAAATAATGATTATGTTAAGGATTGTCATGTTTCAGAAGAGTTTTTTTTTTGAAAGGTAAATAATAAATTTGTTTTCGGTTCAGAGCCGGAGTTCGGTACTACAAACGAGGCGTTGACGTTGACGGTCATGCGGCGAATTTCGTCGAAACTGAGCAAATCGTCGAATTCGAAGGCCAAAATCAGGATCGGCATATAACCTCGTTTGTTCAAGTACATTTTGACACACCAAGTTACGAAAAAACCCCGAAGAGAATACAGGACAGTTTCCTTGTTTTCATTCAAATGTTAGGTCAATTCTCATTATTTTCATATAATGACGCTCTTAGCATTTTCTCAAAACAGCCGTGTTTTAAAGATCCGCGGTTCGATCCCCTTACTCTGGACCCAAAAGCCAAATCTTCGATGGCAGCCGACGCCGAAAATGAAGCCGACCGACGACCAATTGGCAGCCTTCCAAAAAAGCTTCTCCTGGCACCGAAAGCACTACGGCGGCAAGCATGTTTGTCCCTCAAGTGGCCATTCGAAAACTTGGCCATCTCCAGGTTATCGTCAACTTGATCAATCAAAAGGGCCGCGAAAAGAAAATCGGCAGCGAATTGGAGCGCGTTTGTCAGCAGGCGAATATTGACTTTGTTCGGCAAGTTTTCTGAAAAGTGGCTATTGAAAAAGAAAAAGAAAGGTTTAGGATTCACGGTCCTAAAGAATAGACCCTAAACCCTATTAGAACCCCAGTTCATACCCGCCAGAGGGGGAGAAATGGCGCTCCTAAGCGTTTTCAAGCGTTTACATTTCTAAACCGAAGTGGCCGCCATGGCCATTTCTTGATAAGTCGCTGCCCAGGGCGCCCGGGGCCAAAACCGCGATGGCAGAAAAATGCCATTGGAAGAAAAAGTACGCGCAAAAATTGGAATCTTCTAAAATCTTGTAAAATCGTTGTTTTCGAAGCTTTAGAACAAAGTTTTTTTGAATTTCCAATTTGGTGGCGACGGAAATTTATTCTCTCACTAGTCAGCGGGTTCGTAACCATAAATCTGGAACATTTCGCCTAAAGAAAAAAACAAATATAACCGTAGTTCACATAAAAAAATTCAACTAGTCATCATATCCACTGAAAAATTAAAAAAATTATTGAAAAACTGCGAAATCCACGATTTAATGAAAAATGAATAAAAATGACCATTTTCGCCCTACTTTTGCAACGTGGTATTATACGCCATCGACACATAATGACGCGGTATTCCGCAAAAGTTAGCAAAACGTGACAATTTTGACGCAACTTCGTTCAAGGTCTTTTTTTTTGCAAAAGTTAAAAGATTTCTTCAAAAGAATCGATTAATGTTTCTTCTGGAAGAGAGAATGAGAATTTGATTTGATGAAAATACTCATTTTTCGTTTTCTATCGTTGAAAATTGATCATTTTTCAGTTATCAACCCTTCGATTTCCACAAAGAATGCCATGCCGGGCGTTGGGATCGACTTTCTTTGCTCAGAGATATGCTCGTTCCTGAACTTCATGAGTTTGGGTGTGTATCAAAAAAATATTGAAAAATAATTCGAAATCATTGAATAAAATGGAAAGGAAGATGAAGATGGGACCATTTTCCGATAAGAAAAATAAGGCGATTTTTCCTCTTATAAATAAGTTCATTTTACTTTGCGCTGGGATTTTTCTGAAATATGGTCAGATCACTTCTTTATATATAGTCCATTCGCCGCGACTTGACAATTTCGAGTGCCTGCGTCTCTCTGTTCCCTCACCGGCGAGGCCAGGGAAACATAAAAATAGACCGGCAACAGGAGAAGGCCACCGAAATTCGAGGAGGTCGCAGAAAATAAAAAATATGCAAGATGAAAAAATGCTGGATCTCTCAACTTGAACAACTTGGTTTTTGAGAAAAGTCGAAGAGAAACCTCAAAATCCGTTGAAATGAGCCATTTTCGGCTTTGAGTCCCTCTTTCTCGAATACTGGGAAGTTTTGCAAGTTGAGACTTTCAGGATCTTTTCCTGGTATGTTAAGGAGTGTCTGGCCATGGAATTCCTAGCCGCAAAGTGAAATAAATTTCCTTATTAAAGATAATTTTTAGTGTAATAATTTTTTCTTCAGCTACTACTACTTTGATCCGAAAAACTCAGTTGGTTCTGGCATGCAGACGGGATTTTTCCGAACGAATTGCATTGATTGTCTTGATAGGTAACTTTTTTCCTTCATTTTTTGTGTGTCTGTATCGAATTCCTTGCTTATTCCGAGCGAGAACGTGTTTTCCAGAACAAACGTCGTGCAGGCCATGTTGGCCCGCGTTTCTCTGACCACTCAACTTCAAAAACTTGGAATCATAAGCGAAGATCAACGGGTGGAGACGATTCCCGAGTTGGAGCACGTCTTCAAGCATTGTGAGGGGTTTTCTAACATTTTAATGTAGGGAAAGTCGAAAATAGAGAAAATATTGTTGAAATTGGTTGAAATCGAACACAAAAGAGAAAAATGGTGCAGAAGAAAAGCTTGAAATATATGACTTTTTCTACATTACTTCCATAGACAACCTCTCTTTCAAGTTCAGAGCTTTTAATTTTCAAACTCGGTTTGTCAACTTTATTAGGAAAATTTTTTTGAACTATTGATCGTTCCTAAAGAGTGATACTCCTGCAGTGTAGGTTAATCGAAAACTCTTAGCAGCTCATTTTTTATCGAGTAATAATAATTCGTTTTTCAGTCAATTTCAAGTAACCTTTTTTTCGAAAACCTTTTTAACTACTTTTTTGATGTAAAATTATCGAAAATATCTCAATTTTTTCCTTTTTCAGTGTGGGCGGATAATGGCGATCAGTGCAGTCGGCAGTATGCCGGTACCGGCGCTTTGAAGGTCAGAAGAAGAATGTAGTTTGATCTTCAAATGATCCGTTTGTTTTCAGGCCGACTTCACCCGTCTTGGTAGGAGGACCTATTATGGAGCCATGAACGACGGCGTCAATGCCGTGACTCGCTATTTCCGCAACAACTTCATTGATGGCTATCGACAGGTTTCAGTTTTCAATGAACAAGAAAACTGATTAAGGAACTAATCGGGCTCGGGGAAGGGTATTAAGATGAAACTTCAGTGGCTTACCTAGGAAAACGCTTTGAAAATCTCACGGAAAGCCCTTCAAAACACCATATGGAAGAATATTTTAAAATCTTTTCGCGAGCTCCAAAAATCTTGTAAGACAATTCAGAAGTAATAAAAAAGTTTCTTGGCCTAAACTGGGCGGCTGAGTTGCAATCTCACGAAAACTTCCGAGAAAACATTACTTTTAAGGACGCCATCGACCTGTTCCTGGGCAATTTCATCATTGATAACTCGAATCTTCCGTCCGCCCTTGAAGTTTCGCTTTTTTCCACTAATCAGGTATGGAATTTCGAGGTAGATGTATAGTTTAGTCAAGACTTTAGGTAGTCCCAAAAACTCTTCAAAAAAAAAAGAACGAAAATGGCTTCAAAACATGATTTTTGGAATCTCGTTTTTTCTTTTAAAAAAGGTTTTTTTTGGGCCCAACTTCTATATGATGGCTTGAGCTTTGTAGTGTGATTGACGACTAGATTTTGTCCCTTTTTTTGAAATTCATGAATGATTTTTGAACTTCAGAACGGTGTCGCTTTGATTGGCGCCATGTGTGCGATGGCGATGACGGTTCTTTGCGTCCTTGTCGCAGGTTTCTTATTTATTTCTGATTTTTCAATTGTCCCCAGTTCACAAAGGAATAACAAAGCGGATATTTTGTTGAGAAGCTGTAAGAAAAAGGCAAAAAATGCAATTTTTCCAAGCGATTCGTCGTTTTATACTACATTTTCTTCACAGAAAACGTGACGGCGACGATTTTCTGGCTAATCGTTTTTTTCATCTGCCTCCTCTTCATTTTCATCAACGGCGAAGAGTTCGTCAACGCCCCGAAACTGAAAATCGATTGATTTTTCCTGAGCTTTTCCAAATCGAATCACAAAACAATTCCATTACTAACACTTAATAATTTTCTTCTTCAGTTGTTTTTTTCTCACTTTATTTTTCTTCTTGCGCATTTTTTTTTAGTATGAGTGAAAGTGGTTGCGAAAAACAGAAAAAAAAGCGGTAGAATCGTAGATTTCAGTCAATTTTTTGAGAGAAATTTTAGGGATCATTTAAGTGTGCGGACGGCACTGGAGTGCTCACTAGGAATGTTTCCACACGTCCGAGTTGCGTCCGGTACGCGTTGTCAAGGTCCGAGTATTCAAAGCTTTGTATTTTTCAAAGATTCAGCTTAAAAACTTGCAAGCTTGCTCCAATGATAAAGTTGAAATTTTAATTTTTTTAGCTTAACTTTTCCTTCGCAGCTGTTTTTCCCAGTCATTTTCTTTCTGATAAGCAACCTTTGCGCCAATCAGTGCTATGCAACCTATTTTTTGCCATTTATTCCCCGAGACGTCATCAAAATGTGATTGAGAAATGATTATTTATCGACTTTCCTTCAAAAGTTAATTTTTTTATTGCAAAAAAATAGAACGACAATCTATAAACATTTAACAGTGGTTGGACATGGGCGCCAAAGTGAAAATAAGGAAATTTTTTTATTGATTGGTTTCTTTTTGAGGAGGTGAATGGATAGGGAGGAGCGCTTTATATCCCGTTTTCTTGATTTTTTTCTTTAATTTTCCGGGTGAAATTCATCACAAAGATAAAGTAGGGGTAGTTTTTTCAAAGTAGAAGGCTTTTTCGGTCGTTAAAATGTGCTCCATAGAGAATTTTATCGAAAAAAAGAAACTAAAACGACCAGTTACTGAATAAATCAAAAATTATTGCAAGAGTCCGTTTTTTTTTTCTGTACTTTTTGACTATTTTCCTCTAGAAAAATGAGTAGATTACAGAACTAGACAGAAATTTCAGATAAACATGATTTTTTAAACAAAAAAAGCTAAATTTCTAATGTACAATTTACACAAGAGAAAATGAGAGAATCAAAATAGCCGGAAAGTATGGGAAACAGGGAGGCTCCAGAGAAAAAAATTCTCTTGGCGTCCATCATTCCATGCTCTCTAGACTAAAAAAAACCTGTTTCTAGGAAGTTAATAGAAGAAAAAGTTCATAAAAAAGGAAGCTAGAGATCATAGAGGAAGAGGAGGGTTCAGAGAAATATTGCTCATTTTCCAATTCTCTCTAGCTTAAAAAACCTGTTTCTACGAGATAAAGTGAAATAAAATAAAACTTTGGAAACGAATCGAGGCAGATTTTTTGATCTGGTCATTGAAAACGAATGAAAGAAACTTGATTTGGAGGTGTAAAAAGAAACATAAAGTTTTTAGAGAAAAGTGATTATTTAATGAATTTTTTTGAGACCAATGACGTTATTAGTTAAAACTATTGTTGCTAGGTTCCGTTCGGGACTAGAATATTGGATTCATACACATACAAGGGAATAGGAGTCAAAATTTTGAAATAAAAAGAAATCAGTGGAAAAGAAATTTTAACGGGTCTCAAAAGACGCATTCTCCTTCTCGCGAGCATAGAAATCGGCCAATTTCGGGGAGCTTTCCTTCTGAAAAGAAATCAATTAATTTCGAAATGAAGATTCAGAACGGACACTAATCGGACAAGACGGCTCCATGGCTTCCAAAATGCTCTCGATGCCCATAATGCATCCCTCGTCGATCCCTTCGTAGATCTTGTCCTGAAAAATTATTTCAGTACTTCGCCAAGATTTTGAAGCGAGAATCGTATTTGAATCTTCAATCAAGACCTTGGTCAATGGAGGAACTTTTCTTAAACAAGCTTTGAATAAGCAATACTATTTTCTCTTTCAGCGTAGTATTCTCAAAAATCTGTTTATAGTCTGTTCTGATTTTGAAAATCAAATCTTCGCTCAAGCTCCGATCCTAATGGCCCTATGAACCAATCAGAAAGTGAGCTATCCACAGAGCGTTTTTTTTTCGATAGTTCAAACCACCGTTGAACAGGTGATATACGGTTTTCGATAGCTGAGTCGTTGAATCGTTGAAATTTACCCCAAACTAGCGATGAAACAACTAAAATAGTGATTTGTAAGCTCTTGGTTGAAAATACCCAGCAAAACAAAGGGAAAAGTTTCGGAAAGTTAGTCGTGGAAACTAAACTCGAAAAATGACAGGCTACGCGTATCAAAGGGAAGCTTCCGGGAAGGGTTCTAAAAATGTTAAAGTAGCTCTGACAAGGAAGGTCATTTTACTTCGCGGTTAGGAGTTTCCTGAAAGTTGGCCAGAAAGCTCCTTGATGTACCAGAAGAAGATTCTGAAAGTCTCAACTGCACAACTTCCTCGTTCTTGAGAAAAGACGCCTTAATGTCAAAGGGAACCCTCAAAATCCATAAAAATAGGCTATTTCGAGAACTTGAGCCCTTATTTCTCGAAAACTAGGAAGTTATGCAGGTTGAGACTTTTAGGATCTTCACCTGGTAGAGCAAAAAGTGTTCGGGCCAATTTTCAGAAAACTGGCCCACAAAGTAAAATGACATGTCAAAATCTCCCTCGGAACGGTCTTCGAAAAAGAAAAAAACTTTTTCCAATATTATACCGTGCTCAAATTGATTCAACAAAATTCGAAACACCCATCCGAAAATAAAAAGATGATTAAATTTTGCAGGGATATATTTGAGCTTCGCGGAAATCACTTTGCACAGGCCATTATGAAACAGTAAAACGACTTTTTACACACATTGAAGAAGCCAGAGAAGGTAGAATGGGCGAAATCGATGATATTGACGCGGACGGCGTCCTCGTTGGACGAATCGGCCGCCTCGGCGTCGAACGCCACCAAAATCGACGCCGAAAAGAACCGATAGCCTTCCGAATCGTTCAGGAGCTCTTTCAAGGATCGCAATCTTGAAAAATCGAAGACAGACAATGACTTTATCGATTGATTTTACTTTTGCCGGATCCTCGACGCTCTGGCGTGGCCGCACGCTTTGACGAACCGCCTGACGTAGGTTCCGAACTGCGAGGCGTCGATTTTTCGGCCTTCCAGCTTCTCTACGTAGGTATAAACCTTCAAAAACTCAATCAATTTGGGAATTTTGATTGGAAAGTTCTTCATGTGTTCAGAAGAGTTTCAATACTGGGAAAAGTATTTTTGGAGTTTCTTTGTCGATTCCAAACGATATACGGCATACTTGAAGCACACAAAATCGTGGAATTTTTTTTCACCCAAAAGAATTTTTTAAAACATTCTATTTTTCTTCCTCTCCCTAAAGCTACTTAATCATTCTCCCTTTGCTTTCCGGTCTCTTCGAAAACAGAAAAAAAAGAGAAAGAAAACGCATTCATCCGAAATGAAGGGGGAAAAAAAGACGTTTCCTTTTGAAATTTGTTGTCCCGGATGCATAGGAAAATGCGAACATTTCCGTTTATTTTGAAGGAGTTGAGAAAAAAAAAAGGAATATCGAGCAATATAATAGAGAGAATAAAAAGAAAATTAGTTAAAAATTTCCTACCATTTGTTCAGTTTGATGAGAATTAGAGAAATATTTGTATGATAAAATCAATGAAAACCTTGGTAGTAGCTTCATAAAGCTGCATTCCGACCAATCTGACGCCCATCGTCGCCGACGTCGACATGTTGCACTTCAGAAGCTGGCGCTTTCTTTTCGCATCGGATGCGTCGTCGCCGTGTTGTCTGCAGAAGGAAAATAAGAAAATATTGCAACTCAACAAAAACTTTCCTGCAATGCTACAAAGACAACAATACAATGAGTTGGAAATGCAAAATCAACTATTTTTTCTTTTCTCACTTGAAAAGGTTCGCAAAACCTATTCCTAACCTTTTTTTTTTGCTTTGCACAACATCAAAACGAGTTATCACAATTCTAGAAATACTCAAAAATTTTCCTAAGAAAGTAATATTTGAAAAAAAAAACCAGTGGTTCAATATTCACCTCGTCCCAATCTTCAAATCCAAGACGCAAGGCCTTTTGAACGACGCGACAACGTTTTCCAACAGAATAAATGATTGCGGATCACCAATCAATAAATTTTCGACAACCTGAATGTGAGAAATCGAGAATAAAAGTTTTAAACAAGCAAGAATCATCGAGACACACTTACAAAATAGTAAATTCAGGTTCCTTTTCAATTTTCCAAAATTTCAGACATTATCAAAGCTTTTAAAACCTGAATTCTAACTCAAAAGCGTTTCTGAATGAAACATACATAATTTCACTGAATAAAGCTTCAGGAACTATTCGAGAAGTAATAACTGCCTAGTTCAAGAACAAATTAAAGCTAAAATAAAGCTTCGAAACCTGAAAAACTATTCAAGGAGATTATGATAATTTTGGAGCGTTTAAAAGAGAGAAGTGTCATTATTCCACTCAAAAAAGCGCCAAAACCCTTAAAAGTTATGTCGAAACTTAGCAAATCAAAAACCTTCGAGCCGGCTTATTACAAATTTCAATAAAAAAGATCGAACTGAAACAGAAAAATGAACATTTAAGCACCTTGCACTGACACTCGGCCGCCCAAGGGTTCCACAATTTCTCCGTGTCGACCGTCACATGACCGGAAGGCGATAATCGGAACCTTCAAAACCAAATTTCCATCGGTCAGTTCGGGATTTTTAATGAAAACTAACTTTGTCGTGGATCCCTCGTGTTTTTTGGTGGATTTCTTCGCGTGGCACTCGGCCTTGCCCTCCGATTCCACCAAAACTTTACCCGAAGTCGGGTCGAGAGCAGCTCGCACCAGCACTTCTTCTATAACAGTTTCTTTTGAGAAAAAAATGGATTCAAATTGAAGAAAAACGAAGCGTTTCCCAGAACTCAAGTACGGGTGGCGGTGAATCTTTTTTTGGCCTTTCTGTTCATAGAAGCTAATAAATACCGAACTTTTTTATGCACAATTTCTCACCACGCGCTAAAAAATTCTTGAAACAGGTTCAAAAAATGAGCAAAAATGTTATTAATAAATACTACAAAAAACAACGCATTTGAAAAAGGGCTTTCCACTGGAAAGGCGAAAATATAAGCCAGAATCCCGGGGCGTGCCGAGAAAGTAAAACTTTGCTCAATGGCGTCCCCAAACCTGCTCCGAAACAGTTTTTTTCTCTTCTAGCACGTTTCATATTCCAGTGAAAACACCTCGATTTAAGCTCATCCAAAAATTAACTCAAAAAAAAAACCAACTGAAGCTTCAGAAACGCGTTAATAAAGGAATACAAATTTTCTAACACATTATTCAGAACCAAATTCAACCTTTTTTCCACTTTGCTCTAATTGCATCAAAACACTTCATGAAGCTTAAAAAGTTGAAAAACATATTATGTGAAACAAAATTAAAATCTCTTCACGAACTACAGAAAGCCGGCGTGAAGGGCTTGAATTCGTCCTTCATCATCCCATAAAAGGCCATTTCGCGGAGGTTCATTGGCTTGGCGACGTGACCGTTACAAAGCAAGAGCCCAAAATGTCCGCCCACCTGAAAAAGATGAACAGTTAAGAAAATATCGGAGGAAATTGAATAAAACATTTTTTTTGAGGAGAAATGAAACAATTCAAAAAAGAAGCCTCCTCCTAACAAACCTGGTGCCGAAAAAGCGGTGAATTCCATGATGATGAAGTCAACCCAATAAATAGCTGCTACCCTGAAATTAAAATGAAGTTTAAATGATTTATGGAAAACATAATTCACAACAGAAAGTTTGAAAAATTTTTTTGAAACTTAACAAAAAAATCGCATGACAGCGAACATGCCACGAGATTTGGGTTATGACATCGGTCACCATGAGGTGAAAAAATGGGCGGGACATAAGAAAAAAAAAGGAAAAATAGCTTTGAAAGGAATGAGAAATGCGCTCCGAGGATATTATATAACCGGTTCTCGACTAACGGAAAATAGCATGAAAAATTGATGAATTGACGCTTTTCCTAATGAAAAAGCTGGAAAAAAAAAGTTTTTTTTGGGGAAAAATAGGAAATCAAAAGAAAAAGGTCAAGAAAATAATCTGATAACTTTATTGTTGATCCCAACCGATGAAAATTCGTTAGGGCGACTCAAACCAGTTCAAAATTTTTATTTTTCTTTTCACTTCTGGGTAAATGTCATTACTTGAATAAATCAAAGAATGACGATAGTAATCAGTGATAAGTACCTAGATGACTCAGATTTGAAGATACAGAGAGCTTTCAAACAACAGGACAAGCTCCGAAAAGTGGCCTCATCCGCAGAATTCTCTCGACTAATGACGTCATTAAGCCAGGAATGGTGCGATAAGTCAGGTGAGCCTTAGAAAAGGCGGAAAAATAAAATAGGTTCATCGGGAAACTGAAGAATTCCGGCGATTAGGTTAAGTTTGACTTTGGACGTCTTTAAGTGATGTTTGAATGACGATATAGAAGTGAGATTCAAAAAGAAGGGGGGACAGGCTGAAAATGGCTCGAAAAAGGAAATTCAAGTATTGAGACTGTAGTTTTCTTGTTTTTTCTAGGTTTTGGCGCTCGTCGAATTAGTCAAATAACTAAATATCGACTAACTTTACAAGGACTTGTCTACAAGAGAGAAAAATGGTGGTGGAACCACAGGGAGAAGCTCAAAAATCGAAAACAAACAGACATGAACTTTTCTTTTTAACCACACTAGGCTAGTGTTGACGTTATTGGCTTGAGATGAAGCTTAAAAAGATAAAATAAAAACTCTCACTGAAAATTTCGAAAAGACCTAAAAAAGAGAAAATTCCTGAAATCGTCAAAGATGAAGATTAAAATCAACAAAAAAAACTTGGACAAGTCTAAAGTCTGAAAAATGGTTAAAACGGTCTTTTTGGCGGGAACTGAAGGTTTTGTTTGCAAAAACAGTTCATGCAGATAAGGTGAAGAGCCGAGAAGCCGGCCAGAGGCGCTAGAACTTCAGCTATCGAGTGCTTTGCTTTTGAGTGACGGTGGAGAGAAGAAAAAGTTGAGAGAGCGAGGCAGGCCAGAGAGGCGAGAGTGATTCGCCTTGAGGGCGCCAGTCACAGAGACGCAGAAGCCGACGAGAGACGCGGAGGGCGTCCAGAGAAGCTCGACGGAGCCGAGCACCAGCTGTGTGTCTTCGGCCTCCAGCAGGCCAGAAGAAGCAGCACAAGCCAAAATCGAGGCTTCTGCCTTGCCTTCCGCACCTTTTTCATGCAATTTCGGCGTTTTTTTGCTCTGAAGAAAAATATCTGAGCTTTTTTTCTACCACTCTGAAAACTTTCTTTATCTCCATATCTAAAATCACTATTTTTTTTACTGTTATTCCTTTTTTGCTCCATTTATTCTTCCAAATTACCTCATTTTTCTTTCTGCCAGCTTTAATTATTTCATAACTATTTCAAGCGCTCTTCTTTCAACTTCAACTCCTCCAAACATTTCTACCTCTCTGAAAACTTCCTTTATCTCCATCTCAAGCTTCTAAGTACCTTTTCGCCCTAAATAATACCATACTTGCGCGAGAAGTTCCGACTATATTAATTTCAAGAAAAACACAATATTTCAGCAAAAATGCAAAAATAGTTCAACAGGAAGGAAACATTAAAGAAAAAGAAGATGTCGGCGATCAGATCTGGCCTGGTGGACATCTACATCCACGGACAATGGCACCGGGTGCTCGCCACCTTGGATCCGACGGCCATAACCCTCCAGGTCAGTCCGAGAATGAGGAATGGGAATGAAAAACCGGTTATCAGTGGCCCCACCTTCATTTCCTTTCTTTTGATAACAAACACCTGTCATGTTCAATTTCGGTTCTCCAATATTTAAACTCTGACGCTATTAAACAAGATTTGAGAATATAAAAGGCTCGTTAAATTTCTCCAATCTAATGATTTTAAGACATTGTAAAGACACTGTCTTCAATGATAAAGTCACCAAAAGCCTTACTTTTATGCATTAGTATTAGAAAGGGTTCAGTCTTGAAATTCCTCTCAAGAAGTTTAACTAATGCTGTCAGCATAGAAAATTTAGATATTCAAGTCTCCAACTTTTGGTTTCTAAAAAGTTGAGCAGTTTTTCGAATTATGAGGCCACTTAAAAGGTTAAAAATCAACTAAAACCTTTATACTTTCGTAATCCTAATCATTATGAAGTTCTTATTCGGAACTGCCACTTAAAATCATTGGAAAAATATCTCAAGACTCAACCTTCAATTCAAAAAAGAACACATGCAATTTTCGTTCACTTTTTTCCTATTCTCTCTTTTCGAAGCAAATTCAATTCGTTCGGAGAGAAGCAAATTTACATGGCCTGAGGGCCTAAATAATAGCCTTTCGGCCGGACATAAATCGACGGGAAACAAACATCTCAACGTTCCCCCTTTTGAAGAAACGAAAAATAAGAATACAATGAATCGATGAATTTGACGCGGCTGGAAAATTGAGCCAGGGTTAGCTCAAATTGCATTAGGCGTTGTGCCACGGACAAATTAGCGACAAGTTTGCGGAGTTTGTCATATAAGGCAACACAATAAAGATTGAAATGAACTGAAACTCGAAGAAAAAGAGAATAAACGAGCAGAAAAAGACAAAATAAAGAAGTGCATGAAAAAATCGGCGAAATTCATTAAAAAAAGGAAAAATTGTACTGAAAAGCGTCAAAATTATATTATCCTGTGAGACATTTTATACCGTCGATTAGCCATAAGCTTACATAAATAAGATACCAAATAAGGAAAAAAAAATGCATTTTTTTAATGGAATTAGAAAATAACGTGAAGCTGGAGTTTAGTCCGCAGTCACGCTTTTTACGCACCCAGGAGCTATACACCGTGCTTGCAATATATTAATATCTGCTTTTCCTGTTTTTCACGATTTTATCGTTATAATCATGGCGTTCCTCCTAAGATTAGTCTTAATCCCACAGCCTTGGCCGGACTAAGCTTAAGCATATCCAGATGCGCGATAATAAAGGATTTGCGGCGCTTATTCATCAAGAAAGGTATTACTTAAAGTGAAATATTTTCTCTCCGTTAAATTTTCGATCTCAGACAATGGATCAAAACATCTACGACGTTGAAGCGGAGAAGAGAACAGTCCGTGTAGTCAAATACGACGGAAATGGCCTTGGGATCTCAATAAAAGGCGGAAGGGACAATAATATGCCGATTATAATTAGGTAAAGCCTTTTTCTGAAACTTACATTATCCGCTAACTTCCTACAGAGTTTGAAAGACTGAGGAATACTCTATCATTTTTTTCATTTTTCTATATTTTTTTGTGTAAAACTTATTTTTTTTTAGCAAAATATTCAAAGGGATGGCGGCAGACCAGACCGGAGAGTTATTCGTCGGTGACGTCATCGTCTCGGTGAACGGCGAGAATCTTCTCGACGCCACTCACGACGAAGCCGTCCGAGCGCTGAAGCGAGCTGGACGAGTGGTCGACCTCCAAGTTCAGTACCGAAGGGATGACGTCATGAATCGGGAGAACATCGTCGAGCACGTCGAATGGGACGACGACCTCCGGGATCGTGTCAGGACAATCGGACTCAAATTAGCTTATGTTGCTCGAGCTGGGATTGACGCCGATGCGGAAGGAAGGATTTTTGAGGTGTGGCTTTATTCAAGTCTTTTACGATTGTGAGTATGTTCTTTAATTGACTTCACAGGCGTTTCCTTTTTTCGAAAATCACTTGAGTGGCCTTCAAGGTTCCTGTCTGTGCTGAAGTTAACTTTAACAAAGTGATTTGAATTTGTTTCATGATTGGCTTCAAAATTTTCTTTCGGGGACTTTTCGAAAAAAAATCATTTTAGTGGTCTTTTAGTTTTTCTCTGTGTTAAAGTCAAGGTCTCTAAAAAGCTTTCGAGAAAAAAAGTTACTTGGAAAAATTAAAATTATAGATAATTGAAAATAGTCTAAGCTCTGAAAAAGACGTTTGAGAACGTACCGAAATTACTTAATAACTGCTTTTTTTCTTCAGATTTTTTTAATGGAAAAATTTTTTTTTTTTCGTAGAGTGTTCCTTAAAGTTTTGACTTTTTTTCTTCTCAAAGGACTAATTTTTTTCCAGATGAGAAGCCCCTCCGGGAGGTACTCCTTAGCGTTACGATGTGGAAGCTCGGAAGAAGCCGACGCCTGGTTTGAATCCCTACACGCTTGCACGACGGCCTTACTCACCCAAGCTCTTGCTCAAGTCAATATAATGCTCGGTGGAAATCCTCAGGTCCGAAGGATGGGCTGGGTGGCGGAACAGGTGAGTATGGGCTTTTTTTGAGACTTGTCTTTAGCTTACTGATGAGAACAATTTTTATATATCCTTTATAATTAGATAAAGCTTACTAGATGCAGTTTCTGACGCTCATTTTCTCTGAAACTGTTTAGAAGGTTTTGGAAAAAGTTTGTGGGTTATGAGTTTCAGAAAAGAATTTCCCCAATTTTTAGGCACGTGTTGGCTGGAACGCTTTAAGCCTTCGAAGTTTTTTGAAAAATTTGAATGTGTTTGAAAAAAAAAACTCCATTCAGCTAAATTTGATTTTCAAAATAAAATATTAATTTCATTTGTCTTAATAAGCTAGGCCAGCTCTGTTAAGTAGTTTGAATCTACAGTTTTCATTGGTTTGCCAGATAGGAATTAGTGGTCGCCCACGGCGGGACTTTTGGAAGAAACTGAGTTCACTAGTTCTTTTATTTTGGCCCCAAATCTGCGCTCGGAAACGAAATATGAGGCGTTTGAGATGAGTTATGAGCGATCGAAGATGAAAAAAAAAATATTTGTTTAACTATTCAAAAAATGACTCACGAGAGTCATTAGAATTACCTACTAGTTAGCATTAAAAAATCATGTTTTTTTTTCCAGTAAAACGAAAAGCTCGATTCCTATGAGCTGTAGGGTCAACAATATCTGCCTATCTTTCCAAAATGAACACACACGGAATGTTGATCGATTTTTTTTTGTTGCAAAATCGGGCGTTCATAACTTTCTTCAAATTTTCTCATCAATTTTTTTAGGCAGATTAGGAATCAGCGTAAATAACTGCATCTAGTTGACCAAATCTCATTCAGAAGTCCTAGTTCGAGCTGAGACTTTCACCATTTCAGAAAAAAAACTCTTCTTTTTTCAATTCTCTGAAAAAACACGTGCTTGGACCTCGGTAACGCAAATCGGACGCGCCCCGGACTTTCTGAGCATTTCTAGGGATCCCTTTAGCGAAGTCAGTCCTCTTAAGTGTTCACTGCAAAATATCAGGAACCTCAAAGGCGCGTCCGGTCGTTATTGAAGTACGAGTGATGAGCCAATCAGAGAAATTTATCATTAGAGTTCACAAGCTGCTTAGAATGGCTATGATAGTTCTTTCAGATCTCCGAGGAAGGCATCACGATGTGGAAGCCCAAGTTCCTGACTCTAACCAACAGTGAGCTTCTCTTCTACGAAGCCGTCCCACAACTTAAACACGAATGGGCGGAACCACGGTTATCACGTCCATTGGTGGCGACCAGAGTCGTGCAGACGACGGCCAGAACAGCTCCGGTCATCAAAGGCCTCACTGACGTCATCTCCTTCCGGATTCGAACGGGAACCCAGCAAGGCGTCCGAACGCACACTCTTCGTGTCGAGACCCACGCCGAGCTGGCCAGATGGGTCAGGGCCATCGTCATCGGCGGATACGAGGCTTGTCTGCAGACTTCGCAGGTTGGTGCTGTGGTTAATGAAAATGTAATGGAACTAGGGTTTTTCTTTGCGAGGGCTGGCCCGTTGCTCAATTTTCAAGCCTGTCCGAAAAGGGCAAATTCAAATATCAGACTTTTCTACGACAAAAAATCACGTTATTGGTTCTTACTTGATTTGGTAAAGAACAAAAACTATGGTTTGAAAAGTAAAGAGCATTTTTTAGTGATGAAACTTTTGGTTTAGGGTTTTTCGAAACTTAGCCTGAGCCCGTGCAGGTTTTTACGCAAAAAAAAGCCTAAAGGCTAAGCCTGGTTAAACGATCGAGGTATTTGTGAGACGGTAAAGGGCTCCTGAAACTAGTTCTCATGAATATCTGAACATTTCTCTTTTTCGAATCATGGGATTTATTTGGTGTAGATTATCACTATGGGTATCTGTATACAAACTTTCTCGATTTTCGAAAAAGTATCGTCTAAGTTTATATATTTTTTTAAATCATAAAAATTGAGAGGGCTGCGACTTTCTGAAGCTGCAGAAAGATGTCTGGAATTTTAATGAGGCTGTAAGAAACCTTAAAAAAATGCATGAAGATCCTTAAAGCCTGCAGAACTTTTGTTTTTTGAGAACGGAGAAAAAAGGTCGCTTTTGTGGGTACTTATGAAAGAAAATATAAACTTGAAGCGTGATCAATCAAAAATTAGAAAGTTGAAACATCCAGAATCTGAATGGACTATCTGGTGTTGATCAGGCAATTTTCGATTCATCATTTTCGATTGCAGGTCTCAGCCCCATGCATTTGGAGAGGTGAAAACTGTGAACTGGTCGTCAACCTCGACACTGGAATTACGATGATGTCGACAACTGGAGAAGTCAGAAAATTATCATATTTTGTGATTTTTCGCAGGTTCTCTGGCAGCACTCCTTCGAGTCGATCCGGGCGACAGGCGACGACGGCGGCCGCTTTCTCTGGATCGATTTTGGGCCTCCACACGGGGAACAGGTAAATTCATAACAAATGTTTATAGAAAACAAAGAAATCAACAATAAAATTGCAGGAGATGGATCTGCTCAACTCGGCCAAGCCGGTCGTCTTCATCCTCCACTCGTTTTTGGCGACAAAAGTCTACCGGCTCGGTCTTTACGCATAGGATTAATTAGATGATCGCATTTTGAAAAAAAAAGAGCAAAATTAGTTGATAGGAGCGCCGTAGGCATCGGGCATCCTTTCGATCGAGAACCGATGCCCGCGAATGTACATAATCGGGACGCCGGGAATTTTCCGAATCCGACGCTTCAGATCTCGATCACACGTCGCTACGATGTAGCACTTGTGCTGCAAAGCAAAAATTTAGTTCTTTATTCAATTTCATAGGCAAAGGGGAACTTCTACGGAGCCGACAAGGCTTCCTTCAAAACGCTAACAAAAATAGAAAGCTTTTTGATGAAAGAAATGAGGTTTTTTTTCCTCCATTTTTACGACAGTTTTCGAAACTTACGACTTGAAAGAAGATATTAGAAATATTTAAATGAATGATGGAAAGTTAGGACTACTTAATAATGGTTTTTATCACGGAGTTTCAATTTTTTTAACCACTTCAAATCACAAATTTGAAACTTGGAACTATTTTTTTAAAAAAAGCTTTGATTTTTGGTGAAATAGTAAGGTTAAATGAGAGAGTTTCTGGATCATCCTGCATTCTTGTTAAAAGTTAACGATGAGCCAAGTGAAGCTTCAAAGATAGATTTTTTATTTAAGGAAGCTTATAAGATTTCAAAGTTATCAGCTTTTTTTTGAATCACCAATTTTCACTTTTACTTTTTCCCCCGCACATAGAAGAATCTCAACAGGAATTCTTAGCCTTTAGAAATATCTATAATTTTTTTTTCCTTTCAAAGCAAGAATTATTCCTATATAATCAGGTTTATTCGCAGTTTATTGAAAAAGGTTCACGGTGATCATATTATATTTGCATTTTCTCCTAGCTTTCATGTGTCAATTTTTATATATCATGGTCCTATTTTCACACTGTCATTTCATTCGATTTGCCTAGTACTTCGTCACAATTTCCAAATCAAATAAAGTTTTATGAACTCAGTTGCCTTAACGATCCTCATTTGATGTTTTTCCAATGATTTTATAAATATTTATTGTTTTTGTTTTTTTGGTGCTTCTTTGATCGCAATAAAGTCATCAGAGTTGTTATGAACAAAAATACAGGGAAAGAGAGCAAAGAGATAAAAAAAAAGTCTAATAAATTAAAAATAGATATTTAACCTGAGTGACGCGCTGAACAAGGCAGTCATCAGCATACGATCCCTTATGATCACACTTGAGCCTTTGGAATCGCGGATCTTTGATAACTTTCAACGCAATTTTGAAACGTCGGCCCGCTTTTTCCAACTCGGCCAAAACGCAATCGGTTATGTAGGGAATCGCTGCAGACAAAATTATATCGTTAAACTTCCAAAAAATCAAACTTTTTGCGAACAAGCAATCCATGAAGCCTTGGAAAACGTCCATCCGATTTTTCACAGCAAAATTGACAAAGTTCGTATCGACTATAACGTGGAATGGAGGTCCCAACTGAGTGTTGTACCTCATGTACATCGCCGAAGAGATTTTTGGTCTCAAAATTTATTATATGACCAAAAACTATATAAAAATCTTACGCATGAACTATCTTCAAAGCGTTTTCATCGGGCTTGGCTTCCTTGATCACACGACTTTCTTCTTTTCTGAAAAGATAAAATGAAAATCTGTGAAAATAAAAATATTTCACATTCTGTTGTCCGTTGATTTAACCAGCTTGTTGACAGCCGTTCTTCTGGCAATTTTTCCTGTCTTCTTCACTCTACCCATACCTGCAAAAATACATATAGCCTATAAAAGTGATAAAAAAGCAAACAAAAACGAAAAAAAAGAAATTTTCTTTCACTGAATGGACGATGCTCCAGATAGAATCGCGATGGGGCGCAATTTGTTATAATAACTTTTTTTTTTATGATCGGGTTCGCTTGACCTGATTCGATCGATTGCCCTTCTGAATATCGATTCTCCTTCTTTGATTCTTATTTTGAAGGTAATGGCGTGTTCATAGGACAAAACGAAAATTGCTTCGAAACGCAAGAAAATTGCTCCAAAACAAAAATTAGTACTGTTTTGGAGCAACTTTGGCGCGCCGATGAACAAGATTTTTTTTTTGAAGCATGTTCCGTTTCTCCGATGAACACGCCATAAAAGCGGATTTATGTATCGGTTTGACTGATTATGCTCGAAAATTTTTCCCAAAGAACGCGTTCCGAAATTTAAAAAAGTACTGTATTTTCAATGTACGTGACAGCTCGTCGCAACGTACGTTGCATTTTTTTTCACGAGCATCAGCTGCAAATACGTGGGACTTCTTTTTGTTGTATTTTTCTCGTTTTGATTTTTTTCTGAGTAAATAGTTGCTTTTTCATTTTTTCAGTTCAAACATATTAACGCAGAAGCCACCGGAGCTACTTTTATAATATATTTGAGATAGTTTCAAACTTGAGAAACGTTGAACAGTTAAATTCACACATTTGTAGTTTTTCTTTGGAAAAGTTTTCAGAAAAACGATTTAGAAATGTCAATAATTGCAACAACGTAAAAATTACCTATTCTCAGTCTTTTCTGGTTAGTTCAACGCGTCTCTTGTTCAAATATGGCCCCTATTAAAAAAATTCACGGCCATATTTGTAAGTTTACCAGAAGTTTAAAAGGTTTCAATATTGAGACATAATAGTAACCCATAACTTCTTAGATAAGATCTGAAAGTATAATGCTCTTTTTGAGACGTTTCAAGTTAATTTTTTTTTGATTTCTGTTCATTGTGTTACTTGGAATCCTATTGATCTAAACCACCATTCCATTGAAAATTGTTGAGGCGAATTATCTTTACTTTTCATATAATTTGTAGTACGAGCAAGTGCGCGCCATCGTGAGGCCGACGCGGCCTCGTGGGGACAAAGTCGCCCTATCATTTTGGTCGTCAACATTTCACTTTTCTTCGTTTCGTACTGCCGATCTTTCTGTAACTTAATAAAATCTCACTTCGGAAGCTTATGAGTAAATGGGTGAAGATGTATGAAGTTGTCGTGTTTTAGAGATGAAATAATTTTAGTTGCATTTTTAAAGTTTTACCTGTTTTTTTCAATCTGAAGAAAAGTCTGGATAAGACGGAGTCAAACTGCGGAGAAATGGAATTTGAATCTTATTTTAGCTTTTTAGGTTTATACAGGTACATAATGGGATTTTTTTCTTCTCACTGTTTTTTTTTTCCGTGAAACTTTTCACTTTGAATAGTTCTGGCTCGTGTGCGCATTTCAAGGTAGCTTGTCACTTTTTTTTCTTACTGTGATCCAAATATTTATACTTTCATGTTGAGAATTGAAACGCCTTTTCAAAGTATTAGTAAAAGTGTTTCTTAATTCAAGTACTATAATGCCTTATAAGTCGAAAATATTTAGTTTAAATTTGCCCAGACTGACTTGAAACGCTCCAAAACAGCAGTTTTACTTATTCGAAGCTTTTTTTTTCAAGGCATGATTATTTCGTTTAAGGTTTGTTGAAAACGTCGAAACATCATGCAAAAACATATTTTTATTGAGCCTTTTTTCATCTTTTTTGAACTTTTTTGATCTTTTGGCTTTATTTAACAAAGGAGGAAGATGTGAGAATAATTTTACTCACGTATTTCAAGTCGTCATTTTCGCGCCTTTTTTATTGATAACTTTTCGAATTTTTCCTATGTTTGGAATAATTTTAGGCGGTTGTGTGCGTGTGAATCGGCACACGGCACGGCCCTAAGCTTTCGACGTGACCGCGACGGCTTCTGCTCGTTGGCAGCAACTTGCTCCGTCTTCAGTTCGTTTCGAGCCCTAAAAAGCTTTGTTATTGAGTTGTTTGAAGGGAGAATCGGGTTCCGGCGTTGAACAAGCCTCAATTGCTTCTGTTTCTGACGAGATGAGCAGCTCCGAAGAGGTTACGCCGAAGAAAAATTGCGTCTCTAAACGATATTTTCACAGGTCTCGTGGATCACATGGTTCTGCGGACTCCGCGGCAATGAGTTTTTTTGCGAGGTACTGTTTTTTGAATCCATTTCTATGATTTGAAACGACTGATTTTGGCATTCACTGTAAATGTTTCATTTGGACGGGAGCTTTTTTTTACGCCATATCGATTTCTCCGCGTTTTTGAAATTTTCTTATGTTTTCTGCTCATAAAGTCAATTAATTGATACCAAATACATTTTGAAGAAAGTTTTTTGTCGTTTTTATCAAATATATGGAGATAATTTCCACAAAATATCCTCAATGTTGGAATATTATAGGAAACTCTTTCCAATTCATAATTTCTGGTTATCTAACTATAAAATTTTTTCTAATGAAGTGTGGGTTTCTTAAATTTATTTCATGAAATTCCAGATATTTACGAAATTTTCGGAATTTCTACTAGGATGTGCAATCTGAATCTTATAAATTTTCTCAGTTTAAAAACGGATTTTCGAGATTTGGCTTTGCTGAGATCGTTTCAAGTTTTTAATAGAAATTTACAATTATAGTTTTTAAAAAAATGAATTTTTCAGCTGAACAATGCTTTTTTATTGACAATCATGATAAGTTTCAGCAAGTTTTTTCTAAAATCATGCGCAAAATAAATATCCAAGAAGTTCGGGAGGCCTTATTCAAATGAAACAATATAATAAAAACTAACTTTGAATCAAGGGAGGTGGTTCTGCGAAAAAAAAAAAGTCAATTTTGACCTCAAGACTGATAAATTTCGGAAGAATTGTGAGACTTTCAAAAAAGTTCAGTCCATAATGTGAATCCAATACGAATTCAACGAAGATTCCAGTAAATATAATGAGTATACAATTTCCGAACTTACAAGAAAGTTGGGAGAAGGGAAAATTTCAGTACCTTTTCTGTGCTGTATCTTCCATAGTTCAGTTCTTGAGTGGGAAAAAAAGAAGCATTTTGATTTGAATGTTTGCAGGTCGATGAAGAGTACATCCAGGATCGGTTCAATTTGACCGGCCTCAGTGAACAAGTGCCCAAGTACCGGCAGGCGCTCGACATGATCCTAGACCTTGAGCCAGGTTATAGTTCAAGTTTGAGCTCCGGCGTCATCTCAACGTCGTGTTGCCTCTTTCAGAAGACGACCTGGAGGACAACTCGACGAACACGGACCTCGTAGAACAGGCCGCCGAAATGCTCTACGGCCTCATCCACGCCAGATACATCCTCACCAACCGTGGCATTTCTCAGGTACTGATGGCAGGGAAACGGGAAAAGGCAAAAATAATGAGTCTCCTTGATTTTTATGGTATTTGAGATCATTTTCCCGAAAATCGAGTCTATGTTCAATCTCTGAAAGCTAGAGAGCACTTATAAATAAGACGCTCAGAGAAAAAAAAAAGGCCCGCACTCTTACCTTTGAACGCTATTTTACTTTCGAAGATTCGAAAAGATTCTACGCAGAAGTGAACCTCTATACGTTTTTCGTAAGAGATATTTATTATTTCTTGACTATTTCGCTTCCGTACTAATTTTATATTTTACGAGGAAATCTATTGAAAATCGTTCTGAAAGAAGCAAAAACTGTTTGGAAAGTTTTTGAAAAAAAAAAAAAATTTTCCTTTTCTCGGTGGCTCGATTTTCGCTCGAGTTCAGCTCTTCAACGGCTTTGCACCGTCTATCTTTTAGATGGCTTTTTTTTTAGAGCTTTTTCTATATTTGAATGGTCTTACTATCGAAAAAAAAAAGCCTAAAAATAAAGAACTTCAATGACGGATCCAGTGAAAGACCACAAAACAAATTTCGGAGTCATTGTCACACTTTTCAAGTTTGTCTACTCACGTCTGATAATTTTGTGTTTCGATTATTGAAATTAACTTTCCAGATGATCGAGAAATGGCGCGACCACGATTTCGGCGTTTGCCCACGTGTTTATTGCGAGAATCAGCCGATGCTCCCAATCGGTAAAAATAAACCAAATATCGATTGATTTTATCGATTTTTCAGGCCTTTCTGACGTGCCAGGCGAGGCGATGGTGAAGTTGTACTGTCCTAGATGCTGTGATGCGTGAGTTTAGCTCTGAATAAATGCTCAAAGTAAAATAGTAAATTTTAGTAAAATTAGTAAAAAGCGATCAAGTTTATCGGTAGAGCGAGTTTTCTTGATTTTCGGGCGAATTTTGAAGGTTCTCCTGTGAAATAAACTTCAAATTTGCAGTTTTGTTCCTCGTTCTTCGCGTCACCAGCACACGGACGGCAGTTATTTCGGAACTGGATTTCCGCATATGTTGTTCTTTGTTCATCCGGATTTGCGTCCCAGAAAACCTGTTACTCAATTTGTTCCAAAGTAATTCGGATTTATTAGAAAATCAGTGAAAGTAATCTATTTTTCAGACTTTACGGTTTCAAAATTCACCCGACTGCCTACAATCTTCAGGATCAGCAGTCGGTACGTTGAGAAATCGAGTAGAAACGTGTTGCGGAAACAGTTTAAAAGATACTCTTCTGTACTGAGCTATCAGCTTAGTTGATTTGAAGCATTTTCTTTGGTCTTCGTCATTGTAAAAGGCCAGTTTCAGCCGCCGTCGATGAACAACGGTGGCAGCACGGCAGTCGAACGACAAGGCAGCCAATTGAACAACTCCTACGGCCTTTAAAGTGATATCAATTCTCTCTTATAAGCTCGAAAATCAACAGTAATTATTAAAATTTCATCTCTCTTTTTTCATTTTCTTCTCTTTGTATCAAAACATACTTTTTCAGCCTTCCCCTCACACAAAAAATACGATAAGGTGTCGAGTTTCTCTTGCAATTCCATCATATTCCTTTGTTGTTTCATGATTTATTCTTTTTAGTGTTTTTTATGTGGCTTCCCGTAAGAGTATGCTCATTTTATTTGATTTTTTCTATATAAATATCAAGTTTTTTTTTTGTATAGACCCGAATCTTGTTCCGTTACCGTCGATTTATTGATGAGATGAGTAAAAATGTTGTCTTCTGAAATTGGTTCTGAGTCGCGTAAAAGAAAATGCCGTGAATTTCTTAAACTGTGATTTTTAAACGTCCTGAGGGATGTAAAGGTTCTTTGATTTTTAAAAAAGTTATTTTTCAAGGTTTTATTTCAGGTAAATTGAGAATTAGGAGATTTTCGCACAATTTTTAGAAAAGTGGCCTCTTATTGGGAATCTAATCATTTTTTCCGCTGAGCAAAAATACAATAGCTCTCCTTGAACGAATTACAAATTTCGTCCTTTGATTGGATTTCTAAGTCTTCTTATATTTCTTTCTTTCACATACGGCAAATTTTCACACCGGAAACCTTCTATAAGTCAAATTGACAACGAAAAGAGTAAAACCCCCTAAGTTTTCCAAGGAAACCGCGCCCCATTGCGAAAGAGTCATGTGTTTTTGTGAATTTACGCGAGGCATGTGCTACCAATCGCTTTTTTCCTTGTTTTCAGACTTGGTACCTCGTTTTTTTTTCAGTTTTCTTTGTGATCTTTGCATATTTTTGAATTTATGGAAGAACGTGTTGATGTTATCAATGTTCTCAAAAAAAGCTTTAACTTGCCGTTTTGAATTAAAGATGTGTTAAAATATTATGTAAGTTTCCTTTTTTCGTTTATAATCAAGATTTTTCAATGGAATCATGATATAGTAACTAAATTAATTTTGGCTTTTTAATATGCTTTTTTTAAATTTTTTTTTTCACTGATTTTTTTGGAATTTTGAAGAACTTCTGTTTTGTGTTTTTTTTTTAAATATATTTTGTTCAACGCAGATAAAGTATGAAGATTATGGTTCAAAAATGAGTCCTATTGTATGTTTTTACAGTGATTTGTGGAAATGTGAGTTTTTTATTCACGTTTTTTTACACTATATTTTTCACTATATCTGCCCTGAAAAAGTTAAATTTAATCTTAGCATTAAATTATTTTTGGCTTTTTTCCGTCGAATATTTTCAAAAATAGTTTTTTTTTTCATTTGAAGTCGTAACTTATTCATTTCAGAAAAAAAAAATGAGCCTTAAGGCATCGCGTGGGAATGCGCATGTTTCTACGACGGGCAAGGAAAATCCTCTAGAGTTTCAGGTGAATTTTGAGTTTTCATCACACTATTTGTACAAATATTGTGATTCAAGTGGTCCTTTTTGAGTTTCGGACTGTATAGAGGAAAAAAGTTGTTCACTTCAGTTAATTTTTTTTTTGAGCTCGCTTAATAAAAAGTTTTTTTTTTCAGGAGTTGTGAATTCAAAATCAGTCCGTTATGTGATTTTTCATCTAAATTGTCTTTCCAGGTCGTTCCTGACGTCGGATTGAAGAATGAAAACATTCAGTTTTTGCTCGGGATGCCTTTAAATCAGGTAAATTTCGAATAGCTTTTTGATATTTGAGAATTGTTTACAGTTTTTGAAGCATAATAATTTTTTGTAAATATTTCTGAAACCCTATTTAAAAGACTTTTATGAAAAGGTGTGAATAAGAAAAAAAATTTGACTTCCAAAGAGTAGAATTGAGTCATTGATTTTTTTTTTTGAATAGATAGCGTTTACAGCTAGGTTTTTAAATCATGACAACCTTGATAAACGAACCTAATTCAGATGCCGTGTTCAAAGTAATTTCCGCGAAATGCAAAATGGTCTCTGACCCTCCAAAATTTAGTTATCTTTCTCTTTCTCTGACGGCTATTTTGAATTTCGCGGAATTACTTTGAACACGGCAAGAGTTTCGATATTAAATCTTTTCCAAAAGTATACGAAGTTTGATATTACATGTTTTCTGAAAGTCTGAAGAATCTAGGCAAAGAGTTTACTTTTCAAATGGATGAGATACTTGATGAAGAAGCTAATTTTAGGTCTCCGATGTTAAATTTTTTCAAAGATGTTTAAAAAATATTTGTTCACTTGGATGTTACATGATAAGATTCCCGAGGAAAGAGCTGATTCCAGGTTGTGACTCTGATCCAGCAGAACGCACGGCTCCTGCAGAAGATCCAGCTCACTTATTCCAAAAAAGAGCCCTTCCGACGTGACGTCTGTATCTACCTGAGTGCCGACGGCATCAAACTGTTCTTTGAGGCCTCCAATCAGCTTTTGCGGGTCCGTTTGATTAAAAAAGGACGAAATGCAGCTTTCCAGCTAAAAAAAAACTAGTATTTATTTATTCACGCAAAAAGTTGGGGAAAGATGTTTAAAGATCCATTGTGGGTTTCTGAAGGCTAGGGGGTAGTGACTTGAAAATGTTCCCGAAAAGACGCCGGAAGATCTTTCGAGCAACTATTTTGCTTCTTTTTCGGGCTTTACTTGAGCTTTTGCTCTTCTTCTTTAGTTTTTCGTAGCCAAGACTTTAAAAAGTGTAATTACCTGTAACTTTCTTTACGATTTCTCAAAGTTGCTGGCAACTGTGAGTTGGAAAGAATTTTTTAATTGAAAAGAAGTTTTGATCAATTGTTTCGCGCTTTTTTTTCATTTGGCTTGTGTCTTTTCTTGAGCTTTCTCGTATAATTGACTTCCAAGAGTCTGAAAGTCGTCATTTTTTATATCGATTTCTCAAGAAAGCTAAGTATTAAGAGGTACAAAAATGCGGAAAGAGCTTTTTTTGTTAACATTTTTTTAAATGTCCTCACTTACCCGTGTTGTTTTTTTGATATGAGTTGTTTCCAAAAGTCAAAAATCTGAAGTTGTGATTAGCACAACAGTTTAGGAAATTTTACTAATTCAATAATAATATTTGGTGTATTGTTCAGTCAGAAAAGGTACGAGAAAACGCGTTCTTTAATCACAACTTCCTTGTATGGAGTTCGATCTTTCTGCAGTCTTTTGGAGTTGAGGACGGTTATTCGTAACACTGGTGAAACTTCAGTTTGCAGAAAAAAAAAACGCAGTTTGAAAGTTTCAGAAAGATTAAGCTCCATATAAGAAAGTTGTGAGTTCTTTTTTTGACGGTACGGTATTTATAGTTCTAATCGTTTTCCTAAAGCATCATTTTCGACTTTATTTTGTTTTTTTTTTCATCGTAAACTCAATTTTCAGCTCATCGAAGTGGACAATCTGAGTCGGATCGTCCTGAAATATGGGTAAGTTTTTAACGGTTTCTAGCTCTTCTGTCTAAATAATAACGATAAATTTGTTACATGTTTCATTTATATAAACCATCCATAACATCTCGAACTCCGGATGATTGAATGTCCATGATTTGCAGGAAAACCGTATTCTCTGAGCCTGGGGCGGAAGCTTCGATGGAGAAAGTCAACGAATATTTCGGCTCAACTCATCCTGGAGGTCTCTTTGAAAAAGTTGTCTTTTAAATAAACCTGTCTTTTTTATTTTGGAGTTGAGTAAATGGAATTGTTCATTCCAGCCTACGATGAACGTCAGAAAATGTACGTGCAGAGCTGGCCGGGGCTCTCATTTTGTTTTCCGACCGATTCCAGTGGAAATATTGAAGTCGCGGTGGGCTCTCAACTCTTTTTTCTTTTTTTCTTGCCTGGAAACGTTGAAAATGATTATTTTCAGCCCGGTTTTGGCCCAAACCTGCGCTCTTTGAAGTATGACGTCACCTCGCAGCCAAGACTCACCAAAATGTCTATTTACAAGGGCACAACCTTGAGCCGGCCCGAGTACGGATGCGGAACTTTTTTTAAAACTGGAAAAATTTTAAACGAAATTTGGGAAATTAAATCAGAGAAGTGTTTTTAAATTTGAACTTTTCTACAAATCAAATAAGAAGAATTTCAAAAGCTACGATTTGTTCTTTCCGCCTTTTTCAAGAGTACTATTTTGTTATTCTTTGTGATATGTTCTCTTAAGTACTCCATTGTTTGATTTCCACATGAACTGTTCGACATCTAGGCCCGTCGACGTTCCACTCGACTGCTACGGCGGTCAGAATCGAACCCAACTCGTCGAATGTCTCTGGAAGGACGACAAGATCGTCGGCCTCAACATTACGTTTGAAACGCAAAGTAAATGCCATTTTTTGTAGTATTTTATATCGTTTTTGGTAGATCTGAGATGGTTTTCTTGAATATACAAAAAATAGGGTCAGAAAAGGTGAAAAATTAATGTTTTGAATTTTATCTGTGGAGCACATTCATGACACCTTTTTGAGCGATTTTAAAGCTTTTTTTGAAAACGATTATCGAGAATTGCCCTTTTTCAAGCCGGCGCCAAAATCGATGGAAAGTTTGAAATCACGTCGATGACCCGTTCGCTTCGCTTTGGCGATACCGTGGCGGTGAGTTTTTGGACTTTATTCCGCTATTTTCATCATTTTAGGCTGTCCAAGCGATTCTCGGAGCTCCGTCGAAGGTTTTCTACAAATCGGAAGATAAAATGAGGTAGCGTCTTGAATTTCCTACTGAAAACGTCGGATATTGTTTTTTCAAAGAGGTGAACAGTGGCTAGAAGATCGGCTGCTCTTTTTCAAAACATCACACTTTTTTTGATAAAAATTTTTCGAGAATTTCAATGAAAATATTTTTTTGCAAAAAAACGCTATTGAATTTGAAAAAAATTGATAACTTTCTAAAGTGGAGAAACTTTGAGAAATATTTTTCCGGAAAAGGAAAATTCTGAGCGGAAAAGTTTGAAATAAAAAAATGAGACTTTTTAAAAAAATTTTTATTAGGAGCTTCAAAAAGATAAGTCTGAATTTCAACTGTCCTTCCATTTTCGAGTTTGAAAGCTCTTTTTAAAGGGAAGATATTATGATTACAAAAAAAAGAAGCTTTTTTTCTCAAAAAGGAAGGTCATTTTGCTTAAGATTGCTAATTTCCTGAAAATTGGGCAGAACATTTCTGGATTACCAGAAAAAAGTCCGGAAAGTCTAAGCCTGCACAACTTTCTAGTATTTGGAAAATAAAGCCTAAAGTCCAAAAATGGCATATTTTTGAGATTAATTTTATTTTTTGAGTTTGAGGTGTCTTTTCTCGAAAACTAGAAAGACGGCCAGGTTGAGACACACAGAATGTTTTTCTGGTACATCAACAAGTTTTTCGCTCAAGTTTCAGGAAAATCGTGACCGCAACGAAAAATGACTTTTCTTGTCAGAAAGTCCAGCGATTCTTTTCGTAGTTTTTTTTTCCACATTTCCTCTTTCCGAGTTTTTTTTAAAACTTACTATTTGGAGAATGAATATCTCATTTCTGTTACAGTATCCATCGAGGCGCGAAAAAAGAGACCCTCCGACGGATGCCGCACTTTTTCTTCAACTACTTCTCGATGGGATTGGTGCGTCTTTCTTTCCTACTTATTATTATTTTTTTCCTTCTAATCCTTGTAGGTTTTGTAAATTCGCGATCGTCTTGGCTTGGCTCTCTCTCTCTCTGTATTTTATTACGATAATTAATTAGCGCAAAGGCGAATCGAGCAGATGTTTAGAGTGTCTCTGGGGAGTTGGAATTATTGCGCATTCGCTATCGTTTTTTCGACATTCTGGAATTTTTGAGAAGAAAAATGGCTCTGAGAGGAATGCTGGGTTACTGTAGCGACTGACTCTTCGATTCGAAAACATTTTTGATTAGAAAATAATGATTTCGGAAACATCTTTCTCTGAAGAACTTGAATCATTTCACTTTCGGTTTTTGGATGAAGCTCAAGAGTTTTAATTTACTACGAGTCCTTAGATCCAATGCTTTTTTCAAATTAGAGAAGGTTTTCGCTAACTAGGGAACTACTCGGACTCGGGGTACGCGTTTCGAGTTGAAACTTTGGTGGCTTAGAGACTCGGGTAAGAGTACTTGGAAACAAGAGAGATTATCTGCTAAACCCCATAGGCTTCTGAGAAAAAGCTTTTTGAAAATGAACAGTTTAGGCTTGGAAATTATCAAATTTTTGCTTTCCTCCTTCTTTTGGCAGGATAAAAAGTTTTTTTAGAGTTTATCATAACCGGATCATTCAAGACGATTGTATTAAAATATAAACTTGTTTTTCAAGTGTTCTCACTTAGGTCTATAAACCACTAAAGTTTGAACCCGAGTCCGAGTAGTTCCCTAGTAAGAAAATTTAATTTCTCTACTCTAGAGCATAAATTGCTGAACTTTCGCTTGAGTTTTTTGGCTGAACTAATTTGCGGGATCGTACTGAATCCCTTCCTTGAAGTTTCATTCAAAACGAAATGAAATGCTACTTTTTAGAAGTCCAGAAAGTACAATCTTTCACTTTATTCGAACCTCTTCATTCGATCTCCCTTTGTCGGTCATCGTCGAAATGAAGATTTGGCCTCTCCTCCTCATAATCGGCAATTTTGCTGGAGCAACAGATGCGCCTCCTTTAACGGCATCCGCCGCCCGTTTTACAGCCCCCTCGACGTCTGTCGGAATTTCGTCTTTGGATTTCTTCTACTGAAGCTTTTCCTGGAATTTTGATCGATTTCGCAGCAGGTGCATTGGTGGAAATGGGCCGGAGAGGAATTTGGGGCTCGGAATGCTTGAATATGAAGTTTTTCTCGGTTTTGAAGGCCTTTCGAAGTCTCTAGGAATGTTTCTTCGAAATCTTTGACCTTATTGAGATTTTTCAAGCACTCATCAAAGAATCGTTGGCAGAAATGAGCCGAAGATCTTTTCGACTGTTTTTTTCTCGCAAAATTCAGATCTCGGAGTGCTTGAATTTGTCAATTTTGTTTGGTTTTTGAGGTCTGATACTCTTTGTAAGATTTTGTGAAACATTGAAATGGAACACATTATTATGAGAAAGGGAAGACGTGAATTAAGTTAACGCGCGGCCGTTCCGGGTTAAAATGTTATTTTCCAAAATATCCACAACTGGAGAACCCATCAGAAGCAAGTCTGTTTTCCTGGAAAAAGCTCTGAATGTCTGAAAAGCGTCTGAAGGTCTCATGTTCTGATATTCTTCGAAATGCCCAGAACTAGAGAACCCACAATGAGCAGATCCAATCATAAGAGGGAGACCTGTAATTTCGCTCGCATTACCGGCCGGATAAGCCGCCTCGGCGGCAGGTTATTAAGGTCGCGCATTTGTTCTGTGACAAGCTTATTTCATTCATCAATTCTGATAAAGGTTATCATTCTTTGTATGAGAAGTAGCTGATCCGGTTTCGGGCTCTATAAAATCTGCTGGACGTTTTCGAAAAAGTGTAGGAAATTCTGCAGCAGACTTTTCTTCGGATCATTTCCAAACTTCGAAAAAAATTTCCAATAAAAATTTCTTTTTACTTGTTAAATCATAGTTTCTGATGAACTTTGTTGAAAAAAAAACCTGATACTTGTCTTGAAGAAAGTTTGAACCTTTTTGGCAGCCGTTTAAAAACTGTCCGGAGGGCGGTAGGCTGGCTCTTGCAGAAGCCTCTTGCTCAGTCATTTATTCCGTATTTCGAGAAATGAAAGCATTCACGGTTTTCTGTAGATGGGTTCTCGTTTTCTCGGAAACATGCGGACTTAGCTTTGGGGCGTGCTTAAAGCAAGTACCGGCAGCTGTTTCTTCTCATTTAATTGCTTACGTAATTATTACACAATTCTAACTTTAGTTTGACCGATTCTCGTTTTCCTGAACGCTTCGAACGCTTTGCTCTGATTTTTTCATGAGCCCTCCCTTTGATTTTTTCAGTTGGCTTGGTTACGGGGAACGTTTTCTTGTGTCGGGTGGAATTTGATACGTTTTTGGTTTCTCAATGATGAGTAAAAGAGAAATGGTTCATTTTTCTTCTGCCGCTTTTTGGCGTTTCGGTGTTGTTTTTTCTGCATTGGCATCCGCATCGGAGATTGGAAAATTAACGAGAAAACCGTCTGCCACGTGAAAAATGAGCCTTTTTTGGTGGCTGGTTCTGCAGGATTCTTATGGAGTTTTTTGGAACTGAAACTAATGCTTTTCGAAAATGTGGAAACTGGAATAAAGGGGATTTTCTGTAGTTTAGATTCGAGTTTTTTGAAAGTAGTTTTAGTTCTAGGCAATTTTTGTCAAGTAAGTAGAAAATAAATCAGTTCTTTTGAGCTGTTGTTTCGGCTCGAAAACAAGAGAACTTGAGTCGATGGCAAGTTCTTTTCGACGTTTCATCGTAAAATCAACACGCGAGAAATGATAAACAAGTGTTAGTGGAGATCTTTTAAGACCAAGAGCATTAAAAGGTTCACTAGATCCAAGCTCAATGAGATGTCTTCAAATTTTTGTGATGAAGTTTCCGTTTTATCATAACTTCCTAATAAACAAAACAACCTGGGTTTCTACCTTCTATTGCACTTGCGTGTTTGAAAAGTATGAAACAATATTTTAGGCTCTTTTTTTCAACTTCTCTAGCATAAGAGGATTTTTTGTGAGGTCTAAATGTGCTAAAACCATCATAACTTTGAAAAAATTCTAGAAAAAAGGCGGGAGAAAGGTCATCAAAATGGAAAAAAACCGAATTACGGTTTCCCATGATTTGACTAGACTAATTTTTATTTAATCGTATAAAAAGACAAGATAGAGTATTTCGAGATTTGTACCTTTTTATAGAGAAAATCTCTTTTTTCTTTTCACATTAATTTTGAAAAAGCTTTTGACATCTATGATTACTGTTTCTTTCTCTGCGTTCACAAAGAGTTTTGTGCACAGCCAGCCACTAAATTGGTAGAGCCTGTTGAATTTCGGGCCTGGCGTGGTTTGATTGGTGTGGTTTCTGTGCGGAGGTTGTCCTCTAGCCGAGAAAACGGGGAAAAGCATTCAATAATGCATATGTTTTGGAGGTCGCCGAGACTTATTACACGACAGATTTGTCTCCTTTCTTTTCCTTTTCTCGCCACCTCCATAATCAATTTGATTTTTTTTCCATTCGAAAATGGAGAAAAAATATTATACATTTCAAATGCATTTTCCCATTCAAAATATTAATGGAAAAAGACGCGAAATCCATTTATTTACAAGTAAAATAACCGTATTCGTATTGAATGTCAAATGGAAGTTGATGGAAAGAAAGAGAGATGGAGAATAATATTTGAAAAATGATTCTTTGAGCATCGGGCTTGGTCTTGGTTTTTTGGGGCGAGAATTTGGAGTTTTGAATGAGAAAAATGAGCTTTCCTGTAGGGTTTATAAGGAATGTGGTGGAACTTCTGGAATTATATTCTAATTTCAAACATTTGGCCGCATTTTCGCGTCTGTCTAGTGCAATAATCCGAAAGAAAACAACGAATTTTATGCTTGTTTCAAAAAGTTTTCCCATTCTTTTCATCTCTAATCAAAGATTTTCCTCATGGGATTTATCAGAAAAGCACACTTTTCAAGATCTCACTGTAAAGTAAAGAAAAAGGACTTTTCGACTAGTTTATAAGCAACCAAAGAAAACAGAGAAAAAAGAAAAAAAAATTGAAAATTTGGGAACCGGTCAATGGGAACAGACATGATGAAATGGAATAGATTTGATGAAAATCCGAAAAATGGGATCAAAAAGGCTATAAGAGCTTTCGATTTGTTTCTTCGAAATAAATCACACTGGCACTAAACATAGTATTTTTTGAACTGTTGGTAGAGTTCAGCCCTTTTAGCCCATTTTCGGTCATCTCGTCACCAGAGAAACAAAACAAGATCAAATACCAAAATATGCGGCGGCGTTGGGTTTTGGTGGCGCCGGCGGAATAAGCGGCGGACTGGCGCTGAGCGAGTCGGAAATCGGGTGCAAATGGTCGCCGAGCATGTCCATCGGCGGCAGATCATGATGGCCACTGGTGCTCGACGAGCAACTGTGGGTCTGAGCCATGGTCAGAGGAGTCCGAGAGTGTTCCCGCGTCACGTAGCTGCCCTTGTACTGCCGCTCCCGCAAGCAGTACAGACACAGGAGCACGACCGCCAGGATCATGGCGGCGAGCAGGAGAGCCGCCAGGAGCAGCAGCAGCTCGCTGCTCTGCGAGATCCCGTACCGAGCCCCGAAGAGGACCGCGCAGTCGTTCACCTGAAAAGGGTCAGATTGAAAGCTTTTCTTGAGATGTTCGTTCAGGTTGGTGAGAATAATTGACCCAGAGGAAGAAAAGTTAGTTTATTCTGGATTTTTTCAAGCTTCTGAAGCGGCAATTTGAGGAAAAGCCCATAGAAACCAGTTTCAACTTTATTGAGATCATTTGGAAAAAAGAAGAGGTATATCGAATAAAAATGTTATATGAATTTAAAGGATCGATCGATACAGAAGAAATTTACAGTCGAGAAGGTAGCAATGGGGTAAAAGAGACTATTGTTAGAACTTGTTAATCCATTTTTAACTTGAAAATAACGCTTAAGGAAACTTGAGAATTTATATCAGTTTTTTTTGGCTTAATTTGAGTTCGCCATCTAGTCTAAAACCAATTCAAACGGTTTTTAAACAGAGAAAGAAGTAAAGGAAATTTCACCTCCGTGATAGATAAAATAGATTGGCCTTCGACAAGCCTCGGCTCCGCGCACCTGGCCTCGTTGAACTGCAAAATGTGCCGCATCGCGTATCTTTCTCGCATGTGAGCCTGTAATTTCCAAGTTTTTTCACAACTTTTTTTCCGAAGTATAAGCGGTGAAAAGAAAGTTTGAAGTGAGTAAATGGGGCAAGAATCAGAAAATGAAAAAGTTTGTGAGTTTCTACTTTTAAAAAAACCCAACTTTTTACTAGATGATTTCGAGTTTTTGAGACTCCTAGTTCATTTAGAATAGCCGAATCTAATAAATAAAAAAATAATAACAATAATATCTTTATATATATATAGAATTCTAATTAGTTTTGCAATAGTAAAATCTAATAAATTAATTGAAGTAGAACTTAAAAATAAACTCAACTTTTAGCTGACAGATTCACAGTTCTTAGAGTTTCTAACCAACTAAAAGTCAACATATTTCGAATGACATGTTCGAAAAATTTAAATTCACCTGTACGGTTTGAATTGAGCAACTACAATCCCAAGGATTTCCTTGTAGAAAAACTCTTTCGATGTGATTGATGTAGGAGATGGCGACATGGGAGAAGGTCGAGAAACGATTGTGCGAAATGTCGAGCTCCTGAAGGAATATTGCTTTTAAGATATCAGTTTCAAGGCAAAGAATCGCATATTTTTCGTGTATGGACTTGGTTTTTTTTTTTCCTTTGGAGAATAGACATTTCGAAGGCAGTGCTGGATTGAGATTCTAAGACTCTAACTTAATTTGCAAAAACAGCGATTTTTCGTTGATGATTGGATTTTGCAGTAATTTCGCTCTCCATATTTAGGAAATTTCTTCAGCAAGAAAGTGTAAATAAACGAAATCAATTAGGAAGAACGTAAAAATTAATGTTTCAAATCAAGCTATGGTGGAAAAATTTCGACCTAGAAGAAAAAATCTCAAAATTTCCAGTTTTTCGTGTTTGAAATGAACTGGAATAGGCCAAAACTTCAAATTGAAGCTGTAAAATAAGAGAGTAAACGGTTAATGGACTATAAAACACAAACAAATTTTCGAAATTCTCATTAATATTGTATAGAAATGAATTGACTAAATTTAAGGTACCTTCAAATTGGGCAAGCTTTCTTGAAGATTGTCGGGAAGACGGTGGAAAGTGTTGCCAGAAATGTTCAAAGAAAGTAATTGATGATACGGAGGGGGAAAAACGACTGGAAGATTGCCAATATCATTGTAAGCCATGTGAAGATGAATCAGCGATGGTAGAGTCGCTGTGAACTCCTCATTGAAGCCTGAAACCCAACTATTTCCCGAGTTTTGAGAAAAACCAACCTTTCAAAAAGTTGCCGGACAAGGCAAGACTCAGAAGGCTCTCCTGAGCCCAGCCAAGCCATCTCGACTCGAAAGAGTTCATGTGGTTGAAGCCGAGGTTGAGGTCGCGAAGCGGGATGTTTCTGAAGGCGTCCGGATGGAATGGCTCCTTGGCCAAGCCCAATAGGTTGTGGGACAAGTCCAACTTGGTCAGGTTGTTGCTGCAGAAGGCGCAGCCCGTGACTTCTTGAATCGAGTTGTTGCTGAGGTCGAGCACGGTCAAATGGTGCAACTTCTGCAGCTCCTTGCCTGGCACCGTCCTCAGGTCGTTCCCAGCGATGCCGAGGTGTCGCAGTTGAGGTACCCGCTCCAATGACAGACTCGAGATCGAGTTAAGCTGACACTGGTTGAGGTAGAGCTCGTCGAGCTGGGGAACGTCGTTGAACAGATCGTTGATCTGTTTCAATGGAATTGGGTTCCCGTCAAGATGTAGGACTCTCAAAGTGGCCAAGCCTCGGAGAAGGTTTGTCGAAAGTTCGGTGATCGAGTTGTTGGCCAGGGAGAGCGAGCGGAGCGCCCTCAGGTAGGTGAACACTCCCGTCGGCAGGATGTTCAGTTTGTTATGAGAGAGGTCGAGGTGCCGTAAAGCTGGCATCCCGCCAAAGTTGCCCATCGTCGCATGGTCGATGTCGTTGTGTCTGAGGTCTAGGACTTCCAGGGAAGGAAGTCTCATGCTGCGACTCATGGCCGGCAGACCGCAGCCCACAAGACGCAGAACTCGAAGTTGGGAGAAGCGGTTGATGTTGTCGTTCCAGCGGAACTTGTTGGCTGGACGCCAGGATGGCACCTGGAAGAGAAGTTTTAGTGATGAGAATCATTGCGAAGCCAGTTTTGACATGCTAGGAAGGACCAAGGCGCTTTTTTTCAACTCACCCATAGAATGCTTTGAAATTGTTGCTAAAACCTTTTTATGAAAAACTGGAAAAAATTTCATTCTAAAAATCTTGGTCAAATGGTTTCAAGAAATTAAATGAAAAAGAAGTATAAACAATTTAAAGAAGACATCTATTGAATATCGTTATACTAAAAAGTCGACAAAAATCTTACCCTTTTTTTTCAATTTTACCTGCCCAAAAAATCCTACCTGAATATCTAGAGATCTCAACGTCAAGGGTAATCGGTTCAAAATCTCCGCATAGGCACTGTCGTTGATGGCGCCCTTGTGGCAGTAGACGGCCCAGGAGACGTTGTTCGGCGGCATGACGTCACATTCGCAGAATACCGGGCAGATGACGTGCCCAGAAGCCGTCGTCCGCCAAACGAGAAGGACAAGGACGAGGGTCACCCTCATCGTCCGAAAATTCTCCAAAAACAATAGAGCCGAGGCTGAGAATTCGTAGTAGAAGAGTGGCCAGGAGATTTTCCTCCAGAGGAGGATGTGGGAGTGGGCGGAGCCTATCCGAAGTAGGCGTGGCCTTATTTTCACCGCAAACACAAACACAAGCACACATCTGTCACGGAGATCTCGTGGTTTTTTATCCATCGGCACCTGAGATAAGTGCCTTTTTGAGAACGAAAAGGTGCCGACAAACCTCGTCTCTTTGGTGGTTATGGTCAGTTGCCTGAGAATGGCTGATTTGTGATGTGTCGGCGCCAAAAATGGCTTTTTTCGCGTTTATTGAATAGCAGAGTTTGCTAACCCGATAGATTATGGATTTATTTTCTAGATTTTGGCTGTTTTGAGTGGAGAAAAGTTTCTTTAGGGATACATTTCAGCATGAATGTTTTTCAAGTTTTGTAGGTTGATCTGAAACAAGCTTTTTTTTATCCTTCAGAGTCATTTTGGACAGTTTTGCTTCTCGAAAGTGGCTCCAATTTGCAAATAAAGAGAATTGTGACGAAAAGTAAGCCATAACTTTTTTAACTGCTGCAAATTGCTCTAAGACAATTTATAGTGGCAAAAGACGCTCTAGTGCGAATTTATTGTTTTTTTTTTCCTTGTCATATTTGAGTTAGTTTTGACGATTGAATTTCAGAAAAGAGATGGGATTCTGACAAAAAATGAGCCAGAAGCTCTTTAGTATCCTGAATTTTGCCCGACGGCGTTTTTCGCCAAGAAAATATGCTCTAGTACGAATTTGATCTTTTTTTCTGGTTTTTTGAAGTATTATTGACGATTAAAAAGTTGCTCTAGCTCTCATGAAAAAAGATGGATTCTGACAAAAGTGAGCCGGAGCTTCTGAGCCTCTTGACCTGGCTCTGGGTCAGGCTCCTTCTCCGCCGTCTTCAGGCAGGACCATATGTCGGCGCAATTAACACCGCTGACTATCATAACACCAAGAAACGTCATCTGCCCCGGTTTTATTGCTTCTTCTTCTTCTTTCTCGAGGTGGTGGTGGCTCATTTCAATCCGATTATCCACCCTGAATTCTTGATAAGAGGAACGCATTTGAAATGCGAACGTTTCCCGTCGAGAGCCCAATTTGGTCCAGATAATTCGTTTGCCAGAGTGAACTTTCCCTCGAGCAAATTACTTGCTTGTTGAAAGGTAATGGGAGGCTTGGAAAAATGGGAAAAGTTTGGCATTGGAGCAGAATTGATAACTGAAAATGACTGTAGGAATGCAGAAAAACTCTGAAATATGAGCACAATTTGAGTTCAAGAACTTTCAGAACGTCCGATATTTGATTGAAGAACTTTAAAGAAAGTTTAAAGTGAGATCTCAAAATATGGTTTTTTTATTCGACGAGCTCCTTCTCAAGTTTAACTGGAGAAAAAAACATGAGTTTATTGGTTTTCTTCAGCTTCATCTCATGAGCTTCTTCTCGAGATCTCCTCCAAAACTCCTAATTACAAAAGGCTACCATATGCTGGCAATTGGAACGATTCGTTTCCCCTAAAAAAAGAACAACAGCAACAGCAAATATGGTTTTGGGCCAAGCAATACCGAGGGAACAAAAACAATGGGCCGGAGAGGCCACCTGTTGTGGTTCCGGCCGCCTCGGCAAAACGGTCTGCGGCCCTTTTTTTTTCTCCAGGCGCAGATCTCGGAAAGTTTTCAGAATTTATTCCTTCAGCCTTGACCGAAATGGTTAACGACTGGAAATTTGAGGCGTCTTTTGGGCGGAAGTTTATGAAGAATTCAAGACTGTTAATGGATTGGAGAATTTTGGAAAAGATATGGAACTTCTTTAAATACGAAAAGATAGCTTAATTTTTTGTGAAAGGTACATTATTTGGACTACTTGAAGTGGAAAATCGAAAATTTATTCCGAATAGTTTTATGTTCAATAAGTGGCTCGGGAGAGTGTAAATTCTACTATATTCTATGAACAGAGCGAGGATTTGAATCCAAAAGTGGCCATTTCTTTGATTTTGAATGGAAATTTATGTCGTCTAGCTTTAAAAAGAGCTCATATCCGGATAAACATATTCGACTGATATACTCGAAAATCATTATTTGCTTAGGAGTAGAAATTCCCATTTTCAAGCGTCGTCAGAATCTTATTACTCAGTGGAAGCTCAAACTGAACGTTTTCAGAATGTAAAAAAAAAAAACGAGAATTTTAAAAAAAAAGTTGATCTGCTTGAGGAGTGATTGCTGTGCCGCTTATTTTGCTGATTTCACGCGAAACTTTGGACAGTATAGAGAAGAAATTGACGCTCTAAGGACAGTCTTTTCAAAAACCAAAACGAACAACTCCTTTCGCTCCGAACTGACCCTGTTAAGGATAAGGAAAATTCGCTCTGAAGCTAATGTTCCTCGATTCTCACAACCGCTGGGCCTAGGCCAAGGACGCTTGAAAAACAAAAACATCAACGTTGGAAACTCATCGAAATCCCTCGAGAAGCTAGAGGAATGATAAAACAACTCGGCACGTCTTTAAAAACGTTCTTCTCCTCCTTCTTCCACAACTCTAGGTTACACAACATGAAAGATCATCCCGGGAGACTTGCCCGGGCGCGTATTATTCATGGTCCTACTAATGGGCCGGCGATCCCTTCGGAGCACAAAAGGAGGCTCTCGTAGCAACTCTGGCGCCCGCGGAAACAATTCATCAAGATGTTGCGTGTGATATTGGTCTTGTCCGAAACTGCGCGAGATCGCCATCGGCCATTTCCGTTGGTCTGGGTATAATCCGCTGGATCCGATGGACCTCGGAAAATGGGTTCGGCTTTTAAGAGAAATTTTTGAGCGTTTGCAATTGGTATTCTCGAAATTGATCTTCAGCAAGTCTTGGTCAGCTCGCGAAGAACCTTGGCAAGATTTTTATCCACAGAGCGCACTTTGAGCCGTAAAATTGCTTGTAGATAGACAAACGATGGTGTTTCAACTGTACATGAATTGAAGGAAAAATAACTTCAGTAAGTCAAATAGAAGGAAATCGAATCTTTGATAGCGTTTTTTGAGTTTCAAACGCGCTCCATCGACAATTCAAATAATCTAAATTTTTGCAATATGTCGATTAATGTTTTGTCTTAGTTTACTCAGCGGATAGAGATGCTTTTTTACGGTTTACAGGAAGTCGAAATGGACGCAAAGACAAAAAAAAATATTATCTGAGCTTTTACTTCTCTTATCAATTTTTCGACCAACTTTGCGCAATCACACTAACTTTTCAAAAGGGCCCTAACAGAAAAGCGTTTTTTTAATAGATTTTTTTCAAACCTTGTTTAATTGTCTCTTCAATTTTTGAAATATATGGTGGCCGTTTTTTCCTTCTAAAACCGTGCTCCATCGAGAAATCGCATTGCGGCCAAATGTTTTGACAAGAAGCCGATTGAGAGACGTGACGACGACGTCTCGTCGTGTTGTAACACCTTTTCTCACCTGGCCATCATCCTCCTCCGGATGCCCCGGTGATTAATTAGCGCGCAGGCGCGAAGAGCCATCCTTTAGCCTTTTGGCGTTTGGCCACGCTCTTTGTGATGGATTTGTGTGGAACGAGGAATTTTTCGGGTCGCGATGGGCGCGATAAGCAACGAAGATGATGAGGGTTATTTATTTGTCCTGAAATTTGGTATTTATGGAAGTGTTGGATAATGAGCAGATGGCAGTAGGCGATTTTTCAGCTTGAAACATTTTTCATTTCCCAAGAACGGCAGTAATATGAGCTCCGACGTTGATTAGAACGCCATCAGACGCAAGTCGTTTTAAGGTCGGCCGCACTGAGAAATCAGCAATTCTTATTTACGTCATGAATTTTCAAAAAATCAGGAACTAACTTGAAAGATGCTCAAACTCAAACTCAATTTCAATTTCATTGCTTGTGCGTTGTTAGCATCTGAACCTCAAAAATGCCTTCAATAAAGGATTCTCAGAAACCTCGAATTGCTCATGTTAGCTGACGACTTCTGTTTTCCTTTTTTGGACATGCTTCTGGTTGTGACAAGAGCCGAACGATTGTTGGCAGATCGTTGATGACAATTGGATTATGGAGGTCTACCTCGTCTTGTGTATGTGCTTGTGTGTCATTTTCCACGCGAATCTGCCAATCATCACATTGTGAGACGGGGTGCGCGGTTTCTCGGGGGATAGATTGCTCCTTGGAAAATTGCTGCCTGTGCTAGCCGAACATGTCGGCGTCGTTTTACGGAAGTCGCTCTTGACCCTTGCCTTTTTTCTTTGATTGACAAGGGAGTTACAGAGTGGTAGTTGCAGCTGGGGCCAGGTGGGTTTTCGAAATGTTTCGAGAAAAAAGAAGAACATTAGCGGGTTGAATGTAGTCGAACCAACCTTGGAATTTCATGCCCAATTTCATTTTCGGCACGATTTATTTTGGATGTACAAGAAGAGTCATCAAGGACACGAGGATATTGTGGAAGTTGAAGATTCATCGAACTTTTTTGAAAGAAAATAAAAAGATTTTGAGGATGTGGGAAAAGAAAAATTGAGAGAAAGCTTCAGACAGTGAAACTTTCTTCATCTGAAATATATAAAGTTGAGCAATCTGGTCCAGCTTCTCCTTGTAAATAATCACAACTTAACACAACTTTTAACCTTTTTTTGGTTTTTTTTTATTGTTGTAAGAATTTCTCATTACGCTCGAATAGTTTCCTTACCATACTGAGTTTTGCCATGAAAAATTAAGCACTTTTAGTTTTTCCATCCTCTTAATGACAGGCAATGCGTTCTTCTGTCGTCCAGTTCTTTTTCGTTTTGGTTTCAGAATTATCAACTTGGGCTCGAATTCTTCTGAAGCATCCTGGTCCAGCGTCCTATTCTCACCGTGCTGAGTTTTCGGCAAAAAGTGACCTTTCCTAGAGATGTCTTCCGCCTCGTAATGACAGCCAATCCGCTCATCGGAAAAGACGTGTCTGTTTTTGGTGTTCGCCGGTCAGCCGGCCGCAACCAATTAATGCGATCGCCTTTGCTTTCTTCTGTCTTTTCTTCTTTTTTGACTCGGTCCCCCCAACTGGAGCCGCACCGTAATTGGGCGCCAGCCCGACCGACACATTGCAAATCAAAGGCGACCAACTTTTTGTCAGTCAAATCGAGCGCGTCATAATTCGCGCCATGGTCCTTTTGAATTCGGCGAAATTGGCCGAGCTGGCCGCATGGTTTCGGGTCATATACACGTAATTTTGCATGGTTTGCAACTCTTTGAAACGGCGAAATGAATAATGATTGAGGGATCAAGTCGTTTTCAAATTATTTGAGAAAAATGGGCGATTATTTTTAAATTGAAAAACGACGAGGTTAACAGTAATCCGATAAGCATCCCAGACTAAGTTTATCTCGGAAATATGAAGAAAAGCTCTGACAAGGAAGATAATTTCCCTTTGTGGCTGGGAAATTCTTGAAAACAGGCCAGAATACTCCTCGATGTTCCGAAAGAACTTTGAAAGCCTCAACCTGCAAAATTTGCTAGTTTTTGTGAAAGAAGGGCTGAAAACTCCAAAGTAGCTTAAATGAGCTTTTTGGAATTTTCTTCAAAACCGCAAGGTAGAATCACCTTCTTGTGAGCTTTTCTAGACGAGAGAAACTAGAAAATAACAGAAAAAATAGCTTCTCTATACCTAACAGTAGGTGTTTAAAAAGCTTGAATCTAATTTTTCAAAAAAATAACGTTTTTTTAAATTGTAGTTGTTCATTTGACGAACTAATTCACAGAATTATTGAGAATGATCTTTTTGTTGAACTTTAATTGAGAGACTTCGCTTTCTCTCCTCAAAAAATGATTTTCGGTCCATATAATCTCACAAAAAGAAGTACGCACGGCGTGCGTGGAAAGCGCCACTTGAAAAAGACGTCCTTAATGGGTGATGGCTCGTTTTGAAAACAATTGAAATTCTCTTTGGTGCTGTTTTTTTCCCTGTCAAAGAGAGAATATTTGAAAATATAGTAAAAGGGACCCTAAGATCATTTCTGAAATAAAAATGAATCGAAACTCTGATCGGTTTAAATATACTTTTCAATAAATATTCAAATAAGTCCGCGATTTGTATAGAATCTCTGTCTTCCTTTCTTCAAACTTTTCAAATCGAACGTCGAATTGACCTCACCACTTTTCGACATCAAACGTGGATTTTACTAGTTTACTTTTGAAACTTTGAAACTTTTATTCAGTCTTCAGAGAAGGTACTCTGCTGAATCATGGAATAATTGAAGAGTTGTTCGTCGGCTCGCGAAACTGTCGTTGATCAAGCGTAGACGGCGTGTAGAGCATCTCGCCTCTCTTGTGATAGTAGTAGACGACTTTAGAGAGTTTCCGACGATCCCTGCTTCTCCATGTAGGAACAGTACGGCGCCCAGCTTGTCCAGGGCTGACGGGCGTCGAATTGAATCTCGGACGAGAGCGGAAATGAAGACCGACCACTCGGGTGGTAGAAATGAGATAATAGTTTACGCATTCACGCAATTAGTAAGTCTTCAGAGAAGATTCCTTGCTGAATGATTTGATAATTTAAGATTTTTTGTCGGTTCGCGAAAGTGGCGTTGAACAAGAACGTCGCGTAGATGATAACGCCTTTTTTTTTCATAGTGGTAGATGATTTTTGAGAGTCCCGTCAATGAGTCGCTTTTCCATGCTCAGGCTTTGCTAATAAAGCCAAAAAGAGACCTAGTTTTAGGCTTTGAAAAGCCAAGATTTTCACTAGAAACACTTCGAAGATTTTAAAACTCTTTGAAGCTTTCTTTGTTATCTCTTGTTATCTCATTTCTACCACCCGAGTGGTCGGTCTTCATTTCCGCTCTCGTCCGAGATTCAATCCGACGCCCGTCAGCTTTGGACAAGCTGGGCGCCGTACTGTTCCTACATGGAGAAGCAGTGATCGTCGGAAACGCTCGAAAATCGTCTACTACTATCACAAGAGAGGCGAGATGCTCTACGCGCCGTCTAAGCTTGATCAACGACATTATCGCGAACCGACAAACAACTCTTCAATTATTCCATGATTCAGCAGAGAGCCTACTCTGAAGATTGAATAAAATTTCAAATTTCAGAAATTTGAAGCTTCTCTGCAGTTCGAGGCTCCTTCCGAAATTTACTGAAGCTTTAAAAGTTGGAATTTTTGAATTGAAATGCTCCGGCTTTTTTTGTAATCAGAACTGATTTTTTTAAACCAAGCCGCTCCGAATTTTAGAAATCTTATTTCGAAATCGGATCTTAGCTTTGCAATGAATAGAATTTCCTATTCTGAGCCAAATTTCCAATTGATTCCACTTCTCAACACCCTAGCAAGTTGTCGAATTTGTCGGTTTCGCATCGAGTTAGTTGATTGCCGTTCTCGGATGAGACAAATGAGGCGCCTCTTTCCCGACGTTCTCCGAGCCGTTTGTGATTAGGGGGATCTTGGCGGCCTCATCAAAGCGGCCGCCGTTCCTCCAGCTCCATCATCTCCCTCATCATCAGCTTGCCAAAACACTCCAATTGGTGTTGAACACTTCGAGGGAGCAAGTCGTGTTGGATAATTGGCGTGGATAATGATTTCCTTTTACTAGATCAATAAGGTTATATTTTGCTAGACAACGTAGTTGTTGAAGTAAAATATTTATTATATCCTAATACATAGAAACGATCACATAGCTTATGGCTGTTTGTTATGGCGTGGATAATGATTTCCTTTCACTGGATCAATAACTTGGAGGAAAGTGAAGTCTTTTTGAAGTGATTGGCTTGCCGTTTATCTCGAAGTTCAGTATATGGGCCTCCGTAGCAAAAACCGGGCATGCTCCGGACGTTTCTGAGAAGTTCTAGAAGTTCCTGAAGGTACTAAAGTGGTCACTATAAATGTTCCGATACGTCCAGTTCGCGTTACCAAGGTGGGATTCAAAATTTCTAATGTTACTAGTTGCTTCACAATTGAAACAGAAGCATCAAATTAACTGAAACAAACGAGCCAGATACATGCCAAACAGCTTGGAAAAGGTACTTGACATGGACGATGGGCACATGTTTTGTGTTGTTTGCCGGTCGACGGCACGCAACTCGATGCTGCCTTGCTGGCTGGTGCCACCTGCGTTTGCTTGTCGAACGTAAATCAGCGCATTATCCTCAGCCTCCCAAAAACGGCGCCGACACGTCCAATATATTTATATGACGGGGATTAGCCGTGTTGGGGCTCATCTATCAGTAATGAGCTGACGGGTGAGCACGACCTTTTTGTTGTGGTGGAAGAGGTGTTGACTCTTCGAGGGATTAATGGGAGGGTTTGTATTTTATTGTTTCAAGAGCTCAAGAAGGCTCTCAGACGGTAATAATAATATTTTATTCACAGCCATAAAAAAAAACATTAGGTAGTATAGAAAAAGTACAAGTGATCAACATGTGACGGGCAAAAGAATAAAAATACGCGGGAATAAGTCAACCCCAACGAGATGACAGGTACCCGGAAAAAAAAGGTAAAATTGCCAGAAGATATATACCTGGAGCGGCCTGTAGAAGATTTATCAACTTTACTCGAAAATCAAGACAGAATACTTTAACAGTTGGCCGATTGGGAAGTTGAGCGTCGGCGCGTGACTCTAGGGCGTGTTTAGAAGCTCATGGTGAATGAATCGAAGAGACGTTATCACATTTGACATTTCGTTCAGTTTCGATTAATTTATGTTTACAATTTAGAGGATTTCCTCCGAAAAGGATATAAAAAGCGTTTTTGCGGGGCATGTTTCGGAGCTCAAGCTGTCGTTAAATCGACTTTTATTGATTTTATCTAGTCCAGCGGAGTTTTGAACGATCTCAAAAATATGAAAGCTGAAAATGTCCCAAGCAGAAGATGCGAAGTCTACTCATCAGTTGCTGAGCATACTTGACGTCCTCATTGTCATGGCATTCGCATACATCCACACGCAAATGACACATGAGCCGAAATGAAACGAAACGATGATGATGAGAACTAATTAAAGTCGCTTTGGTTTTGGTTTCGTCGAGAAAGAAGAGTCGAATTCGGAGGGATTTCGAGTGGACTCTTCTTGGTGTTCCGATTTGACCCGTGGCTTTCCTTGAGTAGCCGGCTTCTTCAAGATTGCGTTACCAGGAAGACTCTCAAATTTCTTCGGCTAAGGCGTGTGTCGGGATCTTCTGGATAGTGAATGAGATCTTCTGGCCAGAAGTTGACTTTCAGCCAGGATTCCGGGGTTGATATAAAGAGAAGTGGGACATCTTCTGAAGCCAGAAAATCATCCGAAAATTCCCCTCTTTCAAACTAGTTTCAGAAGCTTTACTAGATTAAATAGTAGTTGAAAGATTTTTTGACTTTCAGTACTTTGAAGAAGTGATATTTTAGTACTGAAATTTCATCAGTGGCAACTTTTTTTGAGTCTCAAAGAAGCATTGGCGATTTTTTTTTTTGATCAAACTTTGTTAACCTCAGGAAAAAATCAGTCACTTATTACTGAAAAATTTAAGCACTCGGAACCAATTTCTAAACCATTTTTAATGACCTTGAGCAAATGTCTTTTTTAGGTTGAGTTTCTCAACATTGACTAATTTTTTTTTTGAAACTTATGAGATTTCTGTTTCTTGAGTACGCTATTTCTTTGAGTAAAGAAATAGCGTTCTGATATATTTTTCGGATATATAGACCTACGACGGTCTTGACCTTTCGTCGAATTTCTGACGCCGACCCAAATATTGATAATCTTTTGGCCTTAAACTCTTTCGGCTCCTACTACTTTCTCAAATGTGTATGATCCACTGTTTTGCGCAAATGTTTTCCTGGATACACTCTTGCTCTCATTAAAACTTTGATGTTACGCATTTTTTAATTTTCAATTCGATTTATATGGTGATTGTTGTGCTATTTTCGATTTTCAGGACGTTCTCTTCGATTTTGCCAGCAAACGGGTGATCAAGTTTGTCCTGCACACCAATGTTCCAGGCCATTTCGATTTCGGAATGTGAGTTTTTTCCCCATTTTGAAGAAGTTGAGAAAGGCTGCATTTTATTGGAATATTAAAAAAAAGTTGTATTAAAAAAATTCAACAAAGTTAGACATGAAAAGAAGGGAATTGTGTCTTGGAAACTCCATTTTATGAAAAACGAATATTCAATCTTTTTGGGGTTAAATATTATCGAATAAATCGAAAGAGTGTAAAATTACTCGAAAAAGGAACCTCAGGCCTTCTGGTCCGGAAATGCAGATAAAACAACTGCAAAACAGGTCTTCCTGATTGCAGAAGGCGGATTTTTTTATTCGATTTCTTAAAAACTTGAGTTGAAATAAATTAACAATTCTGAAAAAAAGTGTAAAAAAAGTATCTCTCTCGCTTTCCAATGGAGCTTTTCACCTACCAAAACTGGCTTTTTTTTTTTCTTTTGAGTGCGACAGTTTTCACTGAATCGGTCTCAAAACGGCCGGACGGATAAGGAGAAGCGCGCGGAAAAAAGATTTTCGAATTGGATTAGGCTTCAGGGTGGGTGGCTGATTTTGGCCGGCGACGTCGTTTGAATTGTTTCCCACCAATGCGATTGTATTGTTGTCTTCTTTTTTTCTCTTTTTATAGGGACTTGAAGATTATAAAAAAAGAAAAAAATTTTTGAAAGTAGAGTTCGTGAAAAACAGCAAAAAAACAAACAAATTCATTGTATAAATCATCAAAATAACTTGGTTGTGAAAGAAATTGGAGGACAGTAGAAGTTTCAAAAAAATTTTTTTTGAAAAACAACACGCAGTTCTTTGGGGTTCTGATATAAAGTCAGAATTTATCTTTTTGCATCAATTCGAATGGTTTTTTGACTTTTTCAACAGTTCCAAATGGTAGCTTTCGTTTCAGTTTATGAATGTAGTAAAAAAAATAATAAATAAGTAGGAAAAACAACTCGTTGATATGAGAATAAATAAAAAAACAAATTGAACAATAACAGAAGAGATTTTTTTGGAAAATTGGAAAAAAACAATAATCTCCGGTCAGAGGAATAGCGAAATTTAGTTTTTTTGAATTGATAGAAGGACTAATAATACACTATTTCATTTCAAAAGCTTTAGTGACGAGGTCAGGCTTTCTGACAAATTCTTAACATCCCTCGAGTTTTGTGATATTGTGGCTAACAGAAATCATCTAAAAATGGCGAATTTTTAATTATTTTTCGCAAAGACTTTTACCTTCTAGAGAATTTTTCACGTCTCTCATTTCAAAAGCTTTGGTGACGAGGTCAGGCTTTCTGACAAATTCGTACCATCCCTCGGTCTTTGTGATATTGGGGCTACTAGCAATAATCTGAAAACGGCGAACTTTTAAATATTTTTCACAATAACTTTTACCTACTAGGGAATTTTTTTTAGTTTCAGGCTGAAAACTTGTTGAAACTTTTAGTAAGCGTACTTTGCTGATTTCCGAACAAGGAAAAAAGTTCCCGCAGTAGATATAGTTCTCGATTTATATAGCTTCGAAATTTGCGAAATTCGACGAAAAGGCGCTATTTCAAGCTGTTGAAGCGTCTTAACTCGAAAACCAAATCTATTGAGAGAAACTTTTTGTTTTTCTGGAGTCAGTTGCTCCTACAATACATTTCAGCAAAGTTTCATCAATATTACAACCGGGGGCCAAAAACGTTCTCCAGGTATAAGACAAACAAGAACACACCTCGATGGCTCGCTCACGCAAAGGGGCGCAATCGAACGAATCAGCCAATAGAGCGTTTTCGCAAGCGTTATTTTCGTTGACAGTGAGTAGAAGAATATTTTCGCATTCGCTTTTGAGATCTTCGATCCCGTACATGTCAGCCAATTGTAACAGGTCTTGCACAAGACCCTCTTCTTTTTCAATCGAGACACAATAAAGGTAGCTGACGAGCTGTTCGAGAGTTTCTGGCTCTACGTTTTGCATTTCGACAACGCCCTGCAAAAGTTATAAATTTAAATTTTTCGAAGTTTGAAAAGGTTTTCTTTGCGAATTTCTTTTCGTGACCCCGGAATTCACCTTTTCCATTTCCTCAGTATCACTGTGAGCAAACATGGTCAGGAAAAACGGGGGATCTGAAAAAAATAAATATATATCAGATTTTTAAATAATAAACAGCTAACTCCGCCCCCGCGAGTATAGTACCTTTTCGCGTCGATATTTTTTCGCGCGCGATGGAAGTCTTTCAATAGCGGCATGCTATATAAAATGCAGGCGTTTACAAAATTCGACCGTCCATAAAATGTTTTTTTCGCTCAATTTAAAATTGATAAAACGTGGGCGTTTCTTAATAATATATTTTTCACTCTTTCTGGCAACTTTTTTAAATTTTGAATTTGTAACTATCTCTTCTTTTGAAAAAAACGATTCGAAAGAAAAATCGACGAAATTAACGAATTCGTCACGAGGAACTTTTTTGATTGCTTGAATAACTTAGGATTCTCACTAGGAGTTATTAAAAACGATTTTCTACAGTTCATGAATCAGTATTAAACCGGTAATCAGGGAAAAAAGATTAAATATGGGAAAAAGTAAACCTTGAAAAATGGTTTGAAAAACGAAACTGTCGAAAATACGAAAGAGACACCACAATACTGATAAGAAAACGATCGAAGAAATCAAAGTTTTTGATTTTTATTTTTAAAACAATAACGAAAAATTCAAAGACGCCCGTATTTTTATTAAATTTCAATAGTGCACAAAAAAAGCGGTCGCATTTTGTAAACGCCGCACTTTATAGCCATAAAGTATCAAAGCAAATACTGTAGCCACGTGGGCAGAGTTGGCTTCTTGAAATTCAAAATCTGAAACGAATATATTACTAACGAAAAAAACTGCGTTTGAAAAAGATAGAAAGTGTTTTTCAGAAATTTTGATTATTGAGCGATTGAAATTAAGATTTGAAAAAAAAAAATGAAAAATTTGAGTATGCCAAAAGTTTGTGAGCCTTAAAATGTGACCAACTTTGCCGAGAGGCAAAATCTTCCGAAAATAATCCTTTTTTAAAGTGAATCAATATAAATGTATGTTAAGAGTCGTTTTTTTTAATCGTTCGCGACCAAAATGCGACGTTTGCGAATCTAATACTTGCACAACAATTTTCATTTAAGGTAGGGTATTCAGGTGTTTAGGTTTATTGAAAAAAGTTTAAAAAACCTAGCGGCCTTTTTACGCTCTTGGCGCAGCGCCTGTACTCTTGTCTATCAATCACGAGCTCAAAAGATCAAAACTCGCCAAAACCAATTTTTCCAATTGGTTCAAATAGTTTTTTTTCACGTTTTTTTCACATTTAAATTAATTTGAAAAAACTGCTTCCAGTCTTAAAATGATTTTTAAGAAAGAAGAAATTACGAACCAACGGAGTACAAAAACATGTTTTCAATACAAAAAAAAGCTATCGAAGTCATATTTACGATCATTTTCATAACTGTTTTCATTCTCAATACTTTTTTTGAGAATGAAAAGTTTTGGGAGTACAAAGAGTGATAGAAAAATGTAATAACTATTAGGCCGAAGGTTTTTCTATCGTTACAGTCATAATTATCAAACCTGGCAGCAAGGACGGCTTTGTGGACCTTGATCTCCAGATCGCCGGCTTTCAAAGTAAAGTCGGTGAACAATTCCTCGTCTAGCATTCTCGCGAGCATCAAATCTCTGTTTTCATCTTTCTAAAATGCTGATTCAGTTAAATTTTTAGAAATAAAACACCTTCGCGCACTGCTGATTATATTGATTATAGTACATTGTGAAAGTCTCCAATCTTCCGATCCACCTTCAATTCAAAGTTCGAACACAAAGAAAATAAGGATTACGACAGAGTATATCAAAGTTTCAGCCGGGGTTCAACTCGTTTCAAAAAAGACTTACTTTGAAGCACCGCCAATTAAGAGCAGTAAAAAAATTACAAAAAAAAACATATAAAATATGTAATTTGAAAGTACGTCACACAACGCAGATACGCAGGCGTATCCATGGAGCGCACTTACCTTTTTGCTTTCTTTTTTCAATATCGCTGTCGCTCGAGAAATTTCTTTTGCTATTTTCATCTTCAAGAAAACATAATTCATTACATATAATTGCGGCAAACTGTTAGGCGCAGACTTGTTCTGCGTCATTTGGGTTTAGGATGAGTTGGGAAAAAAAGGGCGTTATTATAACTTTTTCTCTAAATCAAATATGTTGTAAAAAAAACGATTTTTACGTTTTATTTATCGATAGGTGCCGAACATTCATTTTTTTCCATAAAGTGCGCAATGATGAAAAAGGATGGTGGAAAAAAATAACTTCTTTTTAGGATAAAAATTTTGGTAATAATTTTTGATGAGCAAATTGTGGCAACACGCAGTCGCAAAAAGAACCACTCAAAGGATATAATCAGCTTTTACATTTTTTTAAGTGATTTACGCGAAGGCCATTTTGGACATTCTCTGATCTCCGAAAACGATATTTTCTGTGTAAAATGAAGTAATTACTTTTAACTAAGTTCCAAAAAAATGATTTTTACCTGATTCGGAAACTCTTAAAATGAGAAAACCCCATTTTGTTTCCGACTTTTTCTCATTAATAGAGGATTTTATCGCGATGTAGTCATTTTCCCGTGTTAATAAATTTATTTTCTGATAGAAGCTCATCATTTATCGTTTACCAGTGTTAGCAGGAAAAACTAGAGAGCTAAAATATAATATTATTTCTATAGCTGATTCACGGATGGCTTGAGCCATCGAAAAATGGGTCCTGACACGATAAAAAAAGGAGACATTGCCTTGTTGGTGGAGAGTGCAAACAGGCCACGCCCCCTTCCTAAATTAGCCGTGAGTCCTCCATAGCAGGAAGTGCTTTTTTTTCCATTCGAGATCAAGATCAGAGTTGTGCAAAATCTCGGCCTCGCCACGAAATATCTCGTTCGCATATAATCGACGCGCAGAAATCGAATAATTCGAATATATTCAAAACTATTCCCTTATTTCTAACTTATGTGTTTTCGAAGTAAGTGACCTGTCCAAATTGAATTCGCAAAAGTCCTATTATATCTTATTCTCCGAAAAATTTTGGTTATTACATAATAATCTGAGAAAAAAATTGTTTCGACTCTCTCACTGATTTCCGAAAACAAATAAGTAACGAAGCGTTTCAAAACTTTTGTTTTTGAAGTTTTACTCAAAGTTCGGTATTTGAATTGAAAGCGTCAGATTTGTTCCTTCAAAGACTCGAATTAAGTTTTATTTCATCTCGCAGTGATTCTATATGGCGCAGAGTTTTTTTTTTCTGAAAATTGTTAAAATTTTTCGCTCGATTTCGTCTCCACTTTTCTGCACGGTTCTCACAAAATTTCTTGTCTCATCTCGAAGAAAAAATACCCTCTTCTCGGTTTCAAAAAGTCCAGTCTCGCACAAACTTGATCGAGATATGATTTTGACAGTATACCAAGGATGTAGAAGTTTCTTCAAGCTTTCTATGAATGAATGAAAAAATAAAATTATCTCTAGTCGTTATGAATATTCGATCATGCTTTTTGCGCGTCGCTTTTGGTGCATCCGTATGACACATTTTATATCCTGCTGCGTCGGTTGGTTTCGTTGCATATTTGTTGCCACCGTGAAAAAAAATAGAGAGAGAACGGCGAAAAGAAATATTTTTTTTTCGAGGAATTTTTTTTTTTTTCTGGTCCAAAACTTTCAACTAACTTGAGCGGGAATTGTCAATAACCTTAGTTTTCGAACGACTCTTTCGTCTTTCAGCTACTCACGATGCGAGTTCGACATCCGCCTGAACGACCACGAGGCGACGGAGATCAAGACCGACTCGAAGTTCGACGAGTTCTCCTCGGCGTTCAGTGACCCGAACCTCGGAGATCCGGCCAGCCCAGTCGTCATCCAGCGCACTTCGCAGCACGAGTTCAACCCGTTCGGCTCGACCTTCTGCTACGGGATTCGTCAGCTCGTCGTTGAGGTTTGAAGCCTCTGGAGCTATGAAAAAAGCTGTGAGAAATAAGAGAAAGTTAGAATGAAAACCAAAAGTCGGGAGAAAAAAGGGCGTGGAGAAATTAAATTTTTTCAAAGTTTTAGCGAATATCGTCGTTGAGATATCAAGCTCCAGGCCAAGGTAATCTGGCCTCCTTTTGTTACAGTCCAAACAAAACCTGATGAGAGGAGAAGAGCAAACTTTCGTTTTATGAAAAGTATTGTATTTTCTGAAGAGTACGCCTCGGCTTTTCGTGACGCGTTTCAAAAGTTTTCACCTTCTCTGAGGTGAAATTCTTAGAAATTAAACTTTATCCTTCCAGGTTATGGAGAACGGCCACATTGCTGCTCTGACCATCTATGACGATAAAATGTAAACAAATTTATTTCACTTTTGTATATTTCCTCATTTTTTTTGCCTACGCTAGCCAATTTTTCAGCGGCTATCGAAATAATTTTGTAATTTTTGTACATTCAACCTCACTTTTCTTCATTTTTAACAATGACTCGCATCAGGAATGCTGCATAAACTTTATTTTATTCAAATTATCGTCTGGGTTTACTTGAACACGCTAAAAAACCACAACTATATTCTTTGAGCGAATTTGAAAAATCAAGACATAGTTTCAAGTAATATTCAATCCATCCCCAATTGGAAGGCGAGGAAGGTAAAAAAAAAAGGAGCGTGACGCGTAGCGTGTGCGTACGCGGTTCTTGGCCCGAGTTCAATTCAAGCGCCATCGACTATTTAAAAACGCTCTTTTTTGTATCTATTTTACTATTTTTCATCTCAAAAACGAAAAAGTCAATAGTTAATTTGAAAAAAAGAAAAAAGAGAGCGATAAACGAGCTCTCCGACTAGTCGCTGGCGGTTGAATTGAAAGTTGACTATAACCTAGGAAGTCAAACCAAGTTTTCATAATCCCCTTGATTTCGCCTATCGATTGATACCAAATTTGCCGAATCTTTATTTTTTGATCTCGAAGTTTGATCTCCGATAACCTAGCTCCTATATAGTTGACTTACCAAAGTTCGCCTATAATTAAGTTCTGAGTTGACCTTTACTGCGCTCTAAAAAACGGCCCTATAGGTTATACTGAGCAGAGTCTTCCGATTTCTCGCTTCTTTATTTATGTGATTGGTTGTGAATTTATTCACAACACATTCTTAGAATTTTTTGATGAAAATAATTAGGATGAATTTTTTTATAATAAAAAATTGCAAAAATAAAAAAGAAAACGGGCAAAAATGAAACACGGTAATGAAAAAATTGGCGAAAACACAAGATAATTGAGAGAGAAACGCCGCAGGAGGGGACATTTTTTTGATCTGTTATTCGTTCTCCTCGAGCACTTGATATATTATTTATAATATTTATAAATATAATTTATAAAAGGGAAAATGTAGCTTTTTGAGAAAAAGCAGCAGAAGTGCAACGAAAAAGAAGTCAGCGACCAAAAATTAGTAAAAATAAAATTATGCCTAAACAGAGAGTGAAAAAAACGTTGAAATACACACATAGAAGTTTAAATAGTCTATAGATTTTTTGGAAAAAAAAAGCGATGACAGGGCGTTTCATCCTCGCAACTAGGAAGGTTCAAACCCATCCGAGTCGAAGAAACAAAAAAAAACAATTAGATAATAACTGAAATAAAAACATAATTTGAGCTTTTCCATTCAGTAGCGGGGAACATTACGAAGCAAAAAAGGGTAAATTTTCGGCAGGTTCAGAAAGAGGGTGGGGCGATTTATTGATTTCTTTTTTTTTCTTTATGTTTGATAAGTCGTTGTGTTTTGATCTTAGTCGGTGATTCTGAAGATTTTTTTGGCTACGGTTGACAAAGTACACTTTTCGGGTTTTTCTCGAACCTCTGATGAAGTCAAAAATCGCCAAAACACCGCAAAATTTGATTCAAATTTGTCAAGATCAATACACTCTCTCTGTGAAAATTCAAAATCAGGGTTCAACAATTCAACAAAAAAGACAATCACATTTCGGTGATAAAAAAAAAGCAGATAACAAGGTAATTTTGGTTGAGATGTGAGCTAAAGTTCAAGCTCAACTTTTCAACCAAAAATACCTGAAAAAAAGAAAGAAAAACTCTGAACGACACGTTGTTCATTGGGGTGGATTTGTCAAGCCATTTGATTGATAAGAGATAAAAATAAAAGGAAAAAAGTCTTTGGGATTTTTGTTTTGACTAGCGATGACGAGAAGGCGAGAGAAATACATATAATTTTTCTTAAAAGTAAAGGAGTGAATAGTTTTTCTATGAGGATGACGTCACGCGTAGCTCGTTTTCAGTTTTGAACAAACGCATTGCGGTCGACATGACGTGGCACGTCTCCGCCGTGGCGTCACCTGTAAAACTTCATTTATTAATTGACTTTCGAATCGGAATGATTTCGAGTGTCTGCGTCTCTCTGTTCTCGAAAATATAACGCCAACAGTTAACAGTCGCCGAGAGACGGAGATGGCGCAGAGAACAAGATTTTTCAAGGCGTTGAAAAAATCAAGCGAACAATCGGTGAAAAATTTATTTTCAAAATTTTAGAATATTCTGAAATCATGTCCTTTCAAATGCCCCTTTATGTTCGCTTTTTCAAGATAGTTTCAACGTCCAGAAACCCAAAAAAAAAATTCCTCGTAATCTATATAAAAAACGTTAAAAAATATTACCAGCTTTCTTTCTGATAAACTTGAAAGAAAAAATCTGAAAAATCTTCCAAGAATTTTTCTAAAAAATTCCCTCATACAATTGATCAAATTCAAGCCGAGAGTATAATTTTAGAAGTGACCTTATCTGTGGGGGAGGGTTCGCTCGTCGAAAAGTGGACGGTGATGAGGTTTTCCAGCGTTTCTAACATGGATTCCATGTTGGAGATCTGCAAAAGTTTCAATTTTCCTTCTATTTAAGAGGAAAAAAACGAATCAAACCTGGTTGGGGGTTATTGATGGCTCGGTGGGCGCGGGGAAAGTTCGCTCCAACGTGACGCATCGCTTCATTTCGACGACGTACGCGGCGACGCATCCGATGAACTGCGACGCATGTCGCGTGAACTCGACGCCTTCAAGATCTGCTTCTGATTAGGTTACGGTAAACAGCGGAGCTCTTCAAAGATCACTTAAGTGGTTAGAAAAACAAGTCTATGTGTATCAGCAATTCATCCCGGAGGGATAACTTTAGTCGTTAAAAAAATCGAGAATTTTCAGCAAATTATGACGGGAGCCCTTAAGTTGTTCGAAAAATAAAGAAGTCAAGGTTTATCAGCAAGTTATGATGGAAGCTTTTCAGGGACAAAAAGTGATTTTTTTTTTCAAAAGAAGCCGAGTTCTTCCACTCAGGATTTTTGAAGTGAGCTCTTGAGTAAGTTTCACCTATGAATAAAGCTCTCAAGGGGTCACTTGAGTAGTCTTTTTTGTATGAGTTTTCAATGATTTTTGAAGTGACCACTGTTGAAGTGACCATCTTATGAAGCAACTTAAAGGAAATTTTGCGATAAATCAGTTTTAATTAGCCAGGAAAACTTCAGTGACCACTTGAGTTGCTTCCAGTTTGATTGAAGCCCTTTAGTAGTTCCTTGGTTGGAGTTTTCAAAGAGGACTAGAGTGACCACTTTGAAGAACCCTTGATTTATAATTCAAGTGAAATTTGCTTTCCAAAACAATCTTTTCGAGCGAGTTCCCTTTATTATCGAAAATCTTTTAAGAGATCGCTCGAATGCTCTCTTGGCCGTAAAACAAGAAATTTTCGCTAGGGAGAACTTAAGTGACCAGACAGCAGGAAGCCTCTCAATTGAAGACTAGAATTCGAATCAGATTAGGTTTTTTTTAACCATACGTCGTATTCTAAAAAATCAAGTGGTCATTTGCGTGGTTTTCAAAAATTTCAAGTGACCACTATTCAGTGGAGTCGAAGCGATCACTTAAGGATGTGGACTAGCTCTTCTCTTGCCCTTCGGATGGGGAAATAACGGCAAACATGACCAACAAAAACCAACCTTCGTGCCGTAACTGCGGCAGAACGCAGCTTTTGGCCGCCTCGCACGCTTTCAAACACGCCCGTCCCGCCGTTTCGACTTCTCTGTAACCATTTTGATGATAATGTTGCTTCATTTCCGGAAATTGTCTGTTTCATCCAATCTGAAGAACGAAAATCTCTCTTAGAGTTGCCCCAAAAGAGGCCAATTTCCAATGAAATGACACACAAACACCCTCAATAATGAATGTTTGAAACAGGAAACTCATCTAAAACCGAGTCACGCGCGCCTTTTGACGTCATATATCTCTTTCTCTCTTTTCGTTTCTTTTCTCGTCGCTGAGGTAGGAGAAGAAGATAGAGAGAAATTCGTAAATTGGCCCTTTTGCCTCAAGATGGGGAGAAGAAGGAGTGAGAGAAGAAGCTGACGAGAAATATGACGTCATCTGCGAGTGAGAGAGCAGGAACGAACTTTCAACCTAATTGCACACAGGGCCGAGATGATGATGATGATGATCTTTTCGTTTTTGGGTTTCTCAGCAAAATGTGACGTCGATAATAGAGTAAAGTTTGGGGAAATGATGACATTTTGGAGAGTTCTAAGCTTTTTTGCCAAGCAAAAAATGAATGAATCAACTTAATTTGTTGCAATTATGTTTTTGGAATATTGCAAGAAAATTTTCAAACTGCAAAATGATCCAAAAATTACTAGGGACTCTAGTAATTTTTGGATTGAAAAAAAGTCCAAAATCCGACTCCTACATATATCTTTATATTGAGAACTTTATGACAGACGCGAAAAAAAAATCCAAAATTGAAACGATCAAGTGTTTTCAAAGTGTGGAAAGACCTGCATAAGCGACATTCAAGCTCTTCAAAATTTATTGAGACCCAATTTTCTCTTTTCAAACCCCTGCCTTCTCAGAAGTTTATGCAACATTCAACCCGAAAATAAATTGCCTACAATGACGCTCGAAAATGATTTGGGACTTTTGGGAAGGTAATTCTATTTTGCAGTTTGTAATTTTCTACAAAGGGGCTCAAAAACTTTCGAAATATGGACTTTGAGCCTAAATTTTCGAACTAAAAATAATTATCTCAAAAACTTGATTGTGGCCGCTCTTAATCTAAATCTTCAAAGAGTGTTTGAGCAAATTCGAAGAAAAATCGCTCAAAGTAAAATGACCTCTTTGTTGGTCCTCATTCTGTGTTGAAAGCGCACTTCAAAAATAGATTTCTCAAGATTCCTATCGAAAAATATTTTTCTCAAAATTATGTATGCCAATCAATTCAAAATTGTATGCTCTATGAGAAAATCTAAAAGATGAGCGAAAATAAAGTTAAGGGCACGAAAGGACTTACTAAAAAAAAGTAAAGCTCCACCTTTTTTGAGGAAATTTTCTACTCCTCTACAACTTCTCTCAAAATTCTTTTCGAATACACATTTTGGTACCACTCGACTCAAAAAACAACGCTCTATAAGAATTTTCCATACTCGAATTTCAAAAAAAAATGTTTGAACTGCGGACAGACCTCCTCAAAGAGGCGCCATCCTGCGAGGTGCCGATCCCCTGGGTCGCATGCCGGAACAACGCCAGCTGCACGTTGCATTCGTGCACTAGCTGAAAATTATTAAAATATTGAGAAATATAGGAAAATGAGATATAAAAAAGTTCTTTATTTATTTTTATAATTTTTCAATGAGAGCAAGAGCATTTACAGAATTTCAATAGGAAAAAACATTTTTCTCAATTAATTTTTTTCTCAACCTCGCAATATAAACCTTAATATTTTTATATTGAAAAAGTTGGAAAGTATGCTCCAAATAACAGTATCTTTAACAGTCTGGAGCCGTTCAATGTTACCTGTTTTCAAACTTTCCGGACAGTTCCTTGTACAGAAAAAAAAATCGACAAATTGTTTCAGAGGAAAATTTTAACTACAATTTTAACTCCTCTATATAAACTTCTTAAAATCGAGAAAACCCAAAAATACACCATTTCGATCCGAAAATTCTTCTTTTTCCAATTATTATCTCCGTTTTACCAGAGCAAATTGTTCATTCGGCTCGCGCGGCTCCGACTGCGACCGGTTCGTTTTGCCGGCCGGTGGGGTCCTTCGCAACCGCCACTCTTCACAAAAGTCGATAGAAACTGTTCCAACGCCAGAAACGGAAAGTCAATTATACTTTGAGAATACAGAGATCAACGGGAAAGTCGCGAAAAAAAATTAGAAAATGCAAAAAAGAATCGAAACCCAAATCAGCTCATCACTTCATTTAGAAGATGAAGAAAAAGCTTTAAAATTACTTAAAATTAAAACTTTCTTTTGAAAATCTGTTAAAGGTACAAGTGATCTTCCATTATCCTTTTTTTCTCGAACTCAAGAGCTAAGTGATCCGCTGAGGGATATAGTATTCATAATTAGTAGTTTGAAAAACAGAACTTCCGTGAAAAAAACTTCAACAAGTTCTAAGCAAATGAACTTTGAACTTATATATTTTTTTCAATTCTGAAAATCAAAAAAATATTTGAGGATCTCAAAAAGAACTGCAGGGCAGCCTGAAAATGAATTTCAAAACAAAAAAATTTTTAGAAAAGTTATAAGAAAAAAATGCAGATCAATTTCACCCTCTTTTTTTGAAAATCATCAAGGTTCAGGAATTTCTTTAAAAAAACAGTGAGAGACATTCAAGATATCTGGAACAGCTAAAAAAATTAAACTAAAGAGTTGAAATAAGAAATTAAAAACCCTAAAGAGATCACTTGAAGCTTATCAAAGAGTAAAATGTCTTCAAGGCCTAATCCATACCCAAAGCAGCTGTTTTGGCTATTGAAGGAGAGAAAAAAAAAACAAAGAAAAAGTGCAAAAAAGGACGAAGCGAGAGAGCATGCTTCTGGGTGGAGGGCGAAACAGGGACGTGGAGAGACGCCTGGCCACGCCCCCTTTCTGCCAATTGACAGTGACGTCATTTCGCGGTGAAATCAGAAATGACGTCAGTTTTTTTCTGTCAAGTTTGAATATTTTATCATTCTCTTTTCAGCGCTTGTCTGATTACTGTAGCCTCTTATTTTATTAAGCGTATAAGAACCATTTTTCTAGCACTCCGATGCTCCTCTAAATTTTGTCACGAGATAGCTAAATTTTCAAAAATGTCTTTCTTATCCCGTTTTTTAAAGAATATTTTTCTGACTTTACGTCACCTTTTCTTGTTTCCTCAAACTGTATAGTCTGTGTGCCACGACTTGAAATTTCACGGAACGACATTCCGCTGTGTCGCTGCGCGAATTTGCGAACCTTGGTCGCGCTTTTTATTTATTTTTCTTTTATCAAGGTATTCTACTTTCATGTGCTCCCACAGCAATAACAATCAATTGAAAGCGTGACCTAGATTCGAAAAACGCTTCGCGAACACACGCAGCGGAATGTCGTTCGATGAAATTCAAGTCGTGACACACAGACTATATCACTAATCGTGTAAGTACCATTGTCTCAAAAATTCTATGCTCCTTCAAATTTGGCGGCAAGCCAACTTCTAGGAAAATGAAACAAGATTAATGAAACTTCCTTGAACTTTTCGAATACAGTTTGAAAGAATTCATTTCATTCTTTTCAACAAGGGCATTTTCAGTTATTATCGGCTCAAAATTCACGAAAAAAAAAAATGCGATTTCAGCTTCGAAAAACTGTGTCGGAATGTAAAAAGTCCTCTCAACTGATCAAAACATAAATCTAGTTTGAAGAAAAAAAGACGATTTACATCAAAAATCTAAGATTTCCTGACGTAAAAACGTGAAAAAGAGGGAAAAATTGAGAGATTAAAAGCAGGTCTAATCGGCGCCCTAACTACGTCACTAATGTGCTCTTTTTTTGAGCCATTCTCAACGAAAATGGCTTTGGTTTATATTTGTCTTGTCTTGTGGCGAGGCTTTGCTCGATGAAGGTTTCTCACGAAACAAAAACCAATTAGAATGGAGGGAAAATATGGGCTTTTGTTCCATTTTCCCTTTCTTATTAGATAAAACGAATGATACTAAAACTTCAAGTCCAATGACCTTTGATCTCGATGAACTTACTCTTTTTGAGCTTTTTTTTCTTGATACAATTACACAGAGCTGGACGTCAAAATTGGCGTATTTTTGATTTAAAATGATGTGTAAACCTTTCAAAAAATCTTCGTAAAAAAGTAAACGTTGACATAGATCTAATTTACTACCACTTTGAAAAGGACATCGAAACGTGTCTCATACACTAAGTCTCCAATGCCACAGACGTCTAGGAACAGAGTTACGACTTCTCAAAATACCAAATCTACCATTCTTCTCAGAATTGTAAAAAATCATTAGGCTCGCATCCTTTAGAGGAGCTCAAAACAATGAATTAATTAATGATAGGATATGCAAAGGTTTCTTAAAGTCCTCTATAAAGTCAAGGTGCAATAATGACAAAATCTCTTTTTAGGAGCCTAGACTCCGATTTTCTCAATCAGCTCAAAATTAGTGAGCAATAGGAAGTCAAAAGTTATTTTCCTTGAAATTGTTTAGAGACCCGAGGGAAATTCGGTGGAGATGATCAAAAGGGAGTTGAAAGGAATGGAAAAAGATCTCATTCGCTGGTGGAGGAGGCTACCGGAGGCCAGTCTATTTGAGCCACTTATCTTATCCGATCGCTTATCATCACCCTTCTTGTGTGCTCTCTTTCGTCAAGGCCAAATCGCCCACGTCTTTTCGAGGCAACCATCGGAAAAAAAAGCTTCTCATCGCAACATTTCTGTGAAAACGTTTCGAGCTCCAAAGAGGTGAAAAAATATTTAATTTTGAGTTGTCTAACATTTTTTTGACAATAGCGCACAAAAGATCTGTCAAAGAACGCAACGTAAATACTGAATACTTTTCATGGTTACGATTTTTTTTTTCAATAGAGCTCAGCTGTACTCACATAAAGAGCGGTGTTGAAATGAGCACAATTTTGAAAAATTTCGATTTCTCTGCTCTTTTGTGCTCACGCGCTATTTTCAGAAAAATTACAAAAAATACTAATCGAAAAAAAGAGAGTCCCAAAAATTGGTTCTGTTCTATTTTTGGTCTCGAATCTGCCTCCGGCACAACGAGCTTAAGGACAGGAAGCGTCGCGTGAGGCCGAGTTACCACTTTAGGGCCTACTTTCTCTTTCTCTCTCCGTATTCTGTTCTTTCCGAGAGTACTGCGGTCATTTGACCTGGCTATTAGGGAGAATCCAAATTCAGAAAGGTTTTTCTTTTCGATTCATCCGGTTTGACAAAAATTACTTCATACCGACTAATACCTAAAACACTGGAGAAGGTCGGAAAAAAGTCTAACGACCTTCTATTATTACAATCATTAAAAGTTGACTATAAATAAGCCTTTTTTCTCTGATTTCTGAGTAAATGAAATGAAATAAATAAGTCGCACACAAAGCCCTCAATCTCCAGTTTGATTTTATCCGTCTCAAGTTGTTTTTCAAAGCTCGAAAAAAAATCCAGAGAAGGGTCAAGAAAACTTGAAGAGGTAAAACTAAGGCATAGCCGATTTGAAAAAATAAGAAAATGAAGAGGTCTGATCTGTCTGTGTATCTTTTCCCTTGCCTATGAGATCATTCCAACATGAAGAAATTCAAAAATGCCTACACAAATAAGTTTTACCCATATTCAAGAGTGAATTTCCTTTTACTAAACCTAGCTTCTGCCCCTAGGTTTAATAAAACTTACAGAAAACTCTTACACGAAATAATCCTCAAAATCCTTTATTTTCTCATCAGAAGCCTTACAGATTCACATGTAACTCATATGATCTTTTTTCACATTCACATGCGTTAAAATAAAAAAATTTATAATGACGCTCATTGTCTCCCATCCGAGGCCAACAAGTTAATAATATTTCAAAACTTTCTGCGTCTACGTTCGAATCTTCGAAAATTAAAGAGCGTTCAAGATATGAGAGGTCAGCTGTTTCGTTTCCCCCTGAACGCCCTCTTTTCTAAGTGATCTTCATCTGTCACAAACTCGAGTTTCCAAAAAAGGTAGAGAACGTTCAAAAGTGAGAAAACAGGCGTTCTTTTTCTCTGAAAGCCCTCTTTTTTTCAGTGCTCTTTAACGTTCGAGATTCGAGTCAAGGCTGTGGGACAATTTTCGGCAAGTTGTATGAGCCCAAAACTGGACATGAAATTAAATATTCAGACAGTTTTAACCATTTTAAAGGAGTGAGCGAAACTGAAGAAGCAGAAAAACGCATAAAAATCTGAGAAATCGAACTTCTGAGATCCTTTCATGTTTTTTTCGGCCAAAATTTAGCAAAAAAAAAATGTAAAAAAGAAACGATGATTTTGACAGAATTCGATTGCCGCACAGGCCTGACTCAAGCCTTGACAATTCGAACATAGACTCAACTTTGTGAATGACAAAATGGAGGAACCTCATTGAGTTTCCTGACGCTGGACATGGACTGCTGTCGCATGCCGTGCCGGACGGACAGTTGCGGAGGGCGGCGACTTCGGCGACGACCACCGGCGACGCGTCACCGACGGACCGCGACGACGACGACGTCACCGACCGTCGCGGCGGCGGCGACGACGACGACGGCCCGACGCGTCTGCGACCTCCGGCGAGTGCTCGACGCCCCCGGCGACCGCTTCGGCGATGCTGCAATTGCGAGAATCTTCTTCGAATGATTTGCAGTTCTTTTGGATTTTTATCAGAAGCATCTCTCCTAGAAAATGACGAGATTCTACCTCGAAAGCTCCAAAAAAAATTGCCAAATCTTCTATTTTTTAAAAGCGCCCTCAGAAAATTGAAAATGGGGAGAGGGCTTCTCTCAAAACTTTCAAAAATAGAGTAATACTTACAATATCCCTGGGTCGTCTTTAAAAAATTTTCTATTGATTCAAAAAAACTGAAAAAAGGTAAAAAATTTTGGAATCTAGTCAGTCTTCAAAAAAGATTCTTCAAAGACAAAAGCCTAGCAGTGAAGCATCCAAAAAAAGCACTCAAAAATCTCAAAACTTAACACTAAGAATAACTGACGAGATAAACGCGAGTTCGGTGGCGGTCCATTGACAAACTCGCAAACATGTCGCTTTTTTCTAGGCGCGATCCCGCATTTCTCTCGGCGCGACCTCGCATTTTTCTCGGCGCCATCTCGCATTTATCTTGCATTTCGGAAATTTTCAAATTGCGAGAGAAATGCGAGCTCGCGCCCAAACAAATGCGAAACCGGCGCGAGAAAAAATGCGAGATGTTTGCGAGCTCGTCAATGTACCGCCAGCGTCTCGCGTTTATCTCGGCAGTTATTCTTAGTGCATTCAGTGAAAACCCAAAAACTTTCTAATCAGTCCTGAGAGGACGCCAAGCAGATAACTTAACGTCCAAAAGCCGAAAAAAATATTAAAGGTTTCAAGAAGTTATCCGAACATCGGAGGAACGTTAAGAAATATTCTCAAGTTTTAACAAAACTTCTGAATTGAATGAAAACATTTAGTTTGAAAAAAGAACAATTGTTTTGTGAGATCTCGAAAAGTTAAAGAAACCAAAAAGTTCAGCTGAAAAATTCAGAATATGAAACAAGCTTTGAAAAAAAAGATTAGTCAGGACTGAAGAAAAAAGTTTCGAAGTGAAGAATTTCAAATCCCAAGAAATTGTCAAAAATACCCTCAAACTTCACTCCTAAAGGATTTCTTGAAGATTTTTTGGAAAGTTTGAGGAAAATATCTTCGAAAGGATCAAAATGATCACGAATGACAATGGGAACTATCCCGAACAATTTTCATGATTGATAAATGAAATGTATATTCAAGCTCAGACATGGGTAGACCCTTTTCAAGGCCGCCAACACTTGAGTCGTCCTAAATGAAAGACACTACATCTCAGAGTTCAAAATTCATCTTTAATTATGTCAACATCACTTTCCTGACTCTATTCCTTATTTTCGAAAGTTTTGTAATTCAAATCCTCAGCAACCGAAAAAAAAGTTTGAAGTTTTTAATGCGTCCTAACTTTTTCTAAAGATTTTTGAACATAAATCTTTTTCTTGATTCTTAACGAGTCGGTTTTTTGTTCGCGGAACTGGATTAAATTTTTTCGGCGAACTGAAATTCTCTCTGTAATCTCTTCTGTTTCCCGAAATCCAGAAAGTTTCAGGAAATTCGAACTTCTTACAAGAAAGCTGTCATCAAAAAACTGTTTTTTTTTGTAACTGTATGTTCAAGTGATGAGGGAAAAAGAACCGTTGAGAGCGCCGAAAGCGGCTGAGAAGGTCTGAGACGCGGGCGATCTGCTTCTGACGGTCACCTCGACAGCTATTCGACGTCTTCGCAGCTGCTCACGTCTTCTTGCCCTTCTTATTGTGTTTCTTCTTCTTTTTATTCGCGTGGAATTCTGATGAAAACGCAAAATAAGACCACTTTTTATTGATTCTATAACGATCGAAACGACAAAAAAAACACAGAAAGAAGCGGTTTCCGAAGGAATAAATCGGAAGAGAAAGAGGAGACATCACTGTCGCTTGAAGAGACGTCAAACAAAGAGAGAATTTCAACTTCTGAGGCCTCTTTTCTGGAGTCGCCGTCTTCATGACTATGCTTTGAAAAAGGCGAAAAGACAAGAGAACAGCGGGGCTTCGAGAGACGCCAGACGATTAGGAAATTTCTGGTGGTCTGGCGTCTCTTCAGATTTTCCCTAACCTTACCTATCAAAAATAATTATATTTGACTAAAAAAAGATTAACTTCCAGTCTTTGAGGAACTGATGTTTTTAAAAAAATTAAGCTAAAAACCTTATAATCCTGAATAGTGAGAAGCTTCATCCTCCAGATTATCGGGGATTCCTGTGAATCAAGAAATATTCATACTCGAAATCTTCAGTTTTCGCTCAAAAAACGCCAGAAAAGGCATGTAGGGGAAATATAAGAAATTTTTTTCCCGGCTCAAATTTTTGTCACAAATTGAACAAAGGAAAACTAAAAAAAGCTCAAATCAGACTTGACAACATCCAATTTCTATTTGATAATTTCTTCAAGCTTCACTATATACTATCCCAGGAAAAAAAAAGAAGTGAAAGCAGAAAAAGCTGAGAGAGAGAGAGAGGGAGTGAAAGGAGGGAAAAAAGAGAAAAAGATGCAAGGGCCGCTAACGTTAAGTAGCAAACGCGCCCCTCGGCTATCGATTTTCTTCTCTTTTTTTTCTTCTTCCTCTTCTTTTTCGCTTCTTTTTTTTCGCTTCGTTTGGGTGGCTTAACAGCTCACCGCTCATTGCAGCTCACTCACGCAACCCAAAGAGCCAAACAAGTTCTGTTGAAGAGGCTGCTTGAGGGAAGAAAGGGGAAGAAGCTGTAGGTGCGGCCTAAGGAGATAAGAAATGCTTCGAAGTGAGAAAAAAAAACTGAAAAAAATTCCTGATAAAAAAGAAAGGTGATGCTGGAAAAGAAGTGAAAGTAAAATATCAAAATTCGAATCTAAAGTTAGCCTAAAAGAATGTTTAGAAGCATCATTGATGAAGAATGAGCCTTTTAAGTTATTTATCAACTGAAAAGATAAAGAACTAAAAAAGCTCAAGTGAATGGTTTAACGATTTTTAAATTTTTCAAAAATTTCTGGTATAAAAAATTCAATCTAATTGAATCATTTTTTTCACAAAAATCGGTGAAAAAAATTCAACTATTAGATTCTTGAAGTATTACTTGAAATGAGCGAGAAGCTTTCGGTGAAATTAAAATTTATCTTGACCAGAAAAAAAATAATCTTCAGAACAAAAAAAGCACTTTTTTTGATTTGAAAATTCAACTATGAGGGCTGGTTTTGAATAAACTTGCCAATCTTCATATCTAAGTACAAGAAAACCCGACAGAGAAAAACAAAAAATTGATTTTCAAAAAACTCAAAATATGCCCATTGGCTCTGTACACAACAAAATTGAGCGGATACGACGACCAAAAAACTTAAAACAAACTTTATGCTTCCAAAGACTCAAAACGACACTTTACAATGAAACAATCTGATTTTTTCCCAGTTACCATACGAAAATTGCAAAAATACACAACAGAACGGCAAGAATTAGTTCAAAAATTGGAAAATCGACGAGAATATTGTATATGATACAATTAGACTGACAAAAAGCGACAAGATGAGGAAAAAGGAATCAAATCGACGATCAAAAAATAAATGTTTTTCAAAACAGATTAGAACGCGTAATACGGACCTCAGAAGGCATAAACGATGGCAAACATATTTTCGCGTTCAAAACACTCAAAATATTCAGATTATCGAGATTTAAAACGATAAGAAGTGACTTTACATGGTAAATAAACTTAAAAAATGGATAAGGCTCGAATTATGAGTTGAGATTGCTCTAAAGGCTAACGATAAACCTTGAAATACCAATTTAACCTCCAGATAATTCTATAAAATCATACAAAAGCAGGTTATTTTTATCTGCGCCAACACCAAAACTTTGAGAGCACTGATCAAAACCAAATTCGAAGTAGTAAAATGAATTTTCCAGAAATACAAGATCAAAAACTAGATTCGTTCAAACCGATTCAAGCATTTACAGCGCTTAAAGTTATAAGAAGCTGAAAACCGGTTAGAAAAAGGGCTGATCTCCCTGTTAAGCTGGATCTCAGAGCTTATGATAAGCCCGAAGAGTCAGAAAAAGGTTAAAAACCGAATCTTTCTCAATTTCACTTCTAAAATCGAATCGAAATTACGTCTTTTTAAGCCAGAAGCTCAAAAAAAAGAACAAAAAAAAAGGTTATGCTTGTTTTTAAAGCTTGAAGTAGGTCTTCTGAACAAAACAATGTTGAAAAATACCAAAAAACGGGCAAATATTGACTTGAACTAATTATAAGAATACACAAAGAGAAAAGCTGAAGCTTGAGATGTTATCGCTTTCAAAAAGTTGGATCTTGTCAAAAATCTCGAAAAAAATAATGAAAAATAAGCGAAGTCTCTTCAAGTACGCCTGAATGAACAGACATAATGAAAAAAATATTTGAAAGTTTTCATGTCTTTCTTAAAAAAAGCTTGAACTTAAGATTTCTTAATTCTAGAGAGGCTCAAAAAGGAAAATTTTGAATTGAAACGCTCAAAAATTAGCTTCACCTTGCATTTAACATCAATATCAAGTTGAAATGCTTATCAAGAATCGGAAAATTCGGAAGGCGCAGTTGACCAGCTCCAAAACCACCTCCATTTTGATTATCAAGGAAAACTGCTTGTCAGAACTCGGAAAACTTCGAAAATTTGGAGAAAAATAGGGAAGATGAATACAAAATCAAGTTTATCAGCTCGAAAAACAGCTTTATCTTGATTATCAAGCTGAACTACTTATCAAAAAAAAAGACAGTTATCAAGCGAAAAGGATGGCTTTGGTGCGGAGTTGGACTCTGAAGGGGCACTCCTCGGCGTCGGCCTTGCTAGGCGACGTCGTCGCTGTCGCCACCGGTGGCGGCGGCTCAAAGCACGGGCCAAGGCAGACCGAGTCGAGGCATCTGGGACCGCCACGCGACACGCGACGCGCCCACTCGCTTGCACGTGCTGCCAGACGAGCCCGGCGCTCCTCTGCGTTCTCAGGCCGCCCATCGTCCTCCTTCTGGCCGCTGCTGTTGATGATGCCGCCGCCGCTGCTGCCGGCTCCTCCTGCAACCAGCTGCTCTGTGCTCAAGCTCCACGAAGAGAGAAAGAGAGAGAGAAGAAGCCCCTCAAGTGGCGGCTTCTCTCGTTTGGCTTCTCTTTTCGATTCCTACCCATCAAAACATAAATATACTAGCTGATCTTTTCATCAGCTTTTGGAGGAGAATGAGAAATTAGATTTTTTTTTCTTGGCTACTACCAAAATACGGGTACTTTTTTACTTCATCGGTTTCTTCTACAATTTTTTTTGGCCTCAATATCAAAAGAAGCTCTACTCGTGTTTTGAAGTTATTTTTAGCTTCGAAGGAACTCTGGGAATTAAAATTTAACCTTATTTAAATTCATTTAAAAAAATTGTTTCAACAGCTTGCCTTCAAAAATTTTTTTGTCGTCCTATTTTTGATTATGAATGAAGTGAAGACATTTTTTTAAATGTCGCAGCTTCGAGTTTTCCCAGTAGATGACAGCTTTTTTTCGGATTTCAACGGACACTTCTTCTAAAAAAACTCGCTTCCCCTCAGAACAAGGAACTGGGACCATTTTTTTCGTCTAAATCTTCAAAAAAACCATGATTGGAGAGAACGTTTATTACCTCGCAAGTGCCTTGAAAAAATTATTTTTTAATATCTCGATAATTCCCTCCCGTTTCAACAAAAGTTCCATTTCAAAATAATTTATTTACCCTTTTTCTTTATATTTTAATATTTGAAACTTTTAGTGGGCCTTTGAGAGCCCACTTAAATTATTTCAAGATTCACTTCTTATCTTTTTATCTCTCTAATATCCCTCCAAAAATTCAAACTTCAGGAAATTTCTAATCCTTGTCCTCTTCAATGAAGAGTCGCCGAGTGGGACTAAATTGCAACTGAAATTCTTTCAAGTGAGCACTTGAGGAGTCACTTGATTTTTTTTAAGCTTTCATCTTTTCATCTCTCAAATCCAAAAAGTCACTTCAAAAAGATACAAACTCTCTTCTTCTTCATCTACGACTCGTTTAGGGATAACTGGAAAGCTAGATTCCAAGTGGGCACTTGAGGGACCACTGGATTTCTTTCAGTTTTCAACTTCTCCCACTTTGAAAAGAATTCCTTACCTTCGTCCTCCTCGATGATGACGCGTTTCCTGGGCTTGGCCTCGTCGACCTTCTGCTCACTGTCGGACTCTCCTTCGCCTTCTCCATCCGACAGGTAGCACGGCGGGACGAAGAATCCATCGTCCGACATGACCTCGTCGTCGCCGACGTCCTGAAGAAAGTTTGACTTGTCGGATTTTAATCAGATCTTCCGCGTCGGTCTTCAAAGTCTTCACTCGGAGTGAAAGTCTAACTTCGCAAAAACAGCAAAGTTTCTGCCTTCAGCTACAACAACCGCTGTATTCTGAGACTGTCAAGGCGCAACGGAGATAATGAACTACGCGCAGAAAACAAGGCGAAGACCCGTGAGACAATGCTTTCCATTTGAACAACTACACTTTCAGACTTTTTGTTCAAGGGAACATTTTCGATCTTGCACAAAAATTTCATGTTAAGTGGTCTTAATATATTGAAAATACAAAAAACAAATATTGATATGTACCTCCTCATCAGAACGGCACTCCTCGCCGTCTGAAGGCTCGTCCTCCCATTCGGCGTCCGAATCAACCTGGAAAAAACTTAATGAATCTCCCATTCAGAATGGCTCAATGCAAGAAATTTTATGTTGATCAGAGCCCGTTTAAAAAGAGAAGAAATGAAATTGTTCAAATAAAAGCCCGGAAAAAATTTTCGATTCTCAGTTGAAATGTAAATTCGACCAGAATCGCAATAAGAAACTCAAGTATTGAAAAAAAAAACAGAAGGTGTTCTCAAAATGAAGCATCATTTAATGATAAGAAATTGAACTCTGAATGAAGTTCAAATTTTTCTTTATCAAGCATTTCCAAATTAAGAAGAAAAAACGGCAGACCAGCGCGCATGCATCGGTTCAGAGAGCACGGTAATCTTGGAGAGACCAGAGCCATTTTCTCCACGTTCTAGACAAGGCCCAAAGACCTCTCTTTGTTTTCGTTGGTCGTTAGTCAGTGTGTAGAAAGAGGAGAGTAAGTTTCCAGTCTCTCTAAGTTTACCGTACTGTCTCAACTAAATAATACGCTCTTTTTCGCCTGAGAAAACTGCTCCTTCAGAAACTTATCAACATATTTCTCAGAAAACAGACAGAAGAGGCCAAAAATGACACTGGACTTGTGGACAGTTCAAAACTTTTTAGAAAATATAGATTGTGCCTCGAATCACCTCGTAATCGATGCCGGTCTCACTGGCGAAAGGTCTCCGGCCCTTGATCACCTGAGGCTTTTTCCGCCAGGTGCCGTAATAAGGCGGCCGAGTGTTGTCGTGGAATTGGATGAGTTTCGCGCGGAGGTGACTGGAAAAACCCGTTGATAAATCGATTTGAAAGCAAAATCAGAGAGCGCATGACTAAAAAACTGAGTTGCCCCGGAACAACACGACTCAAAATGTTGAAAATAAATAACATGAAGAATAAGAGGCGTCAAAAGTGCTGGTGAAACAATTAAGAAAAAAATGGCCGTTTCGCGAGTCGCACTGTTTCATCAGTAGCGCTCCCAGAGCATACACTTTACTGAAATGACATAGGAAAACCCTTAAAAGTATTCTATCCCTGTAAAAAACACTAAAAGGCTCTTACTCTCAAAACCATTTCTGAAATAAATCGACACTCCTTTGAAAACCATAGCCATATATTCGAAAATACCATAGATACCAACATTTTCCTAGCCAACAGAATTTTCCGCTTTTTCACCGCATCTGACGTTAGGTAGGTGATTGGGGTAACCTGAAATTTAATTCGAAAATACCTGCACGAGCTTATTAATTCACAAACCGTGTCCAGGTGCTCTAAAAGGTTGTTGAGGACATTCACCGGCTCGCGGTGCAAAATCGACGCCACACTCATTCCGGGCTTCATCTGTAACCGAAACATTTGATTTGAACGGCAAAATGAAGGCTTTATTTTATTTGAAATAATATTAGATGTGCGGAAAAAAACGGAACTTTAAAAAAATGAGTTTTCGAAAGCAAAAGCTTCTCCTGAACAAGAAAAATATTGAAATACTAAAAGGTCACTTTTTATATGATATTATAATAGATCTGGTAATAAAAAAACTTAAATCCTGAAACGGTTTGATTTTTTTCCGGAGCAAAATCTTCTCTGAACAAAGAAACATGAGCTTTACCGGCAAAAAAATTTGAATTATTAACAAAATCGAAAAATAACTTAAATTTTAAATCAGTATGATTTTTTTAAAATTATAAGATTCATCTGAGCAGAAAAAAATTCAGGATAAAAAAACAGCATTATCGGACTTCGGAATCAATTATTTCGAAACATCCCAAATTTCGACCAAGAGTAGTAGAAAAAAAGTAAACTTCAGATCGAGAAGAATTGAAAAAAAAGCAGAAAAATAATAGTCTATACCGTTAACAATGCATTAATTTCTGTCAAAAATTTTAAAAAAGCTCTTTCCGTTGAAAAAGCCCCAAATTCCCTTTCTGTTGAATTATTCAGATATTGAATAAAATAATCTCAAAAAAAAAAGATTTTTTAAAAATATCTACAGATTTCACCTCAACAGAACATCATTGAAATATGGTTTCAAACCCTTTTTTTTCAATTTTCTCTGTTCATCAACGAACCTCAAAAGGCTTGTACCAGAGATTATTGTCCACTTCCACTGTCGCTTTCTTCTTCTCAACTTTACTGAAAAAGCCGAGAAATCGGGCCGATTCTCGTCGTTTTTTCTCCTCCATGGCCTGAAAACGGATTTTAAAAGTACTTTTAAAAATACCTACTAAGACTTGAAGGTTGTACAGGATTCAAAACCAAACTAAGAAAACCAAATAATGAATCGGAAAGATTAAGTTTGAACTTATAATCTAATAAAAAAACTTCATCCCATATTCAATAAAAGCCTATCAGAAACTGATTCCGACATTGAAACCGGAAATAACTCCCTGACTTCAAGACAAAGAAAACATTGAAAACTTTAATTGAAACAAAAGAAACTCGGTCTTTCCCAAACCTCCTCTTCCTTTTTCTTCGCGTCTCTCTTCTCTTCCTCCTCCTTCCTTCTTGCTTCCTTCTTGTCGTCCTCTTCCTTCTTTTTCTTCAGCTTTTCCTCCTCTTCTTTTCTTTTCTTCTCCTCGGCTTCTTTTCGTTTCTCCTCCTTTTTCCGCTCTTCCTCGAGCTTCTTTTCGACTCTTTCTCTGGAAAGAGAGAGAATCATTCTAGATATATCAAAAATTTCCACCAACTTCTCCTTCCTTTCTTTTTCCAATCGTTTTTCCTCTTTTTCTCTGGAAAAACAATAATTTTGGGGGCGCAAAGATAGAAATCTCAACCTTTCCTTTTCCAATCGTTTCTCCTCTAGAAGCCGCTCTCGTTCGATCTTAAATTTTTTTTTTCAAACAAAAAGGAAATTATAACCCTCTGGTGTTCCTTCTCTTGTAATTTCTTCAACCTCAGCTGTTCTCGTTCTTCTTTGCTCACTTTTGGCGTCTGTAAGAAAGCATTTTCAACGTTTCTTATGTAAAATTTCATAGATTCTGTATAATCTGCATGTTAAGAATCACTACTGAAGTTCGATTTAGCTGCGTTAAAAGAGAAACAACCAAATCCAATACTCAAAAGAGCACGATAAACACATATTTGACAAGATCTTCAAGCACCTTGGGCGTCTTGGGAGTTCCAGAATCCTTGGCTCCTCCACTTTTCAAGGCAGGTGTGTGGGGCGCCTTTTTAGTTGGCGAATCATCGTCATCTTCGTCGTCGAGCTCCACGATTTCCGGCTCATCTTCCGATTTTTCAGATTTCGCTGGAGTCCCGTTTGATGATGACACCGGTACGTCGCACTGAAATGAAAAAAGTGAATATTTCCACTTCGTTTAAAAGATTTTCTCTGACAAACATAGGGATGTGAAATTTATCTCTAGGACAATAATGAAAAGTTTGAGAAACATACAGTCGTTTCAAAAATTCTACTAAGGTGTTTGGAGACACAGAAGAGTTACATGGCCGTAGAAACCCCTGGAAACGACTTTTCGTTTCGCATTTTCAACTGATTTTCTTATGCTCCTTTGAAACTCGAGTAAGGACTTCCGGACAAAAACTTCGAATAAAAACTTTCCAAAATTTTTTTAAGGATCACAACCCGAAACTCATAAAAAAAATTCCCGCTCCGAAAAAGCTGCCATTTGAAACTATCCAAACAAAACGAGCCTTCGGTTTCTTCACTTCGTCGTTTTTCAGGGGAGACGCGGCTCTTTTGACGCCTTTGAGCTTCTCCGCAGCATCTTCGGAATCGAGATTTTCGTTGTTCTCAACGACCGTCACCGCCTCGTCGCTCGTTGTCATTTCCCCTACATAAATAATTGTCAATACGAAAACGATACATAATTTAGAATCGTCGGAAAAAAAAAAGCAGACATATCTGAGAGAAAGAAAAATGGTGAGAATGAGCCGTGTTTTTATTCTGCATTTCGGCAAAAAATAACTTCTTATGGTGTTTCTAATGCATAGTAAAAACAGAATAAAACGTGAATGTCAATTTACACTAAAAAAATAAACACTTCTTTGTAAGGATTCTGGATGTTTAGGAAAAAAAATTCAAAAACCGTTCAAAAACGACTTAAAACCAAAGACAAACCTTATGTGCTATTTCCAACTGACAAACCTTCAAAAATAAAGAAATGGGAGCAAATTCGTACGACAACATCCAAAAAAATCAATCAAAAAAATAATTTTTTTATTTTTTTAAAAAGTTTTTGAATGCACCATTTTGGCGCCCTTCTTTGGAGCGCAAAAAGAAATCGGGAGGCAGGGGCTGATTTGCCACTCGGTTTTCAACAGGAAACCACGAAACAATTGTACAAAGCATTTATAAAATCTAGAACACAACTATTAGCTTATATACATTCAATCTACGAGTAGGATATTCGGAATACAAGGAAATTATTAAAAAAAAGAAGCGAAAGGACCTATATACAGGCAAAATTTATTTTAAAAGGTAAATGGAAAAAGGACAGAATATAAATGATTCAGGCGTCTTCAGAATGGGGCAAAAAAATCTTTTTACAATAAATAAGCTTAAGATCTTTCAAAGGGACAAAAAAATAAATTATCCCGACAAGGCGTTGATGAGCGAGACACAAATCTCCAGAAACTGAACGGTGAACGACGAGAGATTCGCCTGGAAACACAAATAATTTTGAAAATCAGATAGTGAACTCTTTTTCCGACTTTGAAATAAAGTTTTCAAGATGAAATTGATTGATTTTTTCGATTGAAAACGAAAAAAGAAAAAAGTGAGGTTTTTGAAGGTTCATCTAACTTCTGACATATCTTCGAATGCAATCAATATTTTGCAAAATGAATATACTGTTTTTTTATTTAATCGTATTTTCACTGTAAAATTCGGAAGTATCGAAAAGGGCGCAAAAAAGCCGCAAAAAGAATTGCGTTCTGCGGCCTTTTTATTATTTTTCATTTCGAAGGCTCTCAAAAAAGGATGAAGAAAGTGAAAGGCAGCAAAAAGGGCCAACATAGGCTGAAACGAGCCTGAAGGAGCTCCTTTCCACCTTTTTGGTAAGAAATTAAGGTCTTTGAAAGATCGCTGCGACTTTGCCAGTGAGTACCGGTCAACGGTTATTCATTAAAAACTCAACCACAGGGCTAAAAAAACTTCCCTTGGCTCTATAGTTTTCCAAGACTTCAAAGAAGGCTCACAGTATCACTAGCCGAGTCCTGGTTCGAAAGGCAGCTGGAGGCGCTCTGACGGCCGCCGCCCAACTGCCACTTGACGTCCTTGATCGCCTGCTCGTCCTCGTCGAGGAACTCGTCTTCGACGAGCTGTTTGAAATCCAGGAGGTGCATACGGTCGTCGAGTTTGTACAGCTGCAACGATGCTTTGGCCTGAAACACAATGATTCTTGAAATTTGAAGATTTCAGATACGAGGGTATACACAGAGTCAATGCTATGCCGTTAATGAGTGTTCAGAATGAAATATTTTCTTTTTCACTCAGATTTGACAACACCCGTCCATAAGGTTTGCATTTCCGTATAAAACACTCAATGTCAACTTATTCGAACTCATTTACGCTAAAAAAAGGTTTATATAGCCGATTCACGGCTAGCTTATGACGTTAAGGAGAGTGTCCTGTCGGCGCTCCCGACCAACCAGGTACTATCTCCTTTTTCATCGTGTCAGGACTCTTTTTCGATGACTCAAGCCATTCGTGAATCACCTTTACAGGTTTTTTCAAGTAAATTTCACTATTTTCTCGTCGATTTTTCACTTCAACTCCCCGAAGATCCTTTGGAATCTGGCTCCAGTTTGCGACGAACAATGATATGATAGGTGTTGAGGATCTTCCACTCCATGTTCAGCTTCAGCATCACGTTGAACACCTCCATCATGATCTCATCTGGAAAATCAAGGGCTAACATCCAATAATATAGATGGAAAAGGACGTGGTTGGTTAGAAGAACGAATGCCGAGATGCCACTTGGCCTTCCGAATGCCGAACGTCACCGCCTTGTTGTTGTGGCTCTGTTGTTCGAGCTGCTTCTCTGAAGATTTAACCTAGAAAAAGGTCTGTGAAACTTCAAAGGGGAACTGATTTCACTCCTTTCCGTTTACTTAAGCTCTCAAAAATTACCGCGAAAGTATGTGATAAAAAAGCATGAGAGGAAGATTTGAAATTAAGAGTTTCTCAACCTGTCTTGCTTGTTTTTGGGCTCATTTTTGTAAAATCAGGCTAGAAAAACATCCAATTAGACCTCTTTTCTTGGCAACTCACCAAGATCTTCAACCGGCAGACGAGCCAGAGGCTTCGAATGGCCTAGAAAACACCAAATTTCCCTCGTGTCTTTAAAATTATCAAAAACCATCAGAAATGACGTTTTCGACGAAAAGATTGTATGCGATGAGGAGAGGATTCTGCGGATCGTCAGAGACCAGAGCGATGGTGACCTCTTCTTCGGTTACTTTATAGCGCTGAAACTGATTTTTCCAACAAAAACAATAACAGCAGAAAACGCCGTGGCTGCACATGGAATGGCTCAAAAAGTTGCGTCACGGTTAGAGGTGGGTTCAAAATTGGCTAGCATTCTCACGCTCTCATCAATTTATCAGGTTGGCTGGTCAGAAATAAGCGGTACTGTTGCAGTTTATTTCACTATAAAAATATGATAAAAAATAGAAAGATCCATAAGATATATTCATAATTGCAAATATAATCTTTGACAAACTTCCATGAGACATTTCGCTTCAAATCCTATCTTATCATTGAAATCGGCGGTCAACGCTCATTTCTGACCGGCCTCGTTTACACCCTGAAGAGACCGCTTCGCAGCCGCTACGCGTCGAGCCATTCCAATCGCGACCACGGCCTCGCGAGCCGGGGCTCTGAAAACACCTCAGCCACTTCCTTGACGATATCGATGTCAACGATGGATGTACGAGCATGAGTGTTTGGCGGGAACAAGTAGTTGGGCAGATCAATGCGGAACCAGGGATGATGACTGAAGTGTTTTTGTTTTTTAATCTTTCTGATGAAAAAACATGATCTCCTTCATGGTAGCCCTCTTGATGGGGTCCACACAAAGCATGCTTCGGATCAAGTCGGCCGCTTGTGGCTCGACATAATGTGGCATGTAGTAGGTGCCAGCTGAACATTCATATTTCTCCTATACGATTTCTTGCTTGCTTTATTCAAAACTTTTTTTTTCCAAATTTCAAACTTAAAAAGAAGAATTATCCGGCTAGCTTCTTGATTCAACCAGAAATCGATTTTCGGAAATTTTCTCAATCCTTACTAAAGCTTCTTTAAGTTTGACCTAAACTTCTTGAAATATTCATCATGGGCGTCGCTTTTTTGATGGTTAGTTCTACATGAAAAATACCATGTTTTTTCATTATCTGCTGAGAAATCAATCAATATTAACGAAACGCCCTTTTTTTTCCAACCCAGCCTAAACCCAAATGGCGAAGAACAAGTCTGCGCCTAATTAGACTTTTTTTAAAGTCATAAATTGGCTCAAAAGACTTGGAAACTGTGCCAGAACTCTATGAAAAACCACGAAGCTACAAAAAAAAACTATATCCTAAAAATCAAGTTGAGAAGCTCCGAAATATCCCAAATAGTCCGTCCAAAACAAACCAAGAACCGAAAAACGACCTCGAATCTTCTGGAACAAGGTGGTGACGTGCTTGTCGTCGAAGGGCAACTGGCCACACAGTAAAGCGTAGAGAATGATTCCAGACGACCAAATGTCGACCTCGGGACCAGCGTAAAGACTACGCAAAACATACTTTTTATAAAGGTTCCAGAGAGCAGAACTGCGCGCAGGCCGGTCTCGTTGCACAATTAAACGATTCTTTTGAAAATCATTTTGAGACAGAAAACTGCAATAATTGGCAAGATTTTGACCGCTTCGCAGGCCGCGACGCGGCCTAGAGCCGGCCTGCGCGCAATTCTACTAGGTATTTAAAAAACCAAGAATTGACTATTTCCGGAGCGGCATAGTTTGGAGATCCGCAGCTTGTTTTCAGGAAATCGCCGTCCGGCATGAAGTTGGATAGGCCTATAATCGAGTTCATTTACTTTCTGAAATCGAGAATAGGTTTATGAAAAGCTTATCCCCCACTTAATCCTAAATTTTTGATGTTACAGAGAAAATTTAAACAAAAAGTGTTTTTCATGGTTTAAAAAAAAATTGACAATTTTTTTTGAACTTTTCTCGAATTTTCCTCCTCACCAAAATCGGCAATCTTGATGTTCTTCTTGTTGTCGAGAAGGATATTTTCGGGCTTCTAGAAAATTCTCAGACAATGAAAATTGGAAGATGTTCGATGGCAAACCAAATCCCGGTGAACGACTTTGCGGCGATGACAATAGTCGAGACCGGAGATGATCTGCTGGAAAAATCGGCGCGCTTCGGGAGTATCCAACTGAGATTTCCGTTTTTTCGACAGACTTTCGACTCGATAAATCGAAAACTCTGTACATGAATGCTTAACCTGCGGATAAGGCGGGTCCCCCAGGGCAACTTCAACGCGCCCTCGGGCGACCAGACTCGCCAGGCAGTCACATTTTCCAGAGATCTACTTTTTCTTAATTTTTTTCCCCCTTTTTTTTCTAGATTTTCACTCATTTTCATTTTTGCTTGTTGGGTCGCCCCGTCCATGAATTTTCATAGCCACACATGAAATGGCTAAACGGAAGCGCACCCGACTTGAAACGACTTTGGACTGGAAAACATCAAAGCGTGGAAATAATGATGTTTCAAGTCGGTGACTGACCGCGACGTTTCTAGTCACTCCAAGTGCGACCAGGATGTTATAAAATGATTGGCACATTGCCTTTTTGAAGTTTGAATTCAACCATCTGACTGAGTAAATCAACGCATTCGGAAGAAATGAATAGGATATTCACTCGGCCACATTTGACGATGTAGGAGAAAAGTTCGCCGCCGGCCACGTACTCCATGATCATGAAAATGTCGGTGGCTGTGCTGATCACCTTGTACCTGGAATCGAAAAAGAGCAAAATTGAATAGCAACATGCCAAAAATAGAAATCTTTCCATGTTCTTCTACTTTTGAGCTTGATGGTTACGGCGACCCTCGTGGTTATTTTTTATTTCCTTGAAGTTGAAAATTCTTGCCTCTTCTCAGTAAAACCCTCATTTTCCCCGAAGTACTTCACTTCGACTATCATAACCAATGAAAGTAAGAGACAATTCAAAACCTTCATCTCGCTTCTAAAAAAATTATTTTTTTCCTTTGTTTTTGAACCATTTTTCGGAAAAATCTCCTTAAAAAAAGTCGAAGTTTATTATTACCCTTTCTGACACGGATTTACTGAAAACCTACAACTTTATAACGTGCGGATGGTCCAAGACGGACAGGTTCTCGATTTCGCGGCGGATTTTGCTGACAATGTCCATGGATTTGATTGTCTGCCGGCTCATAATCTTCAGGGCGACTTTTTGGCCCGTTTTTACGTAGTGTCCAACTGGAAATGTGTTTTTAGAAGTGTTATTTCTTTTTAGAAATTTTGATTTATTTTTTTCTTAATATCGGGCTTTTTTTCGTTTTTTACTTAGTTTTTGATCGAAAGTCTGATCGAAAAGAGTTCCGATTTTAGAAAATTATATTTCGATGACCGACGTTTGACTTTGCCGAAAGTTCCATGACCAATCGTTTCTCCGATGACATAGTCGCCTAGCCGAAGTGTCGGCTGCGGTGGCCGGAATGAGTCCATAAACGGCATTTCTGCTGGATCTACTGATAGAACCCAATGGAAGAGCAGTGAAAATTGATCCTGAACAAATTAAATAGCCACGAACGATTAAATAGCCACGAACGAATCAAAACATCAAGAAAACGCGAAGGAATCGAGAATATCGTGAAAAGATCATATAGCGAACTTCAAAGAGGTTAGGAAGTAAAATCCGGAAAGAAACTGTTGATGGAAAAAAATTCCCACAAAGTGCAAAGGCCATATACGGCCTCCTTCCATCGAAGTTTGTGGGAATCTTCAGTCCGTATTTTTTTTAAATGTAGTTTGATCACAACAATCGTATGAAAAATCATTCTTTTTATTTTCTATAGAGATGTTTGTTCAGTGAAAAAAGGTCAGTTCTTAAGATCAATTTCTGAACTCACCTTAAATATAATTTTGAAAAAAAAAAACGGAATAAGTATGAGTTCTCCATCTCACGTTTTAAAACCTTCTCCGGTTCATCAGCTCGTTTTTCCCTGGAACTTGGAAACACATTCCGTAACTCAAGAGCTTTAATCATTTCCTAACTAAGCTCAAAGGTTCTATAGAACTGAAAAAGATGGGAAAACTACAGATAAAAGTGCGGAATAGAAAAAAAAAGGAAGAAGAAGCAAATGGAGACGCCGCCGACCCAACAGATGAATACAACAACAGGAAGGCGAAGGGCGGAAAGAGGAAAAAAAAGAGCGGCTCGGCGTCTCATCCATTCACTTAAAAACCGTTTCGACCGACCGACAAGACGAAAAAAAAAAATCCCAGTTTAGAAAACCACAGCGCAGACGCGAAAGATTTGGGATTTCGCAACATATTTGTGCTAGAAGATGGTCATAAAACAATGGAAAAAATTTTGTGGGAAGTTCTTTCGACTCATCGATTGATAAAGACGCTCCTCATTAGAATTTATCTTCTGCTCACAAAAAATGAGGTAAACAAGTACAGGAATCAATGAGTTCAGGAAGAGGGGTCTCCATACGAAATTCAGAAAAACATATATAAAAAACTTTTTTGCTCAGGGAGTTAGTTTTGTCACCGGCAAAATTAATTTTTAATCTCATGAAGTTTTTTTTTTGACTTGATTTGATTTTTTTGTGGAGAGTAATATTCCGGCCTTTAAAAGCGGTCTACCATTGTATGGGCAACAGTGAGAAAAACAGGTTGACAATCCTGGATATTTCTGGGGAAAAAATCTTCTCAGTAAGGTGTCAAATCCTCATGTTTTCAAATACAACTTTGGTGATTTTTGAAAAATTTTCCGTTTAAGAAAAAAATATGAATACTAAAATATAACTCTCTCACAGAAGCAGAAAAAATGAAAAATTCAATGCATTATAACAGTAAGAAGGGTGAGAAGTTAATGTGAAAAAATCAATGTGGTGATAAAGTTTTCAATAAAATTTCTTCGAAATTTGTCAGTGGAAATAAATTTATAAATGAAGATATTATATCGCGCGGCCTGCCGTAGCGCAACAGGTTGTGTGCCTGTCTACGGTCCACAGGGTCACAAGTTCGATCCCTGCCCCGACCCAACCAAGGGGTTTAAGAAATGTTGGTAGTGGGAAACCACGACTTCAAAATCCCAGCCGTCACACACAAGGACGGATATGTCACTCGAGCCAGTCCACTGATATCAGGATAGGACCTCGGCTAACCGACTTGGGGCGCCGACGCCGCTCAAGCGTTACAAAGGCATAGGAAGAAGAAGAAAATATCGCGCGGCCGTTTCGGGTCCCAAAAATGGACGGCACAGGGGGTGACCCATCGTCTTAGAAAATGTATCTGGTCTCCAACAGGTCCGGTCACTTTCTTAAAAAGAACCAAGAAGTTATTTTTTTGCCTTTTTTTATTAAAAAAATCTTAAAGAATTTTCTGTTTCACAGTTTCCGTATGATATGAACACTTATCAAAAATAGAACTTTCCCTAGGAAACTAGAAAAAAACCAAAAAAAGATTAGATCGTTTCTCAGACCTCTGGTTGGACTATTCCAAAGAGTCTTTTTTTGGAAAATCGTATTTTTCTTTTTCTTTTTCGAACATGGTAAAATAGTTTCTTGTTAAGAAATTTCCACCAAATCCAAAAATATAGGTTTCAACAGGAAGTTTGCAAATCGAAAAAATATTATATCTGTTTGAGAAGTCCGTAAATGACTAAACGAAAAAGCAATTTTTGAGAAATGGAAAAATTTCGTTTTCCTAATTTTTTCAAAATTTTGAGGCTTTTTTCTATATGGCCATTTCTTCTGAATCCAAAAACCTACCTCAGATTTTCCTTTTTGAAAAGAAAACGCCGTTGAATCCTTTTTTGTATCAAATTTTCAGCTTGGCCAAATACAGTTTTGAGGACATTATTTTGCGTTATTTTCAAGTTTTAGTACAGTTTTGCTTCATAAACTGCTCGTAAGGGAGACAACGCGATATCGCACGCGGCATTGCGCGGCCGCCTCGGGTCGGTTCAGCCCACAGAGGGACGGATCTCTGGGCGAATTCTTAATGAAACTAATAATACATCTTTGAGACGATCATTTTTTTCATGTAAACCGAAAGTTGCAAAATAAAGGAAAAAAAAATTGAAAATTATGAAAAATTAAAGTGAAGAAAAATTAAAAGCACGGAACAGCGGGATCGCCAAAAACCAAAACATTCGGCGCCAGGAGTTTTTCCGTCGTTAGTCATCGCCCTGTTTTGCACTTTGTCCCACTGCCCAACCTTTTTTTTTCGAGATGTTTGCGGGGATTTTCCTCCGGAGCATAATCCTTTTCAAGCGCAAATTATTTCAAAAGCGATTGGCCTAGCTTATAACTCACAAGATCGAGACAAACTTGTGACATTCAAAATAAAAAAAGTCCTGAAAAAATCAAACTAGCAGCAAAGAGAGTTTGCCGTTTAAAAATAAATTAGTAATCAGTTTTCGAAAAGTTCAAAAATTTCCCAATACTCTCAGAGAGCAGAGAAACATTAATATTGCCAGGTGGAATCTGCGAGTTTTCTTGAGGAAAACTTGCCAAAATAAACGAAACATTAGGAAAATCAAAGGGAGAGGGGAAAAACCCGTGGAACTATTTCTTTTTCAGATGAATTAGCTTCTATAATAGACTTCAACGTTCTACTGATTCTTTGCGGGTCAAACTTGATGATTCCCCAAATTCTGCTCTTTACGAATCAACTCCTTCCCGATTTATCTAACTTTGTCGAACTCTGGATCACTGTCTTCTCCTTAATGGTTATCTACTTTTTTTTCTTTCTATCGTAGACAGTGAAATTCTTATATAGAAAAAAATGTTTTCGTGAAAATGAATAATTCTGCGCGTAAAATTCGACGTTTGCGTTTCTAAAGTCTGTGTTTGCGAAACCCATAACCTAGAAAAACTTTTCAAAATCGCCAAATTCACTATTTCCTTGCTTTCTTTCGAGAAAAATTCGAATAGCATTATCGGGTGCCCAAAAGATGGAGATCACAAATTTTTTCAAGCTAGTATCCTTTCAGATTCTTTTTTTATATTAAATAAAAAACCAATAACTTTTACCTCATTTTCCCTCAAATTTCTCCGAAAAAAAGAAGAACAGTCGTGTTGGAAATTGTGGCCGGAAAGATGACGAATCGTCGCTGCCATTTTTTCTTCTCTTTTTTTCTTCATTGTTGCCATGTTCATGTCCCGTTTTTTTCGCTCTCCTTTTTTTCTTACATTTCCTGCTTTTTTTGTATTTAAAAAAAGTGTCTAGGGTTCCTTAAAAAGAATAAAAAAATTAGAACTCTTCGGAAACTAATTCATTTCGATTTAAATTCGCTTTTGGCTTGAGGCGAAGCTCGAACGATCAATAAACTTTGCAGGAGAAGTCTTTAAAAAAATACGTTGAGAGCTCGAACCTTGGTAACGCGAATCAGACCCGACACGGGCGTTTCTCAGCAAGTCTAGGGATCACTTAAGAATGCTGACGCTACTAAAGTGGTCAATATAAATTCTCAGAAAAAAAAAAGATTTTTTTTCATTTTCAAAGTTTATTTCGCCTTTTTCAACCTTACCTCTCTCGAAAATTTCCCCTCAATCTTAAATCTTCCTTTTCTTTTAATTTTTAAAATAGTTTCCATCTTCCAGTACATTACCCTGGTTCATACAGTACTGTATCTATTTTTATCCCCCATCACTTTTTTTTTATAACGTTCTTCTCGCCTCAGATTTTTATCAGTTGATCTCGAGGCTTGGACCGAACGTTTCTCATAACATATCTGCCGGCATTTCGGTCTGTTTATATTTTGGGGAGAGACATTTATAAACGGTGTAAAATGAAACGGTCGCTTGCCGGGACTCACTCGAGCCCTTTCGAAGATGAATGATTATTATTTCCATAATAAATTACCCTTAAGTATTCACTAAACCGGTTATAATAATTTTAGAATTTTGAAAAACCTTCTTTTTCATAGGACCTTCAGAGCCTGCTAACGAAAATACTAGAAATTCGGTCAATCAATCAAAGAAAAAAGAAGAGCTGTTTTTCGACATCAACACCGAAAAAACACAACTTTTCGACACAATATACTCATTTTTCAATCCCACTCCATTTCTTCTTGTTTTGATCAACTTCCATAGACGACAATAGTCAAATCTCCTCATGACCCTGGGATATTAATCTTTTTTTCCATTTTTTTGAAAAAAATGCAAGATTTTTTTGGTTTATTTTTGAGTCATATTAACAATGTTTTTCAATTTATCGAAGAAGTTGAAGATATATGAATTTTTCAAAAAAATTTAATTTTTTTCTTCGGAATATTAGATTTGATCAACAGCCACGATTTATCGAGAGAAAATAGTTTTTTTTTTTTAAATTTTGAGTGCTGGACATCGTAGAGGAGGCTGATTAAGTCACGCATTAAGAATAATCGGATACATAAGCAATTTTCAAGCTATTTAAAAAGATTCCTCCGCGACTTCGAACTTAGCTTTCTATACCATACCGATTTCCGTTAGCATTTTCGAGTTCTCTGACCACTCCAG